TTAAAATTAAATGTTTCTCAGACTAAGCCTAATTTTATAATATTTATCCTTAGATTTCTTTAAATGCAAGTCTCTATAATAATCGACATTTCTGTGACGTCAATTGCTAGAATGGGGGGGGCCTAAGGCGAGGCGCCTCGTACCGCACTGCGACGGGAAATTGGAGATGGGAGGAGACACGGGGACACGGCTATATGCGCATACATACATACCAGATCATTCCTAAATTCAAATTCAGATTCACTTGCCCAAAAATTAGAAATTTAAAGCGAAACAGTCGAGAGCAAATGGCACAGCAACAGCAACAATACAAAAAATCGCAACATTTTTTCTGAATCTAAAAGTAGCTGAAAAAAAAGTGACCAAAAAAAGGAAAAATTCTAAAAATAAAGAAATAGACAGTTTCAAGTTAGAACTTTAAGAAATTAAAAATTTATAAATGCATCTTTAAAATTATTCTTAAAAAAAAGAAGTTAATAAATAAGATAGATAAGGGTATAGATTTCTTATAGAGATTCATTAGTTCTTTCTCCCTCAACCCCCTAGCTCCTTCTATAGCCCCCTCGCACTTTCTCCCCCGCAAACATGGCTATAAAAGTTTGTATTTAAAGTTCTACCAGGGCGCTTGATCATTACAAGAAATGCTTTCTTTTTTTATTTCTTTTAATTTTTTTTTTTTTGCTTACGAAGAGCATTGTCTGGGAATGCCCATCGTTTGGGGCAGGAATGCAGCGACTGCAGCGCCAACGCTGGCAGCTCTGTCGACAGCAACTGCGAAGCTGGCAGCCCCCCAATTTTGACTGCTGGTGCAAAAAAAAAAAAAAAGAAAACCTAAAAAAAAGAACATGAAACAAAATATTCAAAATTTTCCTAATAAGGAAATGTGAGGAATGGTATTTCGAATTAAACTGAAAATAAGAGATAAGATATATAAGAGTTTTTAAAGAAAAAAGATTTAAAAAAGAGATATGTATTTCTTTCAAAACTTTGGCCATCATGTCTAAATATGTATATAGATCCATTTCCTGCATCTTTTCCGGATTCAGGGGGTCTAGCTGACAGACGAAAAATTCTGTTGTGGCACATATACATTCCATTCCAATCCATTCCATATCCATATGGAGGGGATGTAGAAATCCAAGAACAAGAAGAAGAAGAAGATGTATGTAAAAGGGACTATGGCCCAATCATTACAACTCAATCATCGTTCGAAAATAGCAAATCTCTTTTTCTTTCTCTTAAGATTCCATCCATTTCCGTTATTTTGGGAAGCGATGGTGGGGTCCAAAAACTCCCGGAAGAAGTGCAAGAGCAAGCGAGAGGTGGCTAGTGAGGATGGGTCACTGGGGGCCCCCGGTAGTCACACCCCGCCGTGCGCCAGATATACATAGATGGATGCTCTACAAAGATCTCTCGTTGATTTAGGAACACACTAAATCCGAACCGACAAGAGGGAAAGCAAATACGCACAAAGGTGAAAATCCAGAAGGAATTTTTCTATTTTAGGCATACCGGAACTGAGAGACTCCCTCATCCTCATCCCATTCTATCTATCTATCTATCCAAACATGGGCGTTGGAGTAGGCCACAAGAGTTGTGGCTCTTCCGTATGGAAACACCCAGAAAGATCTTATAGATTTCTTAGATCAAGGTGTGTCTTCTAGATTAAATAACAAACGGTATTGAATATCAGATATTTTAATTATTTTAAGTTTTTCTTTAGGAATATAATTCCTATATAATTTAATTTAAAAATCCAAAAAGGAACCAAAACCCCCCTTTTGGTATAAAACCACCCAAAAGTATTATATTACATCCCAAAATCAGTTCCCATCAGAGTCAAAGGCATTTACTTTAGGCCCCAAGCCTCCGGTACGGTTGATCTTTACCGATTTCCTGCCGATCGCACGTAATTGGGTGTCCCGCTAAAAAAGTCATAATCACCTGTCCATCCTTTATCACGGCAAACCCGTACAGACACCTTGGGAAACCGAAAACTCAAAACTCCGTAAAGCGATTTTTATGCACCAATGCCGCCTCTGCCTCTGCCTCTGTCTCGGTCTCGGTCTCTGCCTCGGTCTGTGTGAGATGCTGATGCTGCCCGCTGTCGACGTCGCTGGTCTGGTCTGGTCTGGCCTGGTCTGGTCTGGTCCAAGTGCATCCAAAAGGCCCCTTAGACCAGAGAGAGAAGGAAAAACAGAACTGAAAGACCAAAGACAAATTCCTGCGTTTTTCCAGGAATTTACTCAATAAACTCAAACAAAACCCAAACATTTAACAAACGAGCCACAGCCTCATAGCCATATTCACATTCACATCCACATCGAACCAAAAACCAAAGCCAAAGCCATTCTACACTCGAAAAAATAAGCTTAAACATAAATCTTAAAGACATTATACCTATCCCTAACCTTTCTTATTATTAAAAATCTTTTAAAAATTATTTAAATTTCAGATATATATTTTATACTATCACATTTCTCTCTGTGTAGCCAGACGACGACGAAGATGCTGACCAAGACGGAAGACCAAGATGGGGCAGCCAGAGCGGAGGGACGCTTAGGAGGGGGAGCAATGGGGGGATGCGAAGCGCTGAGCAAAACACAAAATAAAACAAAAAACAGGCGAGGAATTTCAAACAAGAACACCAATCCCCCCCATACCCATGACGATGTTGTTGTTGTTGTTGTTGCTCTTGTTGCACCCACTGGAAGTTGCAACTTGGAGCTGGAGCTTTGAATGCGAATGTGAAGAGCGATCATAATCCAGATAACAAGCCAGTCTATTAGATACCCTTTCAATTCCTTCAAAGGGGATTATGATTATATCAGATGATAACGTCATTCGTTACCTATCTAGGGGGCTAGTCTTAGGTGATAAGGACTTTTTGAAATTAAAGATACACCCCACTCCTTGTATTAGAAGTTCCTTTATTGTTAAAGTTTTGGTGACGAAACAGGAGACTTAGTGGCACAGGTAAACTCCCATCCATAGAGGGCGCTAGTCAAGAATGGGGAGTGGCACTGGCCTGGTTAGTGGGCGAGTAGAGGTGCAGGATGGAAAATGCCTATCTTGGGGGGCAGTGGAGCCATGGGGATGGCTGTCTGGCTGCATTCCAAGTCGCACAGAACCACGAACAGAACCGAAACCGAACTCTGAGAAGAAGTGGAAGCTGTGGAAGAGCAGCCAAACCTAATCCTCCGACTCCAATGAGATGAGGAGTTGTCGTGCCAGGAGAATCAGGAGGAGCAGCCAAAGATGCAGACTCTTTACACTGGTAACTAGGAGCTGAAGTCTTTATATTTTTAATATTTCAAGATAAATCTAATCTATCTATAGGATATTTTTTAATTTATAAGTACAATTTAAAAATCTTAAGAACTATTTAGAATATCTTTCAGTGTAGTGGCGCTGAAGCTGCTGATGCGGTACTTTTGCCTCTGCTGCTGCTGCAGCCACCGCTCTTTCCTCTAAAAAAAACTCCTCTAAAAATTATTTATTAACATGGTAGAAATTCGCAAACAGGTTAAAACGACCAATCAAAACAACAACAACAACAAGAGCTACAACAACAACAACAAAAGCGGCGGCAGCCAAAGACCCAAAGTGCAGATAATATTAAAAGGCAGTCAGGCAGCCAGCCGAAGTTGCATGAAGACTGTAACTTGGTGATCGTTGGGATACCAAAGGGGGAGTAGGGCGGGGAAGAGGGGGGTCATGGGGGCAGACGGAAGGCGGCAGGCGACAGAGAGGGGGTGGAGGAGCTTTTGGCCCCGACTACCAGCCAGACACATTTCGAAAAGGGCCAACATGAAATTCCATGGGAGTCGTTGACTCGCCATCGCTTCGGTTACTTTTCTTGGGAAAGTTTTTGTTGAAAGTTGGACAGTAACTGAATTTTGCCGTTTTTTTCTTATATTTTTGTTTTTCTTTTTTTCCCTCCATTTTTCTCTAAGTGTGTAAGTCTGTTTCTGCAACCTCTAGAGTCTAGAGCCAACTTGGGTTGGGGCGATAAGGTGGCGTAGAGCAGAGCAAACAAGCTTTGTAGGTGGCAAGCGGTCGGTAATCAATGGTGTTGCACCTCCAGGTGGGGCAAATTGGAGTGGGGGCTCATACATATGAGCTACTTTAAAATGGTAAAAGCAATTTGCATTGGAAAAGGTTTGGCTTTTTGTGGAAAATTTTTAGGGGAAAACAAGGTTTTCTTTATCAAAAGGTTTTTATCTTTTTTTCCAATCAAAATCTAATCAGTTTTAACTTAAAACCTGATCTAATCATAAGATATATTGGCATTATTAATTTCTTTATAAAATTCGAGTTCCTGGTAGCCACAATTTTGCCATTCCTTATTTAAAAAATGCACAATTCTCTTCAAAAACCAAAAAAACAGGATCATAAAATGAAAACAAAAGCCACAAGGGAACAAACGAAACTTGACAACAGGAATTTAAGGAATTCTTGGACCTTCCATAGAAATTCGAGCTTATGCCTGGCCAGCGCCAAATTGGTGAAATATTTATAGCCAAAAAAAGGGATGGTCAAAAGGGATATCCATGCACTCAGTTTGATTTATGGGAATACTTAAGATATTATTCAAATAATAATACAAGTTTTTATGAAATATTTTTAGATTTTTGATAGTTCCTACCTTTAATCACCATTAAAACTTATTTATTTACTTAGACATTTAAAAAAAGGTCATAATATATTGCCAAAAACTAAAATTTAAATATATCTGATCGTTACTTTTCACTTTAGCGACCTCTTGTGGGCTTGTATATCAACATAAAGTTCAATATTAAGCCAATAGGGGGCGACAGCAATCGATAGGTCGATAACAACGAAAGAGCGCGAAGTTCAAATACACAAAACAAAACACAACCAGATATTTAGTCTTATCTTATCACCAGTGACAACTTGGAATCTTTTATAATAGTGTTTGCTTAGCTTCGTAATCAGTGCAAATCGATACTAATATGACAACCTGGAATCTGAGATAACCGCAACGTCCCCCCTCGTTTGAATTAAACTTAGATATAGATAGAGAACCATATTAATCCGCCACACACGCAAACATATGTCCGATGCTCCGATGTCCGAGCACACAGAAGCATTTCAAATCTGGGAGGGCAGCTGCGGTAGCTGTAGCTATAGCTGCTACTGCTGATAACACCCGATCGGAATAAAAAGAACGAAGCGGATCGGCTTTCATCACATACAAAACAATAACAGAATGCTGTCAGCTCACGTAGTGCGCCGGCAGATTTCAGTGCCTAAGGTTCGTCGCTAGTCGAAAGTCAAGAATAGAGGAATCCGAGATATTTTCCGAACCCGGAGATGCGCAGCCTCAATCAATTCCGCTTGATCACCTTCGACGTGACCAACACATTACTCCAGTTTCGCACCACCCCCGGCAAGCAGTATGGCGAGATTGGAGCTCTCTTTGGAGCCAGATGCGACAACAATGAGCTGGCCAAAAACTTCAAGGCCAACTGGTGGGGATAGAGAGCAAATGTATAAGCTAAAATATCTGATTCAGTTAACGACCCATTCCAGGTACAAGATGAACAGGGACTATCCTAATTTTGGGCGAGACACCACCCCCCAAATTGAGTGGCAGCAATGGTGGAGAAAGCTGATAGCAGGTGAGTGTTTGGTCGAGTGTTTGTCTTCACCTCTGGGCGGTGATAAACAATCGGGCTGGGCCTGTTCCAAAGTGCATTCCGCACAATCGTAACCTTACCCCAAAATAGTGGCAACAAAATAATATTCGATCATAATGAATTTACGGGTATAGTAAATTATTTTGTGTGGCTCTGATATGAAAACGCCGTATTTATCATTCTAATTTCACGCTCCACCCGCAGGTACCTTTTCCGAAAGCGGAGCTGCCATTCCCGACGAGAAGCTCAACAACTTTGCCAACCATCTGATTGAACTCTACAAGACCTCGATCTGCTGGCAGCCGTGCAACGGCAGTGTGGAGCTCCTCCAGCATCTCCGAAAGTCCGACAAACGCAAACTGGGAGTGATAGCGAACTTTGATCCGCGACTACCGGCTCTGCTGCAGAACACAAAGCTGGACCAGTACCTGGACTTTGCCCTAAACTCCTATGAGGTGAAGGCTGAAAAGCCGGCACCTGAAATCTTTCAGCGTGCAATGGAGGTATCTGGACTGCCGGATCTCAAGCCAGAGGAGTGCTTGCATGTGGGCGATGGCCCCACCACGGATTATCTGGCCGCTAAGGAGCTGGGCTGGCACTCGGCATTGGTTCATGAGAAGAGCTATGCTTATCTGGTCAGAAAGTACGGTGAGGTTATCGACCGGGATCACGTCTTCCCTAGCCTCTATGACTTCCACAAAAAGGTCTCTGATGGCACAGTGGTCTGGTGATTGATTGTATATATTAAACTAGTAAAGCCAAACAATTTCATGTCTCCTTATTGAGGGGCTCCACTAAGGATGGTGTTTGGGCCATGAAGATGTCGCCGTAGGGATTGTGCGGCTTCTGACTCTCCCTGTCAAACTGGGAACCGATAGCCCACAGTGACTCCAGATCATATTCTTCGCGGGCTTGCGGAGAAAATATGTGCAAGGCAATGTTGCCTGAAAATAAAAAAGGTTTCTTAGCTTTAAAAATATTTCCTGGCGATTGTTAAACCTACCCAAGTCCATGGCCATCCAATCCCGACTCTTTCCACCTTCTATGCGGGGCAGGATGTCTCCCTTAACGCGCTTGATTTTAAACATGCGGCGTACAAACTCTGCGGTGCTTAGCATGTGGCGGTAGCTTCGCCCACTGCAGATTACCATGTGGTCCACGTACTTTAGGTCCTCGGGAACCGAGCACACAAATATATCATCCACGTTCTCCTTGCGCAGGAGTTCCACCAAGTCCTCGACATCAAAGACACCATGGACGCCTCCTAAAACAAAATAAACATTATATTTAAAGAATAGAATGGTTAGATTCCACTTACTCTTTATATTCAAGCCATAGTATTTATCCTCCTCTATTTCTGGCTCTTCCGTAAGCTGCTGTTCCAGTTGCCGGGCCTCCTCCACATCGAAAATCTCGGGGGAGTTCTCATCCCGGAATATTTTGTATTTGTTCTGAACGCCTCCAACTAAACTTTGACCGGAATTTCCCTCCTCTTTTGCCTGCGTCGCGGATGATTCCGGTTTGGAGAACTCGTGATGAAAGCAGCGAAGAATGGGGACACTCAGACGCTTGTCGCGGACCAGTCGGAACACGCGTGTGGCTAGCATTTCAATTAATTAAATTATATTTCATTAAGTAACAAGTGGAATTTAAGTGCTGCAAGAGTCTTGTATTTAAGGTATTGTCGTTGTCCAACACTGTTATGCATGAGGTTGCCAGATAGCCAACTCCAGTTTTTGCCAGTTTGAAAACTTTTTTACGGTTGGTCCAATCAGTGGCCTGAAACACAATTTTAATTACGATTTAAGTTTATGTTTTTTAATTTCTGAATAATATTTTCGATAAAAAATTACGAAAAAAAACCAGTGCTGTAAAACTAGAAAAACAGTGCTGCATAACTCGTAGACATGTTTTTGGTAAACATCGATACTACGATTGTATATTTCCGTCATCCCTCGTTCTGTCAACGCCGCCGCCTGATTACTCCAAATTAAAAGTATTAAATTGCAACAAAACGCAGGAAAGTGCGCAATGAGTGAACAAAAAACTAGTGGGTCGCCCCCAATGGCGATCGATAAGGATTTACGAGCCGCTCGTCAGAAGATCGAGGCGGAATACAACACCATAAAGACTGCATGGCATCGCTACTACAAGGTAAAATGGACAACAACACCAACTACAGTTGCAATTGCACAAAAAATTGCAAGGTGAAAATTGCGGTTAGCTGTAATGTGTTCAATTGGCCAGGCGAGGATATTGATGGGTACATACGACGGGTTTTCTCCTTGCTGGCCTGCCTCCTTTAGCGGTTCAATTTCCACGAAAATGTGATGAGTGCGCAAAAGGCTTCTGCAGATGCCTCCACCACCAACACACCGATGATTCTCTCTCCCCTTTCTTAGGTGTGCGTCGTGTTGGTGTATGTTTTTAGATTGCTATGTGTGTGTGTGTGTGTGTAGAGCCCCACTGTGCCAAGTGTTTTTGTTGCATTTGTTGTTGTTGTTTTTAAGTGGTCACCTCCAGCCAGGCTTACCAAAAAAAAAAAAATGGGGGGAAAAAGAATGTACAAACAGATTCTCACTAACACACACACACACACACACTTGCACAGAGTGGCATGCTCACCTGCTGCACTTACTTTGCATTCTCACCCATACTGCATCGTCGTCTCGGCATCGATTCCTGTGTATTTGGCATATTTATGCTCCTACTCCTGCTGCTAGCTGCTGGCTGGCTGGCTGGTACCTTTCCCCAAAAAACCGATTTCCTTTGACTATCATAGAGCCGGCCCCTTCCACGAAATCGGTTTAGCAAAAAAATAAAAGAAATTGAAGCAATTTCTGGGAATACGGTTTGTTGTGATTGTCGCGCCCCCCAAAATTATACAGACTGAGGGGTGACAGACGGGCCCCTCCAGAACCCACTTACCATAGACGTTTATGCTGTCATATGATGTTATGGAAATTAATATATTTATACAAGTTTATTGATAAAAATAAACACTATTTTTAAGCTTATACTGTTCTTGAAAGTTATGTTTTAAAAAAAAAGAAATTCTTAAAATCTATATCCCGCATAAACCCCTAAACAGAGAAGCTCACGCACACAGGGGCACAAAGGGCATGCGTCTGGTTTTCGGTTCAAAACTCTGGCTTGGAGTCGTCTTCTTGCTTTTGGATTTCTGGTTGCTGCCGGAATCCTCTTCTTGCTCCGCTGCTTCCTCTCTTCATCGGAGCTGGACTGGCAGTTTCTGCTTTATAGTCAGTTCCGGCGAACTGTGTCTTCAGCTGCTTGGATGAGACGGGGACGCCCTAGCCTTCCTTCGTCTCTTCGGCACTTTTTTTTATTCTTTGCTCCGTCTACCACCAATACCACTTACTTGAATTGGGATTTCACGGAATTTCACTTTTGTTGTTGTTGTTGTTATTGTGTATCTTTGCTTTTGGCATCCTTTGTCCCCGAGGTCGAGGATAATCTAATTTTCCAACTAACTGAAAGGAGTCGTTCACAATTAAATGCCGCAACAAGCTGCTCTTGTGCGTTTGCCTCCCAGGGATTTCTATTGAATTACAGTCATACATGGATATGATGGCAAATAGAAACCTAGCTGAACTACTGTCTAATATAATGTGTTTGTACTGTAGTCCAAAATACAAGTGACGCATTCCAAATTGTTTTGGTTTTTCTGTCAGCATACAATACTCATAATCATTTCCATAGAACGTCTCCATGGTTTCGCATCTCCAGACCTACATATCAGCTTACACCTCGCGCCTTCTCGATCCATCCTATATCCGTCAACTGTGACGAACGTAGCTGGGAGTTTCTTTATTTTTTTTTGCACAATTATGCTTGGCATGCATGCAATTGTTGCTTAGAGAGCTGCAGCTTTTAAACAACACGACACGCTTTAGAAATTCAAGAGCTCCAGCAATTACAATGCTTGAAAGGGTTACCTGAATAACCATAAAGCATAAAATTATAAAATATCTAACAGTAGCTTATAGGCCAAGTCGAACATTCCAATGAACACTCCTTATCTCTTGTTGGAAATATTTGATTTAAATACCTTAGGTTTACTTTCATTTTCTGTAGAATTATCAGTAAAATATCAAGTCTCATTTGTAATATTTTTTTCACTGGGAATTTCGCTTTATCGGACATTGCCCCTGAACAGATTTAAAGATTGCATAAGAACCTGCTCCATGATTTCATAAGAGACGAGAGGAGAGACAAGGCAGCGGCACCCTCAGCTGATTCACATTTCAAATCGTCACGATTTGATAATAAACTGATTGTTTTTTTTTTTTTATTTAAATCAACAATCAGCACAAGCTGCAACTGAAATTATTACTCATCGGTGTGAATTGGAGCATATATGCATGTGATTACAAAAAGAAAATATCCGGTGGCCGAAACTGAGCTTTTGAGCCAAGTTTAAGGAGTAGTTTTCTTGACCCTATTTTTGGATGGTTCGATGGGGTACCATTATATCTACATACATATATAATATGTATGAATATGGAGCTGATAAAGCCGAAGCGGCAACGGTCATGCCCAAGATAATGCCATTAACAACAGACAGTCTGCGCTGCTTGGCTAATTAGTCACGCCCGGTTTGTCAGCTGGGTGGGTGCTAGCCCCAAGCCCCCAAGCCCACTCTCTTCTAGCACTCTGCAAATATACCATGTATCTGTCTATTATTGGTGCAGCAGGGTTTGGCAATAACTAACCTCCAGACCCCCCCCAAAGCCAGCAAGGAATGCCCGTGTGAGTGGGCCAGGTGGAGGTGTCAGGGTCAAGACTGGGGCAACCCCACACAGACATAAAACTTTAAAACTTTTCCCAAAAATTGCATAAAATATTTATGTATTTTAAGCAGAATTATCGCTAAAACATTTGTAGTGAGTCAGATGTGGATATGTGCGACCTTCTATTATTCCTATTATCAGAAGCTATTACTATTTTAATTCGTTCCTAGAATTTTTCTAAAAATATAGTGTTTAATTATCAGATTCAAAAATATCAATAAAAAAAACTTTTATAGTATTGTTCACACTTTAATCTTGTTTTCAATAATAATTTCCTAGGAAGTTAATGAGATGTGCGATAGGTCGGCCAAAGAGCAACAGTTCAGCACCTCGGAATCGGAGCGCCAACAGAACCGAGGCCTCAATCGCTACAGGGACGTCAATCCCTACGATCATTCTCGAATTGTTCTAAAACGGGGCCCGGTGGACTACATCAATGCCAATCTGGTCAAGGTGAGTCTGATTATTGTACATTATAGCCCGATATTCTAATAGAATCTTCAATTTCAGTTGGAGCGTGCCAGTCGGCAGTATATCCTCACCCAGGGACCACTGGAAGACACAGTCGGCCATTTCTGGCTGATGATTTGGGAACAAAAATCCACCGCTATTCTTATGCTTAATAAACTGATGGAGAAGAAACAGGTCAAGTGCCACCTGTACTGGCCCACGGAAGTGGGAGCTGAGAAGGCTCTCAAGTTGCCCAACGTCAAGCTCACAGTGGAGTTGGTGCGCTGCGAGACGTACCAGAATTTTGTGCGACGGTGGTTCAAGTAAGGACAAGGACAATTCCTTCTGAGCTATAAAATTTATTAAACTAACTATGTTAACAGACTAACCGATCTCGAGACAAAGACCAGCCGCGAAGTGATGCAGTTCCACTACACAACATGGCCGGACTTTGGGATTCCCAGCTCGCCGAATGCATTCCTCAAGTTCTTGCAACAGGTCCGGGATTCAGGCTGCCTGAGCAGCGAGGTGGGGCCGGCTGTGGTGCACTGCAGCGCTGGTATCGGACGATCGGGTACCTTCTGTCTGGTGGACTGCTGCCTGGTGCTGATAGACAAATTCGCCGAGTGCGACATTTCCAAAGTATTATGCGAGCTGCGCAGCTACCGAATGGGACTGATCCAGACCTCCGACCAGCTGGACTTCTCCTACCAGGCCATCATCGAGGGCATCAAGAAGTTTCACGATCCCGTATGTATGCGAGACCAGCGGCCGGCGTTTGGGAGCAGAATTATGGAATTTGTGTCTGCCAAGCGTCGCCGCTTGTAGCTTGAATTTGTTGTAATTTAATCAAACCAACCTCAAGGGACATTAACAATCAGACGTATTGCGAAAATCAATTCTCGGAAAATCTTTTCCCCTTTTTTTTTTTAGCTCAAGGCCTTCGTTGTTATATTGTTTTATTGTTTTTTTTTAATTGCGAAGGCCATTTATGTTCTCGGGGACTTCCGTCTTATGACGAAATGATTGTATGGATTGTATTGTTTGACTTAAAATAATATTAAAGACTCGACCAAAGAAACGAAGAGTTATTTTTGATTTTAAACACACAATCATCGACATCGCTCTAAATCCTACACACATCTATATATCCGCAGACCTTTCTCGACTCTGAGGAACCGATTCTCAGCAACGACATCGAATCACACACAGGAGACGAGCAGCCTCCGCCTTTGCCGCCTCGCATTCAGTCTCTGCTGAACCTGCCACTGGCCCCCAAATCCGATGGCGTCTTGTCTCTAAATATGCGAGCCGCCCACGCCAACGGGGCCGAGACAGTGGACGAGCTAATCGGCGACAAGCTGAGCAGCAAGGACGCCTTGAATAATTTCATAAATCAGCATGATATGATTCGCGACGCTGAGGTAGCCGATAGCCTAGGCTCATTGCCTCCGTTGCCCTCGAGAGCAGGTCTGGATGAGTCGGACAGTGACGACGACTATCTGCATGAGGATGACGATGACGATGAGGATGACGACGAGAACGATGACGATATCGACGAAGAGTATGAGACCATTAACGAGCACGATGCCGAGCCTATTGATTCCCATGTGCCCACGACGGCGACAACGACACAGCCACATGCCGACGATCTAAATGCCAACAACGAGCCAGCCGCCCCAGCCGGCGAACAACACAAAATCAATGGAGTTGATGTGGGACAGCACTCAGCCAGGTAACTAATTAACTTTCCAATTCTGAGGAAACTATTAATATCGTTGCACTTGTAGTCCCGAGAACGAGCTGAAGCGAAGAAAACGCACCGAATACCAGGCTAGTTTGGAGCAGAAGGTGAACGACATCAAAAGGAAGCAGCGGGAAAACGACGACAACCAGCTGGCGGCAAAGAAACGAAGGTCATTACTCACATATATTGCCGCTGGTGTTGTGGTGGGCGTGATCTGCGCCTACGCATACACGAAGCTAGGTTAAGTGCCCCACCCCCCCGTATCCAATAAGTAGTCGTAGACCAGTAGCAATAGCTGTATGACGTATGTAGTTGCCGTAGTAGGAAATCAATTCCCCAATCTCCGTTTTCAACTTCCGGCCATCAATCCCCGATTCCCAGCAGTGCTTCTTGCATCGGGCTGGCATTTAATGTGAGCACGATTCACATTGGAAGCACGAATCGGATCGGATTGGATGATGGGAGATCGCAATATAGATTGCGGATTGAGATAAAACGAACACGATACAAGAAGATGGCATAAATATTAGGGAATTTTTTATAAACAAAAAAACAAAGAAGAAATAAAAAAAAAAAACGGAAAATAATAAAAAACACAAGCAAAACGAAATAAGCAAATAAATTAAACGATAACCGGGTAGAAAGAAATCACGTCAAAAGTAGATTTTGCGCAATAGACTGACTTTTAGAACAAATTTATTTTCTACTCCCTAAAATACTGGATTAATAACTGACCGAAACCGTGACCAAGACAGACCCCAGTTGTCTCCACACACCAAAACTCACACCTTTCAACTTATTCGCTCGCTATGCAATAAATTTGATTATAAATTGTATTTAATGAGAGATAATCCAAACCCCCCACAAACTTTCCCCCCCACACGCTTCACTCGTTGTTGTACAGCAATTTCTTATAGCATACGACCTATTTTTATTTATTTATGGATGAAGAATTATGAGAAACCAACACTTGTTGTAGAAGCATGGCAGAAAATATTAAAAAGTGCAGCAATGTGCCAAAAAAAAAAAAAATGAATTACCTTATCGGAGAAAAGTCTTTTTCGTGGCTCTTTATTTAACTTGCCCAGCCCTTGCTTTCTTTAAATTTTATTAAGAAAAGTAAAATCTGCGCCATTGAAGCAATAAATAATAATAATTATTAGCACAAAAATACACCTATACCTCGTTTATCTATAAAAAACGAGTTTAAAAATCAAAACCCCAATGTGAAATTAAAATAAAGTGATTGTTTTCAAAATTATTCCCATTATAATTGTATTTATTTTGAATTAATTTATCTTTTTAAGATTCTTATGATTATAATCGCTAAGCGAGGTACAGGTGTATAATATGATTGTATAATATAATTGCATTCATGTTGAGTTCCACAATAAAAACTACAAAAGGACGATGAAAATGAGAAGATGGAAAACTATACAATGGTTTTTCCAGTAGAGTAAGTGTGTATCCCATAGAACTAATTCCCAAAAAACAAAAAAACAAATATTTATATAAACATGTAGCGTAAGATAACGCAAGAATAATACGAATTATTTTTTATATGGGTAATCCACAATTTAAAAACAAAAAGGAACAAAAAAAAAGGAAACTTTCAAGCAACCACCCACAAAACGAGGCAGAAAAATGACTCCGTAACGAAAATTGAAATCGAAAAAAAGTAAACAAGGATCACTATTAAATAAATACATATTTATATAAATTATATTTAACAATAATAACATGAACAATACCTATAGTAATGCCTAGTTAACTGAACGTCGGCTAAGTACACACTCCCTACACTGAAAAAAATCGAACACAACACAAACCAATACACGTACTATATAAAAAAAAATATATAATGCCTATGAGAGAACGAAAAGAGAAGTGAGAAAGTATTCAAATAAAGCTATATATTTAAGTCACCAGAATTTCAAATCGCTTGGACTATTTTCTATGGCCATTTATAACGTTTTCATCTTTTGTTTTCAGACGCGTAAATCGACACAAAAAAACCAAGACAAAGTAACAGCCATCCAAAAGCACAGCCCCATCCAGTCCAGCACCATCAAAAATAAACAAAATTACATATCACGTTGCATAATTGTATTTTTTTTTATTAGAAAAATAAAATAGTTTTCAAATAACGAAACATTTTCAAATGCCAACGGTCGATATATATCGAAGTCATCAAAAGTCATAAACACTTGAAAGTGGGACCAGAACTTATTATTAATTAACATAATTTTAAGTTTCTGAATATTTTTATTGAAAAATAAACTTTTTTAAACAAACATTTTATTTAAAATATATTTTTAATATTTCTGGCTAATATTATTCGATAACATTAATTCGATAACCGCGATGTTAACTAGCAGGCTATGTTAATTCCGATACATTTACCAAAAACCTCCCACCTCTAAGAATTCTGATAAAAATAAAACGTGCTGCAGCCGCTTTCATTTCTCTTTAATTTGTTTTTTGTTAAAAACTAAGTGAAAAAATGGCAACTAAGCCGAAAAAAGAAGCTCTTTGTGATTATTGCGGAAGCAATAACGATGCAAAGCACATTTACTCCGCCCAGAAGTCCTTCGTCAGCCGGAAAGTATTGGAGCTGCTTGAGATCATAACTCACAAAAACGTGAGTACTGTCCCCCCAAAAAGGCGCCAATCTGCGACCCAATTTGATTAAAATTTCTCCCCATTCGACAGCTGCCCAATAATGTGGGCTTCAAGGTATGCTTCCTATGCGCCTCCACACTGATGTCTACCGTCGGCGTTATTGAAAAAACGCAGAAATTGGTGGACGCCTGCCTTCTCAATGTTGCCAACAAGAAAAAGAAGGCCCCTGGAAAGGCAAAAGCGACGGTAGAAGAAAAAGCGAAGGAGGCTGTAAACGAGGTGAAAGAATCCGAAAGCGAGGAAACTTCTGGAGAGGAAGAAGAAAATAAGGAAGAGGAAGTAGAAGAAGAAGATGTTGTAATTGATATTACCGAAGATAGAGAAGAAAAGCCAAAAGCTAAGCCCAAAATCGCTTCTCCAAAGAAGATAAACACGACCATTCGACAGCGAAGCAAGTCCATGGCTGCTCTGTCGGTGACTGAAATACAAAAAATAACTCAAAATTCCATTACTGGTTCGCCCAAGAAGCAGCTGAAGCAAACGACTCTTCTGGAGAGCTCTGAGGTCAAGCTAACGCCGAAAAAGCAGGATTCTCGGCAGGAGGACAACCTGATCGATTCCGTTAAGATAACACCCGCCAAGGAGATTGCACCCAAGAAGAAGGTCTTCCTCCAGCTATTCGGCTCTAGCCACAATGAACACCTGGAGACTGAGAGCGATACGGAGAGCGATAGTGAGGGCGAGAAGAAAATCCAGTTTTCGCCACAGGAATTCGAGTGCCGGCTGTGTGACTTCAAGTCGAAGTTTCCCAAGCTGTTCAAGGAGCATCTGTCCAAGGAGCACGGCCAGCAGAGGCCACGAATCTATTTCTGTGATGCCTGTCCCAAGACCTTTGGTGTTCTGAAGTCATTGAAACATCACTTGTCCACCGCACATGGAGTAAAATTGGAGAGTGTTTACCAAGCTACCACCAAAAAGACCAAGGAGGATAAGCCCAAGGATGCTAAGGTGAAGAAGGAGAAGGCTCCGGTAGTGAAGTCCAAGCCTGAAACTAAGGAGAAAATCCAAAAGGAGGATTCGGATCCACCGGCTGATTCATTCAAAGCCTTAAACGAGTCCGAAATCAGGAATAAGCTTGTGGACAAAGTAGTAAACGATGATTATACATTCGCTGTTAATGGATCCAGTGCATCCACACCTATGGCTGGTTCCGATACCCCGCAATTCCAAGAGTTCAAGTGCGACATTTGCGACAGCGAATTCTCCACTGCTAGGCTGATGCAGGAACACCACACGAAGGCCCATGGCATCGAGAAACCCAAGGTGTTCAAGTGCCAAGTCTGCGACAAATCCCTGGCCACTAAGCAGACTTTGATGCACCACGCCAAGTTGCACCAGGAGAGCGTTGGGGATACCAAACGAAAGATTTTGCAGGAAGATAGCGTGGACAGTTCCAAGAAGGAGGCTGCCGTCTCTGAGGATAAATCGGCTGCTAAGAAAGACACTACCAAGGAAACTAAAAAGGAGAAGGCATCCAAGAAGGTTAAAGAGGATAAGCCTAAAGCTCAGGAGTCGCCGGTAAAAGCTCCCCAGGAGATTAAAGAAGTTGCCCAAAAGGAGGATTCGGAACCACCTGTATCTTTAATCAAAGCCTTGAACGAGTCCGCCGTCAAGAAGAAGCGTCTTGAAAAATCGGCAAACAATGAAGATGCAGTCGCTCTCAACAGATCCAGTGCCTTATCACCCGTGGCTGGTGAAGAGTCCCCGGTTTTCAATTTATTCAATTGCGACGTCTGCGACAGAGTCTTCAACTCCGCCACGCAAATGCAGAATCACATAAAGCAGACCCACGGCATCGAGAAGCCAAAGATCTTCAAGTGCCACATCTGCCAGAAGTCCTTGTCCACCAAGCAGACGCTAATGTACCACTTGAAGTTGCATCAAGAGGAGGGTTCCAAGCCAGACGAAGAGGCAAACGAAGTGGAGATTGTCGGCAGTCCACGGGAGGCTGCAGAACCGAAGAAGAAGCCGGCTGCCAAGAAGAATCTTTCCAAGGAATACAAAAAGGATCAGGAAGCTGAGAAACCCAAGAAGGATAAGTCGAAACAGATAGAGGAAACTGTTCCCACTGAGACACAAGAGGTTGATGTTATAATGGCTGCTCCCAAGTCTCCCGTCAAGAAGGCCAAGAAGGAGAAGAAGCCACTGAACACCTCCCAAGATGACTCTTCGCCTTCCCCAGTTCTGAATGGTGGGGCTAAACTCAACAAGTCTGGAAAGCGCAAGCTTAAGGTTAACCAGTCCCTCGACCAAGATGGCCCAGCCAGCTCCAACAATGATTCCACAATGGAGGACTCTGCATCCCCGCAGCAGCTGATGAACGAAGTCAACCCCAACGTCCGTCCGCACAAGAAGGCTCGACTGGATTCCGTTGTGTCGATTGGTGACGAAAGCACCTTGGACAGCACCGCCGATGAGACGATGGACTTCAACTGCAACCAGTGCGGCAAGACGGTAACCTCACGCCGTCGCCTGGACTCGCACATCCAGAAGAAGCACGGCGTGAAGCTGCAGTGTCCGGTGTGCAAGGACAGCCACCTACTGCAGTTGGACTATGTGGCGCACTTTGCCGACTGCAGTGCCCTCGATGGACTGCCCTGCGGTGTACCCATGTGCAAGAAGGTCTTTGCCGACGCCAACTACTTGAGCACCCACCTCCGGAAGCGTCACCAGTGGGCGTAGTTACGTTTTTGTTTTTTAACTTTTCATCACTAATTGACCATCTTTTTTAAATTAGTTTATAAATCATATCATAATTAGATGTATCATCCGGTACATTGCTTTAGTTTTTGTTAACAAATAAGAGAAAGGATACTCTTTGGAAGGTCCTTGAAGAAAATGTAAATGTACTCTCAGAAGCTACATTAATTTTAAAACCGGAGAATATTTTTTATATTAAAGTTACAAAAAAGAGAATAAAAAAATAGTACCTTAAGGAGTGGTAACTGTTAATAAAGACTGTCATTTGACTCAAAAAATAAACAAAATAGACTTATTTCTTTCTAATATATTTATTTTTAATATTTTCCCCCCCAAAAAAAAACAAAAACAAAACTAAAATAACGTATTTACGCGATAACCAACAATAGGCGCCATATGCCTAGCAGAGCACAAGAATTTCCATAAAATATATGTATGTATGTATATGTAGATGTATGGGCCAGGGAAGTGCTTCCAATGGAGTCCAACTACTTGGGGGAAAGATGGGGGAACAGTATTGTCTAGTCACACTTTTCTACTTAATGTAAACAATGATTTTGATGTCATGTGATGGGAGGTAGGACTGGTGTGTTGGGTGGGAGCGGGTTATAAGCCATATCCTCAGGAAGTTGCCACTTTCCCGTGAATCTCCGCCTGGGCCACCTTCATCACATCTAAAGCTCCTCGCTTAATCAGCTCCTCGGCCAGGGTTTTGCCCAGTTGGTAGGCCTTCTCGTAGATCCCGCGACTGTAGCAGGCGTGCTGGTAGATACCGCAGAACAGGTTCTCCACATCCTCAATGAGCACCGATTTCTGTGGCAGGGGTTGCTCCTCGTCAGCGTAATCGAACATCTGGACCGTCTTCTGGAGGAAGGGGCACTTGGCCTGGCTGGCATTACCATTGTTCTTAGCCACCGGTGCCTCCAAGCCGCTGCCCTGATGCATCGCCGCAAACGGGCACTTCGAGGAAGTGGCCACATTGTCCACATCATCGCCAGTGCTGCTGGCATTACTGGCCCTGCTGCTCGGCGGTGTGGGCAGAACCGAAGTTTGTGCCGCTCCTGTAATGGGACACTTGCCGGCATGGGCATATGATATCTTGGTCTCCTTGTTCACGTACGGACACTCGCCCATAAAGTCCTGGCCCACGGGCATCTGCAGGGGGCAGCTGGCAGCCGTATTTGCGTTTCCATCATTCGCAGCTGAGGAATCTCCGGAAGCGGCATGTGCTACAGGACATTTGACGGCAGCAGGCTTAGCTTGATTGTGCGCCACTGGGCACTGGCCCATGACCTCCTGGCCGCCAACCAGCCGCAGTGGACACTGGCGTGGAGTACTGTTGGCATTGCTGGTATCGGCATCACCGCCACCGATTCCGGGAGCTGGTGGTGCTGTGCTGGGATTCCCCAGTACTGGACACTGGCTAGCCAGTTCCGAGAGCTGCTCAACACTGTAGCCGGTGAGGGCCTCGCAAGCGTCCACATCCTCACAGATTATGGGAGGGGTCCCCTGTTGACGCGGACTACTCGAGTTCGAATCCGAGCCAGAGCTGGTGTTACCATTCTTGGCACGCTTCGATGCTGGCGGCGAGTCGCAGCTGTTGCTGTTCTCCTCCTGCATCTGGCTGGTACTCTCCTGGGCACCTCTCTTCCTTTGTTCCGTCTCCGATTTCTCCTCGTTTAAGGCACAAGCCAGGTGGCTCCTTATCTCTATAGCTCCGTCAAGACTCCACACAGCTCCGGTCAGAGAAAGTTCCACCTCCTCGGTGTTTCCGTTGAGGGGATCCCCCTTCAGGTTGCTACAAACCGCCACCGGAGCCGAACAACCTCCGCCCAGGGTTTTCAAGAAGCTCCTCTCCGCTAGAATCCGGCACGTTGTGTTCAGGCACATCAGTTTCTGGAGCATGGCCAGGATAGGTTCATCATTGGCGCGACACTCGACTGCCAGGGCACCCTGACCCACGGCATAAAGCAGTTCTGTGGGATCCAGCACCTGGCTGATGCGGCTCATCCAGCCCATTCTCACCAAGCCCGCTTGGGCGAGAATAATGCCAGCAAACTTCGAGTCGGCGGCATCCAGTTTGGCCAATCGGGTGTTTAGATTTCCACGAATATCGCACACAACCAGGTCCGAATACTTCCTCCGGATCTGAGATGTTCGTCGAAGCGAGGAAGTTCCTGAAGAAAAGATCCTCCATTTAACTAAATTCAGGTATAGGGATTACTTTTTAACTCACCAATCACACTCCCATTGGGTAGAGAGGCTATCGTGTGGCCCTTGAAGTTCTCGCGGAGCACCAGCGCATCTCGGGCATCTTCTCGCTCCAAAACAGCTCCAATGGCCATTCCAGTTGGTAGAGCCGTGGGCAGATCCTTCAGCGAATGCACCACAAAGTCCACGCCGCCATTGCGAAGAGCATCCTCCAGGTCCCGGGTGAATAGACTCTTCTCCCCGATCTTGGGCAGTGAAACGTTGAGAACACGGTCTCCAAAGGTGGACATGGTGTCTGTAAAGTGGGGAATTATTGGAAATCTATTAGATATCGTGAAGATGTTCTATTAATTGCAGTTTGTTATGTCACCGTCTGATAAGAAATCCCGCCCAGTAGCCCCCCAAGTAACTCATTTTTATGACAGCAATCAAGGGGGACATGCCAACAGCCGTATCTCCCCAACATCCCCTACTTGGAACACGCAACGATAATGTCTTTCCCCAATGCTTTGCTTATCAGTGCGGGAATACAATTTGAATATAGTAGCAAGTGTGGGGGGGGGGGCCTTAAAGTGGATGTTGCGTGTTCAAAGTGGAGCTTCAATTCCATTTTAATGGTATTCCGATAAACCCAGCTGAGAGAAGATTACGATTGTTCGTGTTTTTTGGTGGTCAGAAAGGTGAGTCATCGTGAGTGGATTTTAAATACATTATCATAATCAAAGCAATCTTATCGTGAGTTCCATAGTACTCGCTATGCTTGATGAAATAAAATTTCAACAGTTTATTCTGTTATGTCAACAGTCGCTCAATATCTAATCAAAATATTTACATTATCAGGAAAAACGTCAGCACTCAGATAAACCAAACCGATTCGATCTTATCTGATGATTCTCGACACTAAATCCTCACGTAATTGGAGAAAGTACAAGAACAGGGTAATGGTACAGGGTAATGTTTATTATTTTAAAGAAGTATATAGCTATCTAGATATATTATCTTGAATAGTATTTGTATGTTTAGGTGATATAACATTTTTCGGCGCCCTAGACTCTACGACAACAACAGACATTGACATTGAAGATACTTTGCCAATCGCGGCACGTGAGCGGGAGAGAAATGATGAAATGTCTAAAGAGAGACAGAGAGAGTGTGATAAATAAAGCTCATAAATGAAATCAAAAATAAAAACCGGCTAACGATGATACGATCGTAATATTTGTCTCAACCACCGAGATAAGACCTTAGACCCCCACCACTAGAATTTCCACGAGTCATGCTTGGAATACAGTTTCTAGCATGAATTGCTGTTTACTTGCTGGAAGGGAGTGAGTTTCCAGTTCAGTTTCCCATTCCAGTTCCCATTATAACTTCCAATATACTTTCACTTACGGATCTCGAATTTCTGCTTGGGATACAGCTTCTGCAGTCGGCCGATGACATGTTTGGTTTGAATCAGAGCCAGCTGTAAGAGATAGAGAGAGTAATTAGCTTATTAAGTGTGCTATTTAAATGTTAAATGCAAATGAACTCCCAGGGGATAAGTGGAGAGAGTGGGCAGGCAGGCAATTAAATTTCAAATAAGTCAAGTAATTTTAAATTAAAATGCCAGCAGTGAGTTTGGCCTTCGTTTCAAGCACGATCAAAGGTGGCACTTGGCCATTAAGCTCAAAATATGAAAAAGCAAAGCCACAAAACTTGATGGAGATTGTTAACGTTGTGCCCCAAAAAAGTGCACAGACAGAAATTTAGGATATTTTTTTATAATTTTAAATTTATTGAATTCAATGTGTAGTTATTTCATAAATAATTTATGTTTTCTAGAAAAATAGTCTCCAAGTTGGAGTTTTACTCCACCGATTCCCTCCCCCCTCCCTCCTAATAAAGTGCGTGAATGTTGTTATTGCAAAATTGTGTAACAGTAAAGCAAAAAAACGAAAAAAAAAAAATCGGAGCAAAGAGCATTAGCAACTACAACAAATACAACAACAACCAAAGAGCAACAAGTCTCTCTCCGAAAGTAAACCTCTTGCATAAAGGCGGGTGCCAGGTGGAATATGTTCAAAGGAGGAGTCAGAGGGGATGGGGGCAAGGGACAAAATGTGATTGAAATTCAAATGGCCAGCTAGCAACGCTATTTTAATTCAAAGCGGATGTAAGTATGCACATATTTTTTTTTGTCTAGAATCTGACTCTCAAAGACCACTTACCTCGCTCTTTCGCGAACCAACGCGTATAACCTTCTCCTGCGCGGACATATTTCTGAATTAAAGTTTTGCCAATCACTATTGCACAATAATTTTGTTTATGTTAGGTTTTTGTTCGATGTTGCTTTTGTTGTAGTGGCTGGGCCAAAGTGAAAGTGCGGAGAACAGCTTTCGGGGTCACGTTGGCAGTGTGTGAAGAGAGCGCACGAGGGGGAGTGAACGAGAGCGCGAGGAGCCTTGATGCGGAGATGAATGAAAACGTAAATGCACTATTCCAGACACATAGCTGGGACTTATTGTCACTTGGCTTTGTACTATACGGGTGAAATCCGAAAGGTTTTATTAAACGGATTTTCCGCTGGCCGTTACTACGTCCGAGCGCTTAGTTAAGAGTGGTGGTCAAGTGAAGTTAGCGATGGTAATATATAATAAAAATAAATATATCGATATACACATTAAGAGATGATATCGATGAATAGACCCACAATCGAAGTTAAGATATTTTTTCAAATATTTTTGACGATTAAGTTAATTAAATTGATAATTAAATTGTAATTCAGTTTAGGCAATTTTTTAGACGCATATAGACGCAACATATATACTATTCAACTACGGCTATAAAAGACGTAAGGTGAACCAACAGCATCACTGCTTAGTAGGCCCATCAGCTGTTCAAAAGCAAAATATAAACAAAGACGATGCCAAGATAGATTAACAATGTTTTTGGTAAGAACTATTGCCAATAAAATATAGATAAATTATATTAGATTGTTGTCATTATCCAAACAGTTCATCAGCCGCCCCACCCGGACGCTGGGCAACCGCATGCAGGAGGTTCGCGAGCGTCTGGGTGCTGATTTTGCTGCAAAACTTGATGCACTGCACCGGAATGCCCTACGCACTGGGCTAGTTTCTATCGAGGAGCTGCAGGAGGCCTTCCGCAACACCCGCGACATCGGCCACAATCCCAATCGGTTGAATCTGCTTTGGCTACTGGGGATTGTGTTCTTTATCATGGTGGCCACTCCGGTCTTTTATGAGACCATTTCATTCTTGTTAGGCGTTCGCTGTTTTCTGCCCAATAACTATTTGGTTTGGGAAGCGACGCGTCCGATAAGCGACTGCGAGTTCTGCAAGGGAGTGAAAGCCCCACTGATCCTGTCGAATCTCACCATGGAGGAGTTTGCGCCACACGCCTATTCTTCACTGCCGATTATAGTCAAAAAAGCGGTTGCTCATTGGCCAGCTCAAAAACAACTGAGTTATAGCTACATCAAAGATCTCTACGAGAGCTTTCCGGAATCTATGGAAACCGATTGCCAATTCCAGCATTTTAATTCTGATCTCAAATCGTTGAAGGATGTGTGGGCCATGTCGGAGGAAAGGTCAAACCTGAGTCATGGAGCTCCATGGTTCGTTGGGTGGAGTGTGTGTCATCCCGGGGTTCTCGCAGAGCTCCGAAAGTTGTATCCTCGTCCACACTTTCTGCCTGTGGACGCAGAAATGCCGCACGCTGATTTTATTCTCATGGGCTATGAGCAGGGAGCTGTCATGCATGTAGGCTATTAATCTGATTTATTAAATTTTCTTTTTAATTTCTTTAAAATTTACTTTAAGCTGGACTACATTCCTCGCCTGATGTGGCAGGCCCAGCTGAAGGGCAACAAAAGCTGGTTTCTAGCGCCTGCCCCCGAATGCGACCATCAATGCCAACCTTTATCCTTTTACGTGGAGCCAGGAGATGCAGTTTTGGTGGATACACGCATATGGTACCATGCCAACACCATTCCCAAGGGTCAATTTTCACTTACCGTTCAATCTGAATATGGATGATATTCTTGTTTATTTTAAGAGTTTCTATTTATTAAAATGATTAATTTTTACCGCCGAATTTTTGAATTTTAACTGTAGTTTGTTATCGATTTCCGATAGTCAGAAATGCAACATTCTTTCGGCCAACAGTTATTTAATGCAACAGTTATCAAAGTAACTGAGAAAAACAACAGAGCTAAAAAGTAAAAATAAATTAAAAAAGAAAATGGAACCTAAACTAGACTTTGGCAAGGTATCGTCCAGGCTTTATGGAAACTATTCACACTTGGCCAAAACTCTTAAGGAACGCTGTGTGGTCAAGACTGTAATGAAGCCGCCTGCGTTCTTTGATAGCCTGCAACGAATGATGGACGAGGAGGCAAAGTTTGTAACGCCATCCAAGGACCTCGGCTCCGTACCAGATTACGTGGAGCTTTTCAAGACCCTGGACGAGTATCCAGCCAATCTGCAGAAGATACAGCCGAAAAAGCGCGAATTACAGCGGGCCAACTCCACGCTCCTGAGGAGTGTGGATACTCTTGCTGATCAGTCGGCGGCTCTGAACTCGTCCAACATTTCATTGAGTATGACCCGCTTGGAAGAACAGCGCAGTGCCGTCGAAGTCTACAGCGATTTCAAGGCATTCCAGAGAAAGCTAGCCAAGATCTACGACGAGGCCGCCGCTCTGGACAAAACAGAAAGCATCTACAAGGATAAGCTGGCACAGCTTCATGGGTTTGCTCAGCAACTGGAGAAACTTTTGCCGACAAGCGCTGACTCTCTTCCTGACGCATTTAGTCCAGCCGACCAGGAGAAGCTATTGGCCATCGCCGAGAATATGGAGCAATTGAACTACATGCGATCCCATAGCCTTCAGCTACCCAATGCTAGTGAGATCGCAGCTACTGGAAGTTTGGCCGCCCGCCTGGAGATGTTTGTCGAAGTGCTCACCTACACCCTAATGCAGATCAGCAGCTACAACTTGGTTATGATTTAAATTTTGATTTTTTTTTAATAAAATCTTTTCAAAATGTTCTTTAAATTTTTAAAATAAAAATAAATAAGTTGATAAATGTACTAGGATGAATCCTCGGCTTCATCTTGATCCTCCTGAAAGGCTTTCATCTGGGCCACAGTATCGCACAGGGCCACCAGCTTTCGAACCGAGCTGCCAAGATGTTCTACTCGGTGCCTGTGGGCAAGGCACCCATCGAGGGCGCTATAGGTTTCCTCTTTGTGGTCGCTATTCTGCACCAGCTGCTTAAAGTTCTCAAGGATCTTGACCAGCGCCAACTCGCACTCCGGTTGGACATTAAAAACCTTTTGGGACTCCAAAGGGGAGACATTTTGGGCCAGCGCTTTGTTGTTGGACTCGATGTGAAGAAGCGTATTATTGGAGCGTTCCATTATCTCATCTATTTTGGCAACCTGTCTGGCCATTGTCTGACGCCTGGCGGCTTTAATTTTAAAGAAGTTAGATGCTGTTTTTGTAGTATTATTTATTATTTACCAAGTCCCGCCAACATTTCATCTACAGCGTCCGACATTTCGAAATTGTTTGACTTTCCAATTTGTCAAAAACAGCTGATTTGGTTATCGAATATAATATATCGATAAAACCGTTAATTTAAACAACTAGCTTTGTTAAAATTGATGAGAATTGTTTTGATATTACATTCTGAATGAACTTTATTTTATTAAGTCTATTTCCAACAAAAGTTTATGTAAGGTTTGGTTTATTCAGTTGTTCAAATTGTATTTGACTTGTTTTCTATTTAAAGTTAAGTGTAATCCGTTTCATGGCGTGCATTACAATTACAATTTACTCGTACACATCCTCCTTATCGGCGACGTACTTAATAATGTCGGCAGGTTTAAGCAGCTTCTCGGCATCAGAGTCGGGAATCTCGAATCCGAACTCATCCTCCATGGCCATAATGACCTCAACGTGATCCAAAGAGTCCAGTCCCAGGTCGTTGATGAAGTGCGATTCAACGTTAAGCTGTCATGAGAAATAAATACAATTATTATATGTTTCTTTTCAATTTAGTAAGCTTTGTTCAGTTCCTTATTTTGACATTGGTACTGGCAAAGGCAATATGCGGCATTTACCTTGCTGGGATCGATCTTGTCGTACAGCTTGAGCACAAGCAAGACGCGCTCATTGATGAGCTTCAGCGAGAGCGGCGGTTTCGCCGAGTATCTGCGCACCGATTGCGTTTGCCAGCGACCTCTGCACTCCTGGGTGAGCCAAATGAAAAGAAGGAAACAAAACAGAGCGAGTTAGTAATGTCTCGAATAGGATAGATTACCTTCTCGGCTGTGACTTTGTCGTAGGCCGAAACCACTTTAAGCACACGGAACTTGATGTCCTCAATGGTGCTTTTAGCCGAGTAGTTGCGAGCTGCGAAGTTCTAAGGAGAATAATAACATTAATTGGACTTCTAAAGGTTTTCAGTAACTTTTAAACCAAAACTAACAGACTTTAAGTTAATACCCGGCCTCCAATATCCATGTTACCTCATAGCCAATCGACACTGTTGTACTATCAGACAAACACATGCAACACCGGTGTTGCAGGTGTATGTGTGCCTCGTATGAGCGAAACAATCATGTTTTTCAAGCAAAACAAAGTGATGCAATCGGGATGGGTCGCTACGAGGACCACATGTTATGTTTCCAAGTGCCAGAATCTAGCTTCTGGAATAGTTAAACGATTCCGGAAACCCCTAACACTATCTCAAAGTTATTTTGCAATGAGGTTAGGTCTTCAAACGGGGTAGCTTTCGATGGACTATCCTGGGCCGATGATGCACCATACGGAAACAACTTACTTGGCTCAACTGGCTGGCAATAGCCGGCATGGTGATCCTGTGCATCATCCTGGCCTGTGTCTGGACAACCGCGGCGGAGGCGATCCTTTTTGTGGCCAAAGTCGACGCCAGCCGACTGCAGCTGCGGGCGATCTGTGTAAACGACATCTTGGTTCTCCTGCAAGGGGAATGCAGCCGGATTAGTAAGGCGCGTCGTTAGTAGAGTACCCAAAAGCGGTGTACGAATATTGGACAATATTTACACTGAGTTTTCAAGATTATGTAAAAGTTCTAGTAAAAGACAGCAAGGGGAGATGTGACCAGGTGCCTTAAAATATGGTGGATATAAATTCGATTTTTATATCGATGCATCGATCACTTCTTACGATATTTTTGATGAAAATAAATTTAAAATATATTGAATAAGTCAACTTAAAGTTATCAGAAGAGCGCGACAATAAAACAAATTCGCTTTTTTTTTTAAAGATTTAGACAATAGTCGTAATTTATCAATTATAACATAGAATGGTTAATTAAAATATGGGAACATGTTTCAGATTTTATGCGCATCTTTTGTATATCTGCACCTAAAGAAGTTAAAAATATACAGAAATCAAGAAGGAGAAATATATTCATAATATAACATGAAAATTATATAGAAAAGTTATGAAGTATGTAGTATCCCCAAAATAGAGTTTCCATTTTTTCTGAAGTGGAATCGATAACAATTTGAAGTAATCGAAAGCGCGCCAAAAACTTTAAATTATGTTTTCAACATTTTCAAAGATAAGAAGATAAGAAACGTCTTGGCCACGTTTGCCATAAGCTCCACGTCACGTGAATGAATTTTTTTTCTTTTTTTAATGAAATTGAATAAAATCCAAGGTATAATACAAATTCTCATATATTTATAAATATTTTTGTAAACAATATACATTTAATGGGAACATAGTCGTATAAAATTCATATTACACATCTCGCTTGGGCGGCAGTAACAAAAATACATAAGTACAATATAAATTACATGAATATAACAATACAAAAGGTTTTCATTTAAAGCCACTTGATAGAAACTCGTTGCAAAATTCCTTATTGTCCAGCAATCTAGGGGAATAATTAAAAAATGTTTGAGATATGGAGTTTATTTTGGATTTATAGGTATGACGACACTTACAACAACAAGATGGCCGCTCTTATCACGCACCACTCCCGGCTCGGCACCCGTTTGGATGTCAATGACACCGCCCTTGCCCTTGACCACATTGTGCTCCAGCCTGCAAAAATAAGGAATGATAGGTTAAATTCTCCATTAAAATGAAGCTAAGGATACTTACGAATCTCTGTCCACAATGGAGACGATCTGGGCCGTGCCCACGGTGTCGATAATGTAGGTGCTGAACTCAATGATGCGGGGAATGATCAGGATCAGGTCACCCTTGTCCTTCTTAAGCTCCAATGGAATGCGGATAACCATCAGGTCGTCGTTGTGGTTCGTCAGCGTAAAGTCAATCTTATCCAGCGGCAGGCGGTGTTTCTGCTTGTAGGTCTTTCCATCCAGGACATAGATGGCCTTGTTGCTCAGCAGGATGAAGCGATCGCGGGACTTGTAGCCGTGCCGATCGAACTTGGTGCAGAAGGTCTGGTACTTGAGCTGCTCGCTCCCGAAGGTGCTGGCCACAAAATCGTTGACCTTCTGGATGTGCTCTTTGGGAATGCGATCCTCCTGGAACCAGGTGGGCACACTCGACGCATAGTTGTTCTTCTTGCCCTTGAATACCTTTTCGGCAAGGACCTTCAGCTCGAACTGGCGCTTCTGCTGCGGCGTCAAGCCCAAGCGGTAGATCCTGGCCAGGTGCAGGCGATGCAGGCGGTGAAGGTACGCGGAGGCCTCCTCGCAGTGGCCGGGAGCATGGGGCCAGCTCTTGTCCAAGACCTTCTTGGGGAGTTCCTTGGCCAGTCGAAGCAGCCACATGCGCTTGGAGTTGGCAATGAACTCCTCGTTGAAGCCGTTGGGAGCATCGTTCCTGGTGATGAAGCCCTTGATGAAGGCTCGAATCTTGTCCGCCGCCTCTCGGCGCTGCTTGGCCGCCTGTTGGGCCAACCTCCTTCGGCAGTAGCTCTGCAACACGATCACCTGAGCACGCAGCTTCAGGTACTTCCTCCTCTGTACCAGACCCTTCCAGTGGGCTTGGATGATGGCGGCAATTTCGTGCTTCTTGGCCTGGTAGGCGTCTTCCGTGTCGAACAGAGTCCTGGGCCAGCGGATAAAGAGTTTCGTCTCACCCACACGGTACTTCTCGTCGTCCCAGCCCAAATCCTTGACCAGCTGCTGTACTCCGGCCTTGGGACCGCCCGGTCCCTTGCAGTTCGGCCAGGTGTTCTTGCTCAGACACTTGTAGCGCTCCAAGAAGAGCTCGTAGGTGCGTCGGTAGGCGAAGCCGGCTCTCCTCACCCTCAGGTTCTCCATCAGACCCAGATACTTGACCTGGTGCAGCACCAGCTCATCGTTAAACACCGATGGAGTTTGGAGGTCGTTGGGTTTGATACAGCGGATGTAGCTGGGCTCCTTGCACATCAGGATTTCCATGAGGTTGTTCAGCGAGGCACGGAACTGGGTGATGGCCGTGTCCGGACGCTTCTTACTGCGCAGCTCCTGCTCGGGGAAACAGCTTCTGACAATGGCGTTGCCGGCCTTGCTAAGCGTCTCCTTCAGATCCCGGAAGAGCAGATCGTTGTTCTTGTCCAGGAAGCCGTTAACGCTGTAGGTCACCTCACCGGCGTAGTGGACCAGCCGGAACTCATCGCGCAGCATGATCTTTTGGATGTGGGTGGGTGCCTTCTCGTGGCAAACGTAGTGGTGGTGCTCGGACAGCTTGGTAGTGAGCTTCTGCAGGAAGGTCTTATCGGTGGGATCACCCGGTCGCAGGCACTCCTCATCCAAAATGGAAATAATACCCTTGTGCTTCTCCTCGATCAGATTGCAGATGACCTTGTTGTCGAAGTACTCGACTGGAATCCACTCAATTCCCTCCCGGCGGTACTCATCCTGCTCGGACTTCAGGGTCAGCTCGATGAACAGCTGCTGCAGCTTCTCGTTGCAGAAGTTGATGCAGAACTGCTCGAAGCTGTTCTTCTGGAAGATCTCAAAGCCGTAGATATCCAGGATACCCATCACATTGTTACGAGCACCGCGGGTCGTATCCTTGGCCTGCAGGGAGATGTTCAGACGCTTCACCAGCCAGGAGAAGAGTCTGTCGTACACAGCCTTGGCCAGGGCATCTCGGGCGTAGATGGCCAGCTCCTGGTTGAGGGGAGAGGTCACCACATCTCCGCGAGCATCGATGGTGCGGTGGGTCAGTGCTGCCTCCAATTCGCTGGCATTCACACCCAGCAGTCGCGAGGCAGTCACCACCAGGTCACGGCTGTTGACCTTTGCGTTGCCCTCCACCTCATTGAATCCAACATTACCCAAATGCAGAATACTGGCCACAATGCCGAAGATCTCGCGCTGCTCCTCGGGACTGAAGTCGATCACTCCCAGGGCCTGCTGGACTTGCTTGAAGTTTTCCAAGTCGTTGATGGTGGACACATTTCCCTTTTTCTGTGGATTCAAAAATGGTTTCGATTAGTAATAGAATGGTAGTCCCTTTAAATCTTAGCTTACCCCATCGGTGAGGTAACTGTAGCTGTCCAGAGCCCGCTCCAGACGCAGTTCCTGCAACAAAGTATCATCGGCTCCCGCCAGCAGCTGGTAGAAGATGTGGAAGTTGCGCTCTCCGTTCATCTGGGCCACCACACGGGACTTCTCCAGCAGATAGTTCAGGATATTGCCGCCAATGGGGGCACCCTTATAGTCGAACTGGATGTCCATGTACTTTCCAAAACGAGACGAGTTGTCGTTGCGGTTGGTCTTGGCATTACCGAAGGCCTCCAGCACGGGATTGCTCTTCAGGAGCTTGTCCTTGACACCCTCGACGGTGGTCTGGTTGCCGGAGCAGGCGGCAATGAACTGCAGCACCTTCTTGGAGGCCTCCGTCTTGCCGGAACCACTCTCGCCGGAGATCAGCACACACTGGCCACGGTTCTCTTCGATCAGAGAACGAAAGGCATTGTCCGTCACGGCAAAGCTGGAGAGGATTAGAAAGAGATTAGTATCATTGGTTTTAATTTGTATTTAAAAACTCACATGTGGGGAGGCATCTCGTAGAAGTGCTTGTTCTTGTACTCCTTGATGTGGGCATCGGAGTAAATGGGCAGCTGCTTGTAGGGATTCACAGAGATCAACACCTGGCCAATGTAGGTCTGTAGAAAAGTTTAAAGAAAGTGTTGTAGGTTTTAGAACTCATAGATATTTAGATTTAAGAAAAACTCACATAGATAAGGTTCTCCTGGAAGCGCTTCTTCAAGTTCTCAATGAAGGCATCTTCGCTCTTGTAGTTCTCGAGGAGAACAAAGTCCTGGACGCCAGCACGATCCCTTTCGTGCAGACCCGTCTCCATGTTGGGTAAAGTAGTAAAGCTATAATGAAATAATATTTAAAAATAATATTAAAAAGAAAGATCTCTTGGAATGATTTGTTTTTCTTTCAAAAAGCTCTCACTACTCGGTGATTTTCCTTTACTTCCTGCGAAAAACCCTCCAAACTTAAATCTTATCACTCAAATACCTAATCTTACAACCAATAAGTACGAAGGGTTGCCATGTTCTAGCCTCGATTAGGAGAAACCTCTTCAGAACCTCAAAGGTCCAACCGATCGATAAGGTTTACGTAAATACCAGGTGAACATTCTTACGGAGTCCTCCGGAAATGGAGCTACCCTTGAATGAAATTGATGAGCACATCGACTGAATGCAATTAGCTTTCATTTATAATTAAGCAATGAGACATATCCAATAATATTTTATCTAAGACTCGGTCCAATCTTTGGTATTTATAGACCAGGTGCAATTCACCTTATCGATGCCATATTTCAGCGAGAGAGGGTAAGAGTGGGCTTTATTGGATGACTGCTCCAGTTTCGCTGATACGACTACGAGTCGGGTAAATCCATAAAAAGCCGATTACGCAATTGAATATATAAGGAGTTGGCTTTTTCTTCTTTTAAATTAATATTGGTTGCAGTTTCCGTTTGGTTATGTATTTATTTTTCACTTAATCTCTACCTGGCCATGGTCGATTATCCTTGTGCACTCTAAAAGAACTAATCCACTAATATTTGTTGATCTGGACGGGGGTCACACTCTCGAATCTCCGGTAGAGATGTCAGATTTCGCGCATATTCCGCCCGTTGACGGCTCCGTTGGCAAACTAAACCGATCCGATGCCCGTTCAGGGGTTTTAACCATCAATACTCCTCTGCTCTACATATCAATTGGCCTCGTCGTAGCTGTCGATGTTTTTCTGTTCTATTTGTTATTGTTGTCGGCAACATTTATCAACGATAATATAACTCTGGCTATGCGGAGGAGCACTGGGCCGCCTCCAATCAGTACCCGATTAGATAGGGGCCACCACCAGTTTCGCGAATCAACTGGGTACTCGAACTAGGTAAACCGTGAAAAAAAAAATCGCAGTCTAAGAATTTGTCAATCCAATATCTGAGATCACTCACTACTGGTCTTAGTCACCTGTCTCCTGAAGAGACAAAAAAAAGTTTAATCAAGGAACTCTACTAAAAATCAACTCATTCAAGCTTTTTAGCTCATAATATCCATAAATATGAACAATAATATCCATATTTTTATCAAAAATATTCCAAACATTTACAGGATGTTGTCCATATTTTTTGCAAACGAGCATCACAACCCCTTGAACATTTGTGAAAGACTGACTCATTGAGAACTCAGACTTTGAGTCTCGGATCGGTGCAGTTCTGATCGCTTAAATTAGCACATTTGTGTTATCAGTAATCAGTGAGCTAAATAAGTCATAGTCGAGAAGGCAAACATTGTAACTACACCCTCAGTTTCAATTGATGTAGTCGGTATAGGTTTTGTGTTGTTGCTCCATTTATAAATGATCGAATACCTGACTAATTAAAAAATGTTTGCCAACCATACCAGTAGGGAATACTTTCAAGGAATTCTTTGAGAGACCGTCGGAAACACGTCCAGAGACTTGGCCTGAGCTCTGGTGCAGTTTCAAGCCAAGTTAATGTTTGGCACATAATTGGTTAATTGCACGTAGGATAGATTGATGTGGATAGTAAATCACGTTTAAAAAAAAAGCATTAAAGTATGACATTTTTTCTCATGTAATTTTCAAAGCTTGAAGAAATTGACAGGCGCCTGAGAATATGCTACATAATTATGAACTTTCTTAAGGAAGTTATCAACAAAAAGGGTTATCAGAAATTCATTATATTGCAGTTGACATTTTTGATTAGATTTTTAGTTAAAGGGGATTAAGAGTCAAAGAATTGAGTAATAAAGACATTTTTAAGATTTTTTTTCAACCTACAATTAGGATCTTAAAGCTATTAAAGAGCTAAAGGGAACTCAATTAAAAACATTCACCATTAAAAATAATCAAAATTAATTGAAAACTAATACTATTGATCAGGAATTTGTTTTGAATTGATTTAAAATTCTTTATCGAAATTATATACCAAAAGTCATTGACTTTCCGGCCGTTTTTTTTTTTATTTTTCCCCAAGGGAGTTGAGGCCGGCCCGGCTTTTTGTTCCACGCATTCTTTTATCAGCTTCGTAATTGAGAGGAGAACTGGTTTCTCCGCTCCACAAATGCCCCGCCAAGTGATGTAACTCTGAGAACTCCACCGCGGCTCCTAGTGGTATCATCAACCTACTCGTAAACATGTCTACGACACCCGACCTGTAACGGAAACCTAATTGTGAGTCCCACCCAAAAATGGACAAGCTGTTAAAGTTTATCCCAACACCGAAAAAAATGCAATCTAAATTGTACATGACTTTTTTTAAAGATTTTAAAATATTCTACCAAAATCTCAAATCATTATTTATTTATAAAATAAAGGTAACTTGTTTTGTGAATAAATATTGATGACTAATTCAAGGGGAAAATTTTTCTTTCAGTAAAATACATTTTGTGGACTTGATATGCATACAAATGATGTCATATATCAAGTGGCAATATCGGATGGATTATTTAAATCGTTGAATACAATGCTGGCAGAGCATTTAGGGAACTGAAAAAATCAAGAATAGAAAAGGCACAGAACTGGGATGATAATACAATCCCCGCCTAATCATATGCAAATTAATGAGCGTAGTTATTAGAACGGGGCTTGATCCGATCCGAAAGATCGAGTTCGAGCTCCAGATCGACATCGACACAAAAGAAAGGCAACCCAAATTTGGGCCACCGGCAATCAATGGATGCATTGGTATATTCTAATGAGAAAACCGGGAACCAGATGTCAGAATGCATCGCTCAGATTCCTATAAAAGCCCAGGCCAGATGCATTTTTCAAGTTATTCCCACAAAGATCATGGATCGAAGTGTGACTGCAATTTGTTTGGGTAAGTTTCGGACACAAAATTTCATTCAGAGATTTAAGAACTAATTGGTTTTTATCCTTGCAGTGCTGCTGCAGCTGCTGGGCAGTGGATTGGGCTTCCAGGAGAAGGCTCCGGTGCAGACCAGCCTGGTGACCGGACAGGCCAGGACTGACAAGCAGCAACAGGTGTTGGATGATCCGCTGGGATCGGGACGCGGCATCGACGAACATTTGCTGAAGACCATTGGTAAGGGCGGCATCAAGCTGGTGATGGCCTCCGGCGCTCCGACGACCACCCCGAAACCATCAGTACAACATCATTACTATTATCCACCAGAGGACCAGCAGCATCCGCGTCAGTACGGCTACGGTCCCTTCTATCCGCCGCCACCTCCGCCTCCGCAGCGTCCTTGGGGACCCCAACCTCCACCACCACCACCACCGCCAGGACCTCCGGGACCGCCACTGCCATACTACAATCCCTACTACAATGGCGGCTATGGCGGCTACTATGGCGGTTATGGATATGGGGGCTATGGCTATCCAGGCTATGGCGGATATTCCTATCCCTACTATCCTTTCTATCGCAACTCGGCTAGTGGAACGGAAGTAGATAACCAGCTGCCAGGAGCCGATGGTCTGACTCCCCTTCCCGTGCCCGGTGTCTTCCAAGGTCGTACCGTGCTCTCCGATGGTCTGACTCCTCTTCCCGTTCCCGGTGTCTTCCAAGGACGCGCCGTGCTCCCCCAGAACTTTCTCGAGGGCAGAAACAATGCCAATATTGTGCCACTCTTTCACCTACTCCAAATGGCCAGGTCTTAAAATTTCATCAAAAGCAGAAACCTAATAAAAAACCATCCGAAATCCATTAAAAAACCATCACTTTCACTAAGAGACACCGTTGAATTCAATTAGAAATCTGGAAACCGAATTAGCAAATTGGTTTCAAAAATCACAAGAAACTTAGTAAGATGGCTTAGAAATTGTAAAGAGGTTTTTCGGAAAAGAATTTCCGATTTAGTTTTAAAATAGGGAGTTTTACCTTGAAAATGTTCAATGGTGTATACGCTATGGTAACCAAGTCCACCAGAACAGCTTATGTCTTCGGCAATATTAATCATATTTTAATGCGGAATACTTTGAACGATTCGTCGATGAACCCTTCACAATCGTGCATCAAATATATATATACACAATTTTATAAGATTTTTCATCAAATTTTCTGGATGACCCCCTGCAAAAATCTAGAATATGCATGGAGCCACTTTATGACCCCTTGCGAAGACTATATCTTTGGCCATAGTCACCCGATTCTTAAGCGGAATACCTTAAACGATTCGTGGATCGATTCTCCTTAAATCTGCATCAAAATCTACGATTATAATTTTTTTTAGATTTTTCATCAAATTTTCTGGATGACCCCTGCAAAAATCTAGAATATGCATGGAGCCACTTTATGACCCCTTGCGAAGACTATATCTTTGGCCATAGTCACCCGATTCTTAAGCGGAATACCTTAAACGATTCGTGGATCAATTCTCCTTAAACCTGCATATAAATCTACGATTATAATTTTTTTTAGATTTTTCATCAAATTTTCTGGATGACCCCTGCAAAAATCTAGAATATGCATGGAGCCACTTTATGACCCCTTGCGAAGACTATATCATTGGCCATAGTCACCCGATTCTCAAGCGGAATACCTTAAACGATTCGTGGATCGATTCTCCTTAAATCTGCATCAAAATCTACGATCTTAATTTTTCTTAGATTTTGTATAAAGTTTTCTGGGATCCTTGGATCCCTTGGAAGGGTGTATCGTTGGCAATAAATTTAAACAATTTGTAGATCATTCTTCTGTTGGTCTAGCTTCTTTTTAGCGAGATGACTACATAGATCTTGAGATTACAAAAAAAAAGAGTTCGTAAACTAAAGAAAAAGGCCGCTGACCCAAAGAAGCGATGATCGAATTTGTTCAAACGATCGTATTTTTTTCGTTTCTCTCCCGCCCAGTTTTTGTTTTCTTTTTTTTTTTTGTATTTGTATTTGTCTGGTAAATTAAAATTCAAACTTCGCATTCCGTCTGAGTTCTGTGGCCGCTGGGATCGGCACACCAAAATCTGGACTCTTGCTGAGTCACCCGCATATGGGGGACGAGGCCCCGGATCGGTTGGAGAAGTCAAGATCTTGCCGGCAATGTGACGCATCGAAGCCCAGACTTGCCGCGGATAACCATTAAATACTAAACAATCAACCGAATGCGGTTTTCTTAGCTCATTGCTTGCCATAAAAAGCGTCAACAGCGGCTGGTCTTGAACGCGATTTACTGGCCAGTTGCAAAAAAAAAATACAATATATGAAAATCAGCTGAATGGGACACGAAAAAAGGTTTCATTTTTATTTTTACCTTTCGTGAAGTTATTGGTCGCGAAAAAAACCAGACTTTTTGTTCGTTCACTCACGTTGAATAAGATTTTTTTCACTTTGGGCTTCCACGAAAAGCCCTTAGTTGACACTTTACCAAACCGAAACAAACTGAATAGCTCCGTGCTCCGATGTAATTATGATCCCAACACGAGCCCCGGACTGACACTCACTCCTCCGTTGATTTCTTGGCAATGTGAAAGAATTGGAATGGATCGGGTGCTTGGGGCTCGTCGATGGAAGTTTTATAACAAGTGGGGATTTTTTTTTATTATTTTTATTTTTATTGTTTTTTCGATTTTGTTGCCTCTTAGGTACATTCAATTGTTTGAGGCATATGGTTATAATCGAAGTGGTTTAGGGGGTTATCTGTTTATGAGGGTGGATCAGTAGAAAGTACTCCACGGAAAATATGCCCTACAATATCATATATCATTATTTTATTTCCCTATAGGGTATAAAGTAAGTCAGTATGTCCTCATCCAAGTCTTGTGCAAATCTTTCGTGGAAAACCTTGTTTCTGGCTGGTTATATAGACGACCATTGGCATTTCCCCTTAACTACATTATCTTATCATAGTAAATGGTTGGTGAAAGAAAGGAAATAAATTAAAGCCATAATGCATTTGTCGAAAGTCAGAACCCCGGGTGAAATGACTAAGGCTAAGACCTCTTGAATCGAACCCTGTATGCTCCATGCTCCCCCCATCAATTGTCATATCAGTAAAATTTTTGGTTGAACCCAACGAAAAGATAACACTACCCGATATCGAGATATGGGTAAGTTCAAGTTTGTCATCAAACAAAATATAATTTAATTTTTAGGGTGGTGTCATGTAATTTATGTATGTTTTTTTTTAAAGATATTCCTTATGTACCATATGGATATGGTAAAGACAAATCATCACATGACTGGGCGATAATAAATATCGCAACAATTACCCGAATCAAAAGGCGTGCAATTTTATTTTTGTACTTCTTAGGCTGGTTATTCAGTTCTATTGTTTTTGGTTTGTTGGTTGGCCAAATCTTTGCATTACATCATTACCAAAAAAAAGTCTTCTTTTGTGGGTAAAGTCTCGTTTTTGCTTTCCAACTCGTTTAATTTGGGTGCCAAGTGTGAGGCAATGACATTGGGGGCATTGTTTCTTCATGCACTCAAAGAAACGTCTTTTGGGGGCTTTAAGTATTTCTTGAAAACCTTTTAAGAGAACCCCCTGCTGATAATTAAAAATGTAAATAGAACAACAAAAGCTATAACAAAAGTTCTCTTTAATGAGTTTGTGGGCCTTAATTTTTCCAAGTGTTCATTTTGTTATTGTTATTTATTTATATTTAAACAGCTGCCAGATTTGGCAAATAATTTGGTTTGTCGATCGATTGCAGTTGGAGCCCATTTTAAGCAGCTTAATGCCACGCTTCAAAATTGGGTCAAATTAATGGAGGGTCGCAACAGTTTGGAAATAAAATTGAAATTTGATACAATTTCAATTGGACAAACACGGTCTGTAATGACTGGGCATGTTGAGCTGGACTACAAGATGGATGTATGACAGAGTCTCCTATATTCATGGCTATATACTGATTACTCATAGCCTGCACACACACACTCACTCATACGCCGTGTTGACCCTCTTTGTTTGTTTTTTATTTGTTCCTGCTATAAAACCTGGACAAACAAGCTTAACACCACGGAGTGACTGAGGCATTCAGGTGAACTCCAAGCCAACCCAAGCCAAGCCAACCACCTAGGAAATTGTGAAATGTGTGTGTTAGGCCGCCAAGGAAGAAGCCCCAGGAAGCGAATGGGAGAGAGGCAGAGCGAAATTGAGGTGCCTAAACGTTCGCTTTATTAGAGAAGCATCCACATAAACCAGATCTCCTCCGTGCTTTGTGGTTGATGCCACACTGAGGGAAAATAATAGCCTTAACCCGGGTTCAATTGATCTTTCAATATCTTACTAATACTTTTATTTTATTTATAATCAAAGTTTTCTTCTACAATTCATAAGATCCTTAAGATTTATACTTGATCTCTCTACTAAGCCTAAAATAACCATTCTTTTTTCAGACACCTCTCATTATAAAATCAATATCTAATTTTAGCCAAAAGTTTTCTTTTGTGCAGCCTTGGATTTTTTGTTAAACTCTTTCATCTGTTATGTTGTGCTTTTGTGGTGTTTGGTGTCCAAGTTCAAATCGTGCAAAGGAAAGAAAGCAACGGAAGACGCTGCAGATCACGACCACAGGCAAACCGGCAGAACCACTTTTTTCGTATTTATTTCTTTAGTTTTTTTTTAAAGTTTCATCTCATGTGCGCGGCATCATATCGTTTAATTTTTGGTGTCTTCTCGCATGCCTCGAACATTTGTTAGCTGTCAGGATATGCAAAAATTACCAGGCGTAATTGATTTTATAGGCCATCGCGCATGCCATCTTCGGATTAAGAAGTCTGTGCTGTCACACATTTGAATAATGAAAGCAAATTTGTAAGCGGGCCTAAGTACCAATAATTTCACTCGTGACAGTCGTTACTTTTTTGTGGTTGGTGCTCTACCTGTTTGAATTTCTTTTTCGATGCGGGTACCGTTAGCTTGACCCGGCACAGGTGACAGCAGCGACGTCGTAGTCGGTGGCAGCAGCAGAAGTAACACAGAAGCAACAGGGCAAACTTGTTGAAAACTTTTCAAAAAAATTTTAAAAATTGGGGACAACAACACTTGCACTGTTTAGTTGAGTTTTTTTCGTATCTGACCGATAATGTTAAGCACCACACGCCCTACGAATGCAAATTAGTTTCCAAAATAGTTCTCGTCGGTAAAAATGCCCGACGTATTGTATTCCGCACGCGAACGCGCACCTTGCAAAAGTTCAAGCTCAACTGATTTGTGCGGCTTTGAATTGCCGCCACATTTTGCACTAGAGCTGGCAAAACATCGATAGTTCTATCGATCACCTCGTCGTGGGAGTTATCGATGTTTCCATCGACGATCTGTTGGCCGTTTTAACTTGCATATTTTTGAATGTGTAAATTAACTAACTTTACATTTTTAAACTACTGTAATATTTTAAAATAATTATAACCCACCGTTATCTTATTAAAACTCATTTATAAATCTTTTTTTTAAATATCCAATTTTATTATAACAAAGTGATATTGATAACTAGTTTAGGGGTTAAACATTAAAGCTATAACACATTATTATTCTATTTGATTTGATCAATGACAAATGTGTGTTACATGTGGTTTTTGCTTATATTAAGGTAACAATCCAAAAAGGGCTAAATTCTGTTGGGGAAACTGTGAAAAATACCTGCACATGAAAGTCAACGTTATTGAGGGGCTACACCCTTGGGTTCAGACCAGACTAAAGCCTTGCGTTTGCTGGATGGCCTGGAGGAGCTTAAATTTGAGACGTTCCTTCGTCTTATACCTTGGCAAATCTAGCATATTGAAACAGGTGTGGGCCACGGGAAGAAATCGTTCGTCGGGCGTCGGTTGGATAGACATCTAAACGTTTTCAAATAATGTATTTAAGTCGGATTTTATATAATATATTGATTCTAACCTTAAGCGCCTTCATGCCCTGGATGGGTATACGATCACTGCCGGTTAAATAAAGGAGGAAACTCTTTTTTTCGGCCTCAGTCAGATCATGGATCACCTCCCAGAACCATTTGATCTGTATTAAAAAAAAGTACTATTATTGTTATATCCTTTTTAAGGTTATTAATATTTACAGTCTCATCGCCCGACGTATACCCCTCTCGGTATACACAGTTATCCTGGAGCGCTTGCCAGTCATAGTCTTCATTTCCAACCACCACAGCCATTAGCTCCTCCGGCTGGAATATGTGAATCACACGACCGGAGCACACTTTCATGAAGCCCTTGTGGAAAGCATTATAGTGCATTTCCACCGACTTGTTTAAAACAAAGTCCACATACAGATTGACAAACTCTTCCCTAAAAATGGAAGCATTTCAAGAAAATTACTCTATAGCAGATATCTTAGGGGTAAACTATTAACACCCACCTATTTTCAAGCGTTACGGGCATTTCATTGCCGTTGGGCTTAAGGCACTTCATCTCCGACTCTCCAAATACATCCCGCGATATTTCGAATGTCAAGTCGAAGACCTCCTTGAAGTCGTCGCCTTCGTAGTCGAGTATTGACTGCATGGAATTGGCTTCCGGTGGGGAAAGCTGACGAAGATCACTCAGATCTACTGGTTTTCCCAGCAGCTTCTTGAACAGGGCCAACGGAAATGGCAGGTTAATGATGGTGAAGTTGTAAATGGCCAGGCCACAGAGTACGCCAATCAGGAAGTACATGTTTTCCGTCTCAAAGCTGAGATCTGCAAACCAGAGAAGATGCGACTCTTCGTATTCCTTAAACATCCCGTACTTGGGATCGAGAAGGTCCTTCAAAAGTAGCATGAAAAATTCTTTCCGCACACCGCCGGCATCCTCAGCCTCTTCGCCGTGGAACTTAATTTTTAGTGGCTTTTTGAGATCAGTCTGCGAGTAGCGTTGCAGCTCTCGCAAAGAATCCTGAACCAGATTCTCCCGCGTCACGTTCAGTACAATAAAATGGGAAACAGGCAGTCCATAATTAAGGAGGTTATAAAATGCCTAAATAAGTGGAAGATTTAATAAAATATTCTTGTAATAAATGTTTAACTTACATTTGAAGCCGCATTGGCCATGGCAGAGTGCATCTGCAGTGCCTGATCAGCTTGGAGTAGTGCCGTCTTGGCAGACGGATCGAAGAGGAATGAAAAGTTGCAAATATTAAATTCGCTGGCAGTGTCGGCCATGATCCACTTGACGTACTCCTGCTGCACGTCAGCGTAATCGGACAGATCTGGCCAGTAAAATAGTTGGTAGTTTAGCTTAACATCCCGCAAATTGTTTATCACACAAAGGGTCTGCATCATTTTCAGGATTGTCTCCAGTTCCTTGTTGTATGGTAGCAACTAGAAGAATGTGAAAACAAAATAATGATAAATATTTAAAGCGAAAGATTTGGAAGCCTTACCCTTTGTTGTCTCTCGGCAGAGGAATTGATGGCCGCCAAACCCATTTTAAAACTTATAATATGAATGACTACATGCAAGAAGTTTTGGACAATATGCTCGAAGTAATCCGCCGGCGTTTGGGCCAACCACTTCATAAGAACTTTTCGTGGGTTCTCCGTTAGCTTAAATATGGCATGGGCAAAGGGCACCTGGAGTGACTTGTAGTGTTTCGAGTTGACGAACTCGTGGTAGAGCGGCAACAGAAGATAAAGACGCATACTTTCGACATCCGCCGGCGAAGCAACCAGTGATCCTATCAACTCCTTCGTTATGTTCTCCCATATCTGAATGAATATACTTTAGTTAATTTTGAAATAGGTTGTTATAGGAACTCAGGGCATACCACTTGTTTGATGCTCTCGTTTTCCACGTTGCGTAAATGATCGAATGCCAATTGGGCAGCTTTAAGATCCAATCCATAATTCCGTACGGAGCATCCAAAGTGCCGGTCGTTGTCAAGTAGGAAGGAAGCATTTAGACAAGCCTGACTTTTGAATATCAACTCGATTGAATTCAGCAAATCCAAATCGCTTTGATCGTTTTGCTTGAAACGGGTGCACTGCTTGGTGACGTCTTCTGATAAGGCAAGGATCTGGGACTTGGGCCTGCAATGGCGGGTATTTAAATATATAATATTTAAAACATAAATCCCCCATTACTTGTAGTTTCTTTGATCCTCGGGCGGCACTTTATCCACAAACAGAGTGGTGCTCACAAAGGACTGATCTCCGCCAGAGAATATTTGATGGATCACCACAGAGACCTTTGCATCGTTGGACTGAAGAAGAGCTGACCCACTTGGGGATACCCAAGGACCAATCACCACTTGTGGTAGTGTTAAGCTTTTTGTACTCCTCGTTCCCAGCTGTCCAGAGCTACCCAATCCGAAACCATAAACTCTGCCGCGCGACGGTACCAATGCCAATGTATGACGATTTCCACACGCCACTTGTGTAATGGTGCTTCCCATAAGTTCCATCACCATTCTTGGCAGCATTTCGTTGGCTCCAAACCCGTGTCCCAATTGGCCGTAGGCTCCTGCTCCGCATGTGAAGACTCCACCCTCGTTGGTCAAGAAAACGGAAAACTCATCCCCACAGGCCACAAATCGAACGCCCAGGGTTCGCAGTGTTTTAAGCTGTGTGGGATAAGATCGACTAGTTTCATCGTTTAATCCCAGCTGCCCACAGTTGTTTCGACCCCATCCAAACACAGCACTGGATTTGGAGATAATGAAGGAGTGATTCCCACCGCAAGCAATTGCCGCGACTGGAATCCCCAGCAGCGTGCTCAACCGCACGGGTTGGTTGCAATGCTCCATATCCTTTGGGGTGTTTACGCCAAGCTGGCCATATATATTGGAGCCCCACGAATACAACTCGCCACCTGGTAAAAGTATGAAATGAGAAAACTTTCTGTTGGAGGAAACTTCGTCCTGGGCACTTACAACTGGTCAGAGCTAGGCTGTGATTGTTGCCACAGGCAATTTGCACCACAGTTTTGGATACCAATTGGCGCACAATCTTTGGCAACTGCACGATGTCTTGGTCGGTGGCTTGGCCCAGCTGTCCGCAGTCATTGTCTCCCCAACTCAAGACTTGACCCCACTCCGAAAGAGCCATCGAATGCCTACTTCCGCAGGCAATCTGAATAATCACATAGTCCTGCAGCTCAGGTATAAGCACTGTAAGTATGGGGAAAACGAATGAGTGTGGTATTTAGGCTTAGTTTTTACAGCGGTGATCCATGAGGAAGAGGTGGTGATGAAAAGGAGGAGGTTGGAGGAGAAATCAAAAATGAAAAGACAAGACGATATATGAAGAGATCACATACAAAATGGCGACATACGTGGCCTTTTGGTGGGCAAATCGTGACCCAGTTGGGAGTGGTCGTTGCTTCCGCAGGCGTACACTTTTCCACTGGCGGTCAGGAACAGTGTGTGCCGGTGTCCACAGGCCACCTGTGTTATGGCAGAGTCCGGCGTCCAAGGGACTTGACTAGGGGTAAGAATCTTTAAAGAAAAAACAAAATAATTGGATTTCCCTATTTTGATATTTTGTATATCCTTCAAAGCCCACCTGCTCATCCTCGATTCCGCCAAGACCAAGTTGTCCGTGGGAGGTGCTCCCCCAGCAGTACAGTTCTGTGCCGGCTGTCATTCTTCTTCAGTTCCCCACGCTTTTTGGTTAAATGAAATGTTGTGTTGGTTCAAGGGAGAATTTTCGAGAAAGTCCCCTAATTAGACGCTACATTCTTTGGGGACTTCTCAGCTTTTGATAAAAGGTTCTCGCTTTGGTTCTTTCGCCGTCTTTCTTGGTTTGTGGGTCTTGATTTCTTCGCATGCCTTATCCTGTAATGCCCTGAGTCGTGTAATCCTGGGATCCTTGCCGTGTATAGTGAGCTTACACAGAAATTTACGTTTGCATTTTTTGTTCTAGAAAAAATAAATTATAATGAAACTCAAAAGCGCAACAACAAAAAAACAACAAATAGGTGTAATGGTGCTGCCAACTTATTTCTAAAGAGCTTTTTTTTATAAGCAAGTTTTAACACCAATAATGCATTTTTTAAATTAAATTTGTGCTTTTGGGATAAGTTTTATAATCTTTAAATTTACAGGAGTAAAAACAGAGCTATTAAGAAAATTTAAATTTTTTATTTTATAAAAACATAAATACTTTTTTATTATATCTCTTAAAATATAAACTCACTATTTTTTAAATTTTAAAAATAATTAAAAATTCATTAATACATTATAATGTTTTCAACAAGTTGGCAGCTCCATGCACTGTTTTCATATCAGGTGTTGTGGGAAATTGTTGTTGTTGTCGCAGAACCGCTGAACTTCCGACCTTTGTACAACTTGGCTCGAAAGTAAATCCGAAGGCATAACAGTTTTTTTTTATCAAAACTATCAACACTGGATATTGCGCGCAAACCAAGGGGATTTTAAAATTCCCAAAGGTATCGGGACACTATTGGAAAACAAAGGAAAAACCGGTTGCCAGGGAAATTGGACAACTCATCGCGTGTGGAAACCACAAAAACAGTTTGGTCATCATTTGGGGCTGATTGATTTTTGAAAACGCCAACGAAACTGTGCCACGCCAACATGCAAGAGGCCTACGTCAACATTAACTCCATACCCACCCACATCTTTACCTGGGGCAGGTGGATTGAGGAGACGATAACAGAGAAGGAGATTGTCATTTGCATAACAGGCAATCCAGGATTACCCGGTTTTTATACAGAGTTTGCCGGCACTCTCCAAAAGGAGCTGGGTGATTTGCCCGTGTGGGTAATAGGTATGTATCGTGTAGCTTCTAGCTAACGAAAGAGATTCATACCAATCCTCTTCACAGGTCACGCTGGTCATGATGATCCTCCGGAGGCCAGTATTCGGGAGGTGCCCCAGCTCAGCGGGAATGAAGAGCTCTTTAATTTGGATGGCCAAATCCGACACAAAATTGCCTTTATCGAAAAGTACGTGCCCAGCGATGTGAAGATCCACTTGATTGGTCACTCCATTGGTGCTTGGATGATCCTGCAGCTGCTGGAAAATGAGAAGATACGAAATCGCATCCAAAAGTGCTACCTGCTATTCCCCACCATTGAACGCATGATAGAGTCCCCCAATGGATGGGTATTCACAAAGATCGCCATGCCCTTATATTCCGTCTTTGGATACATTTTCTTCACGTTCTTCAGCGCCCTGCCCGTCTGGTTGCGCCTCCTGTTTATACAGATCTATTTTCTGATTTTTTCCATTCCACGGCATTTTCTGGGAACGGCCTTGAAGTATTCCAAGCCCTCGGTGGCAGAAAAGGTGGTCTTCCTGGCCGATGATGAAATGGCCAGGGTTCGCGGCGTACAAAGGGAAATTGTGGAACAGAATCTGGATGTCCTGAAATTGTACTACGGCACCACTGATGGTTGGGTTCCGGTCTCCTACTACGAACAGCTGAAAAAGGATTATCCCAAGATAGACGCCACGTTGGATGATCAAAAGATCGCCCACGCCTTTGTCCTGAGGCACTCCAAGCCCATGGCGATAGTTGTCCGGGACATGATTCAAAAGCATAGACGGGGATAAGCCCATGATCCACTCCTAGCAAAATTTTATCTTGAGTGAGGCGTAGACTATCAAATCTTTTCCCATTTCCCAAGCTCTTTAAAATTAGATTTCTTCCTATTTGGTTAAAGCTCTCTATCTCTATTGGTAATCTTCATAGATCTGATCTGAGTTTCCTGTTTGGGATTGGGAATCGATTTTTATAAAACACTCGTAGCACATCTTTTATTGTCTTTATGTGGCAATTTGTTTTTATTTTTTATTATTATTCCTTTGCATTTCTCGAAGAAACTATAAATATAGTCAAAAGTAATTTAATTTTCGCGCATTTGTTAATTTTCCGGTGATCCAGATCGACTTCGGCTGCCAGAGCGTGACCGGGAACGAGATGGCGACTTGGATTTTGAACGGGATCCTGATTTGGAGCGAGAACTTGAACGAGATCGAGAGCCGGATTTCGATCGGCTACGACTACGACTACGACTACGGCTACGGCTTCTGCTCTTACTGCGTTTGCCATCGGACTCCGATTCGCCACCAGATTCGATGCGGTTCTTGGCCCGCTTCCGCTTTGTGGCAGTATCGCTGCCACTTCCAGATCCAGATCCGGAGCCGCTCCTGCTTCTGCTGCGTTTGCGGCTAGCAGCTCGATCACTGCCGCTCCCCGATCCGCTTCCACTTCTGCTACCACTCCTGCTGCGACTACGGCTGCCACTGCGACTTCTACTCCTGCTGCCCTTGCGGCTTCCACCACGATCGCTGCCGCTGCCCGAGCCACTGCCGCTTCGGCTGCGACTTCTACTCCTGCTGCGCTTTCCTTCCGACTCCGATTCACTGGTGGAAATGGTCGCCTTGGAAACAATCTTGAGGCGCTGCTTGGCGGACAGCTTTTCCTTCGATTCCTTGGCCGCCTTGGCCTTAGCGCCCTTCTTTTTACCAGATTTGGCACTGGAGCGCGGCTCCTCATCGCTGTCGCTTTCATACTTTTCAGTCTTCCGCTTACGTCCGCTTCCCTTCTTGCGTTCTGCTTTACTTTTCTTCTTCGTTGGACGCTCGCCATCGCGAGGTCCTTCATTGTCGCTGTCCGTGCCAGAGATGTAGTCATCCTTTCGCGGCCGCCCGCCTCCCCTTTTACGCTCCTTCTCTGCGGGAGCATCGGCGATTATGAGAATATTCTTGGTCTTCTCCACATATTCCTGCCGTTTAGCCAGCAGCTGGTCCCTGGAGGTTTTGGCCTCCTCTTCGCGTCGCTTGCGCTGCTCAGCCACCTTGAGCTTGAAGGCTTGGCGCTCCTCTTCCTGCTTACGACGTAGAGAACGCTCTTCCTCGTCAATGCGACGGGCCCGACCTACATGATATTGAGCCTGCGATAGAAGATCCTGGCAGGTACTTGCTTCAATGCCGGCCACCTCGATGTTGAAACGATTTTTGTCGCCATGCACGGATAGGTATTGGAAGTATCTGAAAAATCGCATAAAGAATAATAAAAATACTCGCATTATAATATCCTTATTCTACTCACTTTTGAGCCAATTCGAGTTCATGGACCGCCTGTAGAACAACTTCAAGCGTGGACTTCTCATCCTTTAGAATCGCCATTGCCAATCGCGACAAGACCACGGCAATGTTGAATAGTAATACAGTGTCCTGTGGAGCTACTCGACGTGCTTTAAGCAGCACCGCTTTGGCCTCCACTAACTTGTTAGCCCGGAGATATGCCCTGGCCAGGTACTGCATTACTTCCACGTTGTTGTGTTTGTAGAACTTCTTCATGCAATTCTCGTACATTTGAATGGCGCTGATGTACTGCTTCTGTTCCACATAAACGTGGGCAATGTTCAGCCAAACGTCGCAGAAGTCGGCGGTGGCCTCACGCACCTGGGCGAAAATATCTCGCGCCTCGATCACACATCCCTTGTGGGCCAGCACAGCTCCAATACCGTTTGTAGCCCAAATGTTACGAGGATCGTTGCGAAGAACCTTAATAAATTAGTTTATATATAAATTCTAACATGATATATGTATTTAATCGCATTTCCCACCTGCTTGAAGATGGCTAAAGCCTTTTCTTGGTGCTTTCTTTCCTTCTCCTTGTCCCTGCTCGGCTGATGAAGTGTTTGGAGTGAGAAGTTTCCCAAAGCAATCAACGAATAGGCATCAGTAGACGTTGCCGGATTCTTGAGGATCGTTTCAAAGTTTTTCTGACCCAATGCGAACTGCATTTTCGCCAAATGAAGGTTACCCAGCAAAGATCTGGCATCCGGATTATCATTATTAATGTTCAGCGCATCCTTGAAGAAATCAGAAGCCACAAAAATGAGACCCTTGTCCCTGGCCATGCAGCCCAACCTCAAATAACAATCAATATAGTTGGGATGCTCCTTGAGGATCTCCTTGTAAAGCTTGTCAGCCACATCGTAGCTGCTCATGGCCTCGTTAAGACGCGCTAGATTGTACTTCATGGTCACCTGAATGGACTCGTAGTATTTCACGTCCTTGTCCATCTCTGAAGTGGCATGCTGCAACGCCGATTCCAACGTTTCCTTGGCCATCTTCAGGTTACCCAAGCGGTAATGAAGAGAAGCCACATTGTTTTGAATTTCTGCGGGAATCTCGTACTTGGCCTTTTCCCTGAGAATGCTCGAGGCAGTGCCGTAGGCATTCAAAGAGGCCTGCAGATCATTCTGTTCAAGGATCTGGGCAAGCTCTATCCAGGCTTCAATGTCTTCGGGAAACTGCTCAGTGACCTTCTTGAGGTGAGTTTTGGCCATGTCGCGCTTGGTTTGCGAGTTGGAGTGGGCGTACAGGGAGCCGAGGATCTTCATAGTTTCGTAGTTTCCCGGTTGGATCTTCAGAACCTTTTCGAAGCACTGAGCTGCCTGAAATACAAATAAATGTTTCTTTAGTTAAAGCCAACGTTATTTTTTAGCTTACTTACATTCTCGGTGTCCCCTCGATATATATACATTTGTCCCAGGCCGTAGTGGGGCAACACAAAGTTGGCTGGCGCTATTTGAGTAGACTGATAGTAATATTGGAAGGCTTGATCGTAGTCGCTTTGGGCATGGAAGCTCCTGGCCAGTTGGTAGCAGCTCTCTGCTCTCATTGCCTCGTTTTCAGTATTGTGGAAGGCGTGCAGTGCCAAATGGTGGACCTTCTGGTAATCTTTTTTGAAGAAAAAGTGATTCGCCAAATGGTTGAGTACCATGGGATTGGCATTGTCGATGGTGTAGGCCTTGGAAAGCATCTGAACGCCAAGTTTGTTGGATTCCGGCTCAAGTTGGTTAAGTTTCAGAACGGCCAGGCCGATTAGGGCGCCAACACATTGCTGGTCCAGCTGAAGAGCGCGTTCAAAGGCCAGTTTGGCCTTCTCTGGATTTCCCATTTTCAAGAAACAATGCGCCATGCCGATTCTTACGTTAGCCGGGCAATTGGGATTGGTTCTCAGGGCCTTCTTGTAAAAAGCCATTGCTCCGCGGTAGTCTTTGCGATTAAAGGCGATGCAAGCTTTTCCCAGCAGCGAAGGAATATTGGAGGGAGACTGATTCAGGACAAAATTGAACTGGGCATCCGCCTGGTCCATTTTATCTCCTTCGAGCAAGCAAAAGTAGGCTCTGCCCAGCAGATGGCTTTGGTCGTACATGATGATTTTGTCCGCACTGGTGTATAGATTCGTGGCCTTCATGAACAGCTCACGCTTCTTATCCTTCGACTTTTCGCGATACGCCTCCTGGACATAGTGGGCAGCCAGCATGTCCAGGGCGCGCATGAGGTCCTTGTCGGAGTCCCGGTATTCCTTGTTGGCCTCATCGCTGCGTGATTCCTCCAGCAAAGTGACGAAATCCTCAGTCTTCTTTTGCTTGTAGTACGCGAGCTGCAAATAGAACACATGTGTGTTACCGGCTGTGAAAGCAGCTCAAATTACATTATCAATAGTCTTACCGCCACATTGACCCACACATGTAGCGGGGCTCGCTCCTGCTTGAGAATGCTCAGCACCTCCGGACAGTCTGGAAGCTGCTCTGGATCAACTTCGATCACCTGAAAAAAGAAGCATAAGAAAGCCAGTTCGACCATGAAAGCTGGTAAAACTTACCTCATCGGTGTCCTGCAAGGGAATTTCTATGCAGTTGGACATGGTTGCAGCGTGTGTGGCCTAAGAGCCACCAAAATACTCGAAGAAACACAACTTTTAGGCCTTCAAATGCAAATATTTGCAAAAAGTTGTGGAAAAGAAAACACTTTTTTATTCCGGCACGCTAGAGAAGGCACAAAAACAGCTATCGTATATCGATAATTTTCTCCGTTCCATCATGGTGGCAACGCCACATAGCAACGAGACGGTCATACTACAACAAATTTGTTAGCAAGAATATGCTGTCGACAAAAAGATAATAAAATTCGGTTTAATTTTAAAATTAGAACAAATTTTGTACTAGGTGAGATGTGCTAGGTGATTAGATAAAATGCTGGCCCTGGGCAAAAAGGCGTCGGTGTGCCATCTCGGCTCCTCCTGCTCCGTCCCCTTCAAGATTGTGCCTCTCCCTCGGTTCACCACATCGACGCAAACAAAAACAAACGTACACAAACAAGGGCGATCAGATGTTTGGCTCCTGTTACGTAATGTTCGTAAATTGGCGCAAAATTCAACGCGGTGGGAGCTCAAATCAGTGCCGGCAGTAGCATCGAGAGCATCGTTTTACGAGGCACGGAGGTATTTCCACAACTCGGCCGTCAGAAATTCAAGGTACTCCGCCAGCACCATCATGACTACCTATCACAAGGAGCTCCTCCTGGGGGACTATGACATCGTAGGATTCGATCTGGATGGGACCTTGCTCCGCTACAATCTCCGTGAGATGTCTGCTTTGATATACGATGTACTCAAACAGTTTCTGGTCGAACAGAGAGGCTACAAAGTGGACCTATTGGCACAACCTTTGAATGTTGACTTCCTGCAGAAGGGCTTATTCCTGGACGGACCTCGTGGCAACGTCCTGAAACTAAGCAGCGAGGCAGAGATCATGCGCGCAACCCACGGCACTCGGCTCCTCAGCGACGAAGAAATTGAGGCCATCTATGGGGCTGAACGGAAGTGGGACATCACCACGGCATTCTACAAGGACCCTCTGTCCACTTGGAATGGCGCTGCCTCCACACAAATGCGCTCCCTGCTCGATTACTTTGATATGCCGAGTGCTTTGGTTTTTGCCCAAGCTGTGGATCAAGTCGACAGGGAAAAAAAGCCGTCTTCGGGAGAGGAGTACCAGGTGTGGCAGGATGTACAGGCAGGCCTGATGCACATTTTTAGCCGGGAACACTTCTCCAACGACAAGAGTCTCTACTTCAAGAGTATGCGAGCCGAGCCCCAGAGATTTGTGCTTTCCACCGACACACGAGTCCTCCAGTGGCTGCATGAGCTACGAAAATCTGGAAAGAAGCTATTCCTCCTAACAGGCTCCAACGTAGACTTTGCTAATCTCACGGCTACTCAGGCTCTGGGAAAGGACTGGCGAAGTCACTTCGATTTTGTGGTGACCTACGCCAAGAAGCCAGGTTTCTTTACCAGCCAAAGGCCGTTTATGAAGGTGGACGTGGAGAAGCTGCAGGAGCTGCCCGAGGAAGCCGAGGCGATACAGCCAGGCGAGGTGTATTCCCAAGGCAACTGGCATGGGTTGCACGCGGCCATGGCTACTATGCTGCAAAAGGAACCATCCAAGGCAAAGGCGCTCTACTTTGGAGACAACATTGTTCAGGATGTTTACACGCCTGTCAAACATCGTGATTTCGATGCCGTGGCCATTGCCGAGGAACTGCTTCTCGAGGACGGCAAGTATCCTTTTACCGCCGAGCTGGACTCTCAATTTTGGGGTTCCTACTTCGCGCTGGAATGTACGCCCACCCTCTGGTCGAGCTTCATCAGCAGTTACGCACAGTTGTGTGTTCCCTCGGTGGAGCAAGTGGCGCAGACTTCACCCCAAAAGCGAATCATATGCAGCAATCCGTACGGATTCAGTCCGCGGTTGCCAAAGGAGCTGGAAACCTTGCATTTGAAGAACTGCAATGAATGATGATAAGGTGAATGTGGATGTGGGCTATCTATCATCTTCCTGGAGACAATAAACGACCTGCGACCTGTGGCGCAGTTGATCCGATAACGCTTCTTGCAGCTGGAACCTATTCAAAAAGTTTACGTACAAACAATTTTATTTAATAATCGCAATAATAGCAATAAACAACACAAAATTCTGGATTGTTCAATTAGCGAGCTGACGACAGCATATACAGGGAGAGTCATAGCTGTAAGTCATTGCAGTTTGATATTAAATAGCTAAGCAAATAAATTGAACTACTCTGAGCATATTGGTACGCAAACTAATTATACCATTTTATTAAAACTAAGTATTATAAAATCTATTTAGTATTTTCTTATCACAACTATGTTTATACCTTCTCTCCTGACTCCAAAGTTCAGTGAAAAGTATGATTCACGAGCTGTTTTTTGATAAATTATTATTGTTATGGCATTTTTTAAATGATTTTTTTAGCCAAGCTAGGACAATTTATAACAGAAATAACCCCAATTTTACTAAACATCAATTATACACACACATGTTAGCTTAATTTGTTAATATTTTTTGACCGAAGAACTCAATTGAAGTACCTATATGCCTTAGATTATATAAAAAGTCTATGTTCAAAATAATTTTAAATGCACTGTTGATGCAGTAATACACTAATTTAATTCACAGTGTACCAAATACATATATATGTAAACCACAACAAATTTGGAATTTGAATAGGTTGTGCATCAGAACAGGAATAGATACATATATGCCGTCATTCCTATAAATATATGTATGTTTACTGGAAATATTGTACTTCCCTGAAACAATAAACTTTTGAATTTTAACATCAACAGCAAATTGTATAAAATATTTCATTTAACGATTTGCAAAATAATGTTTTATTGAGTAGACTTTGTGACTTGGATTTCTGCCTATAAGTACTTGGAATACAAAAATTGCAACTTTACACTTAAGTGAGAAACAGGAAAAGGCAATAAATAGACTGAATGACAATGTGAGGTAATTAGACGATCCGCTCTACAGCCAGGGCGATTCCCATGCCCCCGCCAATGCACAACGAGGCGATTCCACGACGACCACCGGTTCGTTCCAAGGCGTAGAGCAGAGTGACCAGGACTCGAGCACCAGATGCTCCAATGGGATGGCCCAAGGCAATGGCGCCGCCGTTTACGTTTACTTTGCTGGCGTCTAGTTTCAGATCATGGAGGACAGCCAGGGATTGGGCGGCGAAGGCTTCATTGAGCTCGTACAGATCCACTTCCTCCCGTTTCCAGCCAATTTTGGTGAGCTTCAACAAGAATAATATTTAATTTTTTGATATTTCCATGATAATGATTAAATACCAATGCTTCCACAGCTGTAACTGGTCCAAGACCCATAACCTTGGGTTCTATGCCACTCTGCGTCCAGCCTACAATCTTAGCCAGTGGTTTGAGACCATTCTTAGCCACCTCCTCGGCCGAAGCGAGCAGCACAGCAGCTGCTGAATCGTTGACACCAGACGCATTGGCGGCGGTAATCGAGCCTCCCTAAATAAACAAAAGAAAGTGGGTTAATAGGCTTCACGATTTCAAAGTATTAAATAGAACACACCTCTTTAAAAGCTGCTCTCAGCTTCTGGATACCCTCAACGGTGCTTCCGGGCTTAATGTACTCATCCTTGTTGAATATTTGAGTGCCCTTGCGATCCTTTATTTCCACAGGAACAATCTCCTTGTCAAAGAAACCATTTTTCTGCGCCTCTTCCGCTCGGTTTTGGGACTTTACAGCATAAGCATCCTGTTCCTCCCGACTGATGTTGTATTGCTCTGCCAGGTTCTCTGCAGTGATGCCCATGTGGATGTTCTCCATTGCATCTGTCAGACCGTCGTGGATCATGGAGTCCACAAGCGTACCAGGGCCCATTTTGACGCCCTGCCTTAAGAGCATGACGTGGGGAGCAAGCGACATACTCTCCTGACCACCAGCCACCACAATGGAGGCATCGCCGGATCTAATGGCCTGGTAACCCAATGCAACAGTTCTAAACATGAGAAGGAGGAGGTTATTAAGATTTCCTTGAGCAGTTACTAAAAACCCACTTCAAGCCGGAACCACAGAGCATATTTATTCCATAAGCTGGAACCTGGATGGGCAGACCCGCCTTGAGCGAAGCTTGCCGAGCGGGATTCTGACCCTGACCCGCATTGAGCGCCTGGCAAAGATTTACATAACAAAATAAGATTGGTAAGTATTCTAAAGTTGCACCAATTGTTATGAAAATTGAAAACCCACCTGGCCCAAGATCACCTCGCTGACCTGCTGGCCAGTCACATTGGCCCTGCGTAGCACCTCCTGTATCACAACACTGCCAAGATCGGAGGCTTTTAATTTAGAAAGCGATCCATTGAAGCTACCTGTTGATTGGACAAACAGAAAGAGAAAGTTTCCGATTGAAGTTCGGATATCTTTCGTGCAGAACTAGGTGATAAAATATTGACCTATGGGTGTTCGGGCAGCGGACACGATATACACGTCAGACATGATGGCTGGTCAATGGACAGATGTGCGCAGGGTTATGACTTTCTTAATGGCCAGCTAAATTCTAATTTTCGAAATTGTTATTGGTCGCCAGGAGTGTGACCAGGTGTGGGGGGAAAACATTATCAATATCAATCGATGATATCCAAAATATTTATGACTTCTTTTCAATTTCTTTAAAAATTATAGAACTTTTATAATTTTTAATTATTATTTTTTTAAATACAAATAAAGTCTATATTCATATAATTTTGATTAATTTTAAATAATAACTATGGATATCGATATTTGCTAAAGGTGGTACAGAGTAAGATATCAACAATCTTTGGCCACACTAAAAAGTCAATCAACAACCCTAGAGCAAAGTCAGTACACAGAAAATTGACATTTTTGCTGAAAAAATCGTGGAATTTAACGCACAAAACGCGAATAAAAGTGGCCTGAGCGTAAGGCTCGATCTGCAGGCGTCGCGAAGACATTAAGGCACTTGGATAGCGCTCGGGTTCGTCAGGAATAACAAGAGGACACCGCTCCGCCCAAAAAGTACCGACTACTGCCAACCAGCCAGCAAAAGGCAGCACCCGCACCACCCTCCGCACCGTCGCTACCGCACAATCACCAATCTCACACACAAAGCACTCCACTCTATCACTAAAAACTAGGCAAACACCATGCAGGCGATCAAGTGCGTCGTTGTGGGTGACGGAGCCGTGGGAAAGACATGCCTGCTCATCAGCTACACGACCAATGCCTTTCCGGGCGAGTACATACCCACCGTCTTTGACAACTACTCGGCCAACGTGATGGTCGACGCTAAGCCCATCAATTTGGGTCTTTGGGATACAGCCGGTCAGGAGGATTACGATCGATTGCGCCCGCTGTCGTATCCCCAAACGGATGTCTTCCTTATCTGCTTCTCGCTGGTCAACCCGGCCTCGTTTGAGAACGTACGCGCCAAGTGGTATCCGGAGGTGCGTCATCACTGTCCCAGCACACCGATCATCCTGGTGGGCACCAAGCTGGATTTGCGCGACGACAAGAACACTATTGAAAAGCTGCGGGACAAGAAGCTGGCACCCATCACTTATCCCCAGGGCTTGGCCATGGCCAAGGAAATCGGGGCAGTGAAGTATTTGGAGTGCTCGGCGTTGACGCAGAAGGGACTGAAGACGGTATTTGATGAGGCCATTCGATCAGTTTTGTGCCCCGTTCTACAGCCCAAGTCCAAGCGCAAGTGCACCCTGCTCTAAAAGAGATAAAAAGCAGATCCTCCCGCTGGATTCTAATTAAACGTAATATTATTAACGATAAACAATTATGTAACCTAAGCGTTGGCCAGACGATCAGATCCGGGATCCGAGTCATTCCGATCCGATCCGATCCGAGCTGATTCGTAGTTTCTTTGTTACATTTTGCCACTAATTTCAGGTGGATTTTTTTTACAATCCATCCATTTAAAACTCTTGCTTTATCCTTTCGTTTCCGAGTTCGTTTCATGTGTTCTATAATTCATAATCCGATTTTGTTTCCATGTGCATTAATTTGAACTAAAAGTTGTCGCGCTATGTTTCTAGGTAAAATGGAAAGCCCAATGGGAGATCTATAACTGTAAACTCTAACTGTATTTTGTATTATTTAATAACATTTTGTAATTAAAATTAATGTTGTAAAACTGAGGTAAAACCAAAAAAAAGAAACAAACAAGAAAAAATCCAACAAAAAAATTAAAACTTAAAAAAAAATGTATGAGGAAAGTTGAGAGATAGAGAGAGAATAGCCGCATAAAGAGCATAAAGCATAGATGTCGCCTGTTGATTGTAGATCCTCTGGCGGGGATCAGGATATTGAGTCAGTAAAGTAAACGTTCCATTGCAATTACACTTACATTATTACATAATTGTATTTAGATGTTGTTGGATGTAGGAGCTTGATCGAGCGGATATCGTAAAGACGGCGAGCAGGTACGACTTTTTAAACTTTTGCTAGATCCAGGAACTATCAATATATATAAATATATATATATACACAAGTATGTATAAGATGAAAAGTCCTTCGTATACTATGTACTGAAATTAAAGGCATCAAACTGAGCAACTTTGAATACTTTGTATTTTAAAACAGATATTCAAGACAAAACCAACAGCAACAAAAATAAGAACGAAACCAAGATAATTATATAAATGTGTCTATTTCAATGGAAATTAATAAAGCATACTGAAAATTTAGATACTTTTAATTAATAGGGATTAATAGAGATTTTAATACAAAGCTTTGACCTTTCCCCCCATAACATTCTGTCGTAAAATATTTATAAACATTCATACCAATGGAAAAGAACTAAAAACTTGTTTTGGTTCCATCCATCCATGGTTTATCTGAATCTCTAAAGGCAGTATTTGTTTTTCCGTTCCCCATATGGGCTTGTGGATTCTGTAAATAGTTTATCTGCTTCGAGAAATGTCAATGGCTGACATCACTCCCGAGGAGGGTTCACTGTAGACATATAGAGGTATGGAATTATCAACGTCCAAGAACGTATTATTTGCTTATCTCGGCGAAAGTCGAGAACCGAAAATAATCAAATCAGCCTGACAAAAAAAAAGTAACCGATTCCCTCGGGCCTCTCATTTCCTATTCTACACTGAACAAAATAGTTTATATTGAAAATATATATAAATACTCTAAAAAACTAAATTTCTTTCAGTTTAGTTGCTCTCATTTTCAGTTCTGGCTGTTAGTGTGTGGATCTCGGAATGTTCTCGCAGCTGGAAATGAATCGGACTACAGCGAAAATCATTTATGTTTATATGTTACACAGGCATATGCCCCGTATCTGGCGGAAGGGGTCAAGTGTCGGCATGTGTGTGTATATATGCATACATATGCCTACTCCAGTGACGTGGCCATTGATGTTCAAAGAGCTGACGTGGACGCCTTTCAATTAAACAAATCATATCAAATCAATTAGTCGAGGGTGTCACAGAATGACCATAAAAGCCCTGCATTTAAGTCCGTTTATAATGCACTTTTCAATCATCTCTTACGATCTAAGGAAATTTTACAAATTATTTGGCATGCGAAGTGGGAGATTCATAGGATCAATCTTAATCTCAGGATAGAGCGGGGTCTCTATCCAGGCTCAATTAGAACTCGTCGTGGCGGGCAAGGGCTTCGCCAAAATCGGTGGCCTGGGATCCGACGAAGACATCGTACTTGTCGAGGATTTCATCCTTGGTCAACTGGTCATCATGGTCCACATCGGCCTCGAAGATCAGGTGCTTTGCCTCGCTTTCGGCGTGATCAAAGTCGTTGGGTGAAATCCACTGTTTCACCTCCTCATCGTTGAGATATCCGTCGTTGTCCAGATCGCGGTGCTTGGTGAAGGCCTCACGCTCGTTGGCCACCCACTCCGGTTCCTCCTCATCCTCTTCCGATGGCCGGTACATGTCACCGATATACTCGTCGACGGAAATTTGGCCATCCTTGTCCTTGTCCAGGTCTTCAATGGTTTCTTTGAGTACCACATTCTTCATGGTGGGATGGTCTTCGGGGTGCAAAAAGGCGGTGAACTCCTCCCGGGTCAGATTGTCGTCCAAATCCTGGTCGGCCACGGCCCAGCGATTACGATCCCGCTTCAACAGGCTCTTGTAGCTAACACCTGGAATTTTAAAAATATATTTAGACTAATAGTTCTTCCTTAAGAAGGTATTTACTTACCATTCTCCTCCTGTTCGAGCTCATTCTGGTCCAGGTCATCCATGAAACCATAAACCGTCTTCCGGTATGTTTCCCAACTGATGCTGGCATTGTTATCTGGGTTGTGCTGCCTCCACACCCGGCCAACATCCTCATCGATGTACCGGCGTTGGGTGTAGGAAATCCAGTTCTTCAGCTCCGACTGGGTAATGAAGCCATCTTTGTCCTCATCGATACGATCCACTATGACTCCCAAGCGCCGCTTGCTCTCCTCCGGCGTCAGGCTGTCAAACTTTTTGGACTCATCCGGACCCAGGAAGGCCTCATGATCGAACTGGGCATTGTGCTCCCCGCCATCAAAGTGTTTGCCGTGCAGGGAGTCGTGCTCAAATGGATGGGGCTCATCGGCACCGGGAATGCTGGAGGCAATCGCCCCATTTATCGCGGCCACAACAAGTAGCAGCACAGCTGCGGTCTTCATTCCGGTTTTCATCATTCCGCTGTGGGCGTCCGTTCAGTTCGAGTGGTAGACTGAGAATAAACAATGGGACTCTCTCATCCACCATAAACTCGGGTGGGCGAATGAATTCTCGGGTGACTTCCAGCAGGGCTGGAAAATATGAACTGACAGGAGGTTCAAAAGTTGAACTTCAAGGCGAGCGGGATTTTCAAAAACTATCGAATAGACTGATGTTTTTAAAATTAGTTTTTTTTTTAATTATTAGGTTTAAATTTAAAGATTATTTAAGAATATTTTATTTATCTATAAGATATGTTTTTATTTATTAATTTAAATGCATCTTAAAGATTTATTTTTAATGAGAATATTCGGCATATTTATTGCTGATTCGGGTAAGAAGATATTTCTTGAAAATGTATGTGTTTGCTAAGTAAATTTTTCTTTAAATTTTTAGTTAAATAAATATAATTTTCAAGTAAGCCGATTATAAAATTCCTAATTCATTGTTTTTCGTGATTTTATTATTTTGTCATTTTCTAAATATTTGTTATCTGAAAGATTAGGTTTATACGTATGAAAGATAGTATACGTTTATACTATGAAAGATTATATACTCTTTGTCTTACTAAATATAATTTTTTAATCCTCCCTGATAACTATAATCCTCCACCATTATTTAATTGGTGATTCATTGGAAAACTATCTTGAAAATGTCGATATAAAAATGGAAATCCCTCTAAAGCGTACTATGTAAAGATCTCAAAAGCTATATATCTCAGAAGCCGAAAGATTTCCTCTGCCCAATAGGAATCAATCTTTATCATTAACATATCTCTCAGCTATCTTGGCAATTTTGAATTTTAAAACATTTATTTCGATTTTAATTTGCTTTTATTAAACGTCCTTTCTTTAAAGCTAGTTAAATATCATACAAATAAATATGTGCAATATATTGGATTAAAGCGTTGGGCTAACTACAATATATGGTTTATCGCTATTTACATTCTTGTACGTGCAGGGAGGCATCAGGCGGAGGTTTCGGACCTCTTCCAATCTCAATTACTTTGGTGGCTCGACGCCATCATGGCCCAGGGAACTGAAATCCCCCGTATTGCAGGAGATGCTGGGAATATCAAAATTCGAAAAGCCCCGATAGTTTGCCACCTCGGGCTTCAATGGCGATGGAAGGAGTACCGATGTTCCAGGCACCTCGCTGTCTATTAAACTGTCCATGGTGTTGTCCAGCAGGCTTGTATCTGGGAGAGCAGCTGGTGGTTTCTTGGGGTTTGCTTTTTGGACTAAAGGATCGAATTCGTCGAGATTCAGCTTTGATTCATCCGCTGTGCTGTTCTCGCCACTTTGATCTGACAAATCGAAATCGTAGTTAATGTTGGTCAGTCCTCCCTCAAAGTCTGCTCCAAGCATGACCACATCGGTATTTCCCTCAGAAGAACGCTCTTCCAGCATTGAAACGGCATCAAAAGCACCATAATTGAAAATGGGGGAAGCGAATAGGTGATCCGGAGGCTGAACATTCTGCTGCAGGGGAGACAAGCGACCAATAGACCCAATACTAGTGTCCTTAAGCGACAGACCCGACTCTTCGGTAACTATTGTGGATTTTAAAGCATCACCTCCAGCAATTATAGATTGGGATGCCAGGTTACACTCGCTGAAAACGTTCTCCAGATAATGTCCTGAGTCGGGGTCAGTTTGAAGCTGGGCCCTTGCCTGTCCGATGAGATAAGCCGGTGTCTTGATAGGTAGCAGTGTGAGAGGTGCCTTGGCAATAACCGTATCCACTCTTTCGGTCACTTCTCTTTGGAACTCAATGAGCTCCTTTTCGAAAGCAGTTAATCCCGAACTGATCAGAGTGTTTTTCTTCTGCAGCTCCTCCATGCGCTTCATGTTTTCGGAAATCAAATGCAAGCTTTCGCAGGCCAAAAGAGCGCTTTCCCAAGGAGTGCTATACGACTGTTGTCCTGACATCAGGGCATCGAATTCCTCGCTACTAATTCCCAGACTCTCTCCGTTCAAATTTTCGATGAAGGCAATGGCAGAGCAAAGGTTGGTGAAATAGTAGCCACCCTCGCCACTCATCACCCGCGATGCGTTCGTAAAGCGAGTTACAAAATTGATGTTGCTATGGAGCCGCACGGGATTGGCTTTCAGCACCACAAAAATCAAGGCGGGCAGGAAGTCATCCGCACTGGCTGGACCACCAGTGGCTCTTTTGAGGAGCTCAAAGATGTGTCTGCAACAGCGTACTGTGCACTGGAGCTTCTCTTGAGGGGAGTAAAACGAATCGATGCCAACAAGTTCTGAAATGGCATTGTAAACTAGATCCCTGGCCTCAGCGTTTACTTCGTCGATGCTGCAGTCCAAATGCTTGGCTGTTATCCAGCTTAGCTGTCGAATTCTCTTCTGAACCTTAACGTCGCTGTCCTCGTCTGAAGTGAAGTACGGACTAAAGAGAAATCTGTAAAAAGAGTTTCCCGCCATAAAGATAAATGCTGTTGACACTAGTGTCTTGCAAGCTAGATGACTCACTTATGGTTCTGCGTCATAACAACCTTCTCAAAGAAGTCTATGGCACTATCGCGGTCTTCGTTGGTGGCAATCTCAAAGCTCGGATCGTTGTGGACAATATCAGAAACCTTGGTGTAGGCATTCTGCACTGCATCCGAAAGTTCATCAATGTTTTTGCTGCCATGTCCGTTCATATATTTTCGAATATCGCCGTCCAATCGTTGGATTTCGAGCTTGAGTTTTCGTTTTCCATCGTCAGGAATACGTAACTGCCGTAACTGTAGCAAAAACTGATTCTCCGTAGGATCTGGGACATAGCCACGCTGTTGAGTAACTAGAAAATCATATTTTGAATAACATTATTATATTTTGATTTCATTATTGACTGTTATACTTTTTTGAGCTCCAGCCTGGAGGGTTTTTTGCAACACAGCTGTGAACTTTTTCTTTTGCAGCGTCCCAGAGTTCTCTGAATCCCTTTCCGGTTGTTTTTTTGGTTGCTCCACTCGTCCATGGCCATGTTGTGGCGACCTCCGCTCTATGGAACCGCCTGCAACACCCGAAGTTGAAGCTCCAGGAGTAAGTCCCGCTTCACGCTCCTTCACTGCAAAATACCATTTCATGACTGAGGCTTGAATCAAGGGTTTGACACCCAGGGGACTTACGTTTCAACTTCCGCTGCTTATCATTGAATTTCTCGCGGAAGCACATCGAACAGAGCCCGTCATTCTGGGGAGTTCCGTAGAATCCGCAGCCAGTGCGACATTTCAGGTCCTGCTGCCCCAGTCGCAGGGAGGGGGGTCGCGCTGCCGTTGCCATTGTCTTGAGTATTCGGATCTGTCTGCGGGCACTTATCTCTTGTCTGCCTTTGTGCCTCTTGTTTATAGAATTTTGTCGGGTGATAATTTGGGCGAAAAACAATTCGCAGATAAGTTTAGTGTGACCAGGCCATGCAAGCAATATAACGATACTTTTGGCCTAACGCCAAAGAACCAGTAATGCAAAGTATTTAAATTTGAATTAAAACATTTGTAACGGTTACTTTGATATTATTTTGTAGAAATACTTTTAATTTTAAATGTAAGCGACCTAAAATATCTATTTTTATAGGTAACTTAATAGTTTTAGGATGACGGCAGGAAATCCCAAACATCAATCTCTTTAAATTAGGTAATTTTTCAATAAACATGCATATTTAAACACAAAAATAGGCGCAAAATCAGATATCATGATCTAATACGTCAATTATCAATAGACTAAAGTCAATCTAGCGTTTCATACTTCAGCTATTTATAAAATGGGAAGGCATCCTATTACTCCATTTCAAAATTGGTCATATAGTATGGTTAACAACCATGGCAAGAATTCTATACTTTCTGGTGCTTTTTATATTGTTTGTTCAAGTCGAGTGCAAAATCAAGACTCTTTACTGTACCTCGTATGACAAGGACTATGGAGTGTTTCCGATTTGTAAATTAAAGCCTATAAGTAGAAAAGTAAATTCAATTACTGTTCACTACAGACAGGTATCGGTTGTAGACAAAGTATTGGTAAGGTTATTAAAATAAAAAAATGACAATATTACGCAATAAGTTTATTTGCAACAGATGAGAGTGGAAATATTGAAAAGAGCAAATGGATGGCGTCCTTTTTTGTATGATATTTCGGTAGACATGTGCGATTTTTTGGTGAAACGAAACAATCCAATATTGAATATTGCATTTTCTTTATTGAAACCATACTTAAACACAAACTATTCATGCCCCCTCAAGGTAGTTTCAATTTTAAATACCATTTCTGATTAAAAAATTGCTCAGATGTACATTTCTTTTTAGCCAAATGAAACACTTTTCTGTGACAACTTAATTTGGGATTTGGATAAGTTTCGTGTACGTTTTCCCTTCGAAACTGGTGAATATGGAATGCGAATGAGTTTATTCTATCATAAAGTTCTTAAATTTACCATTAATGGCTCTGCTGAGTACTCCAACTATAGAGAACATTAGCTCTAATCAAAATATAGAGAACTGGTTTTAATTATGTGTCTATTTAAAAAAAGTTTCTAAATAAAGCATGAAGCATTAAATGGTTTAATTTATTTTAGCTTTTATTTTTAAAATAACCAAGTACCAATTAAACAAACTAATAAAGATACAAATCTAATGAATAAGCAAACTCCGATTAGTGGTACACGTGTGTAACTGTATTAATTATAATTTATAATACTCTTTGTGAGGGTATAATGATAATGCAGAATTCAGTGAACCATTTAATTAAAAAGCTATTTAAAAGTACATTTTAAGTTTAGTCTGTCTACCAATAATCATGAAGGTGGTCATAGCCTCTATACTTTTACTGGTTCTTTTAGGACACGTTGAATGCAAGTTCAAATTTGTTTTTTGTACAGTATATGATAAGGATTACGGAGAATTTCCAGTTTGTAAATTAAAAGCTATAAATCGATATAGAAATGCCATTACTGTGCTTTACAGACAGATAATGTATGCGGAAAAAGTAATGGTAAAGATACTGAAGTAGAAAAATAAATTTATTCTAAAACAATTCCCTTTTTTTTAACAGGTTAGATTGGAAATATTAAAAAAGGCAAATGGATGGCGTCCTTTTATCTATGATATATCTATAGATCTGTGTGAATTCTTAGGCAAACGAAATCACATTGTTTTCAACGTTGCCTATCAATATTTGAGCCCATATCTTACCTTAAATGACACCTGTCCTTTTAGGGTAATGAAATATCAACACATTTTTTAAAGGAAGTATACTAATTTTTAAAAAATCTTTAGCTAAATTCGACGATTTTTTGCGATAAATTTGAGTGGAACTTGGATCAGTTTCGTGTTCGTTTTCCTATCGAAACTGGGGAATATGGATTACGACTGAGTTTTTACCACCAAAAAGTTCTTAGACTTGTCGTTAATGGTTCGGCCGAGTATTCAAACTATAAAGAACATTAGATCAATTTATTTTTTATTAAAAACAATAATTAAAATACTTACATTGTAACTTTAAATCTTTCAAATTTAAAAGCTCCGAAATAAAACATATTGGTATTAATTTATGTTCCACTAAAATTGAATTTTAGCATATTTTATTGAAAAGAAAACATTTAAACTGAAACTCATGGGAGTTTTGCACAATTTTGAAGGAATACATTTAGTAGTAAAATCGTAGTGCCCTAGGTAACATTTCAATACACATCCAAATTCTTAATGCACATAAACATTTTTAAAACCAGTTACACATTTTGCTATACATATCTCAAGTATAGCAAGTTTATAAAGTCGTTACATATAGGACGGTTATACACATAGATAGAATTCAATTTCTGGTAGGGTTACAAACATTATTAGTTCACAACAGTAATTTGAAAAAGCTCGGAAAACACAGAGTTATAAATAGCTAAGACTAGACTACGAATTTGCAAAGTTGCCCTATCTGCTCTATTGCTTCATCATCTTGATCCCAATGAAAAATCTAAACCTGCCACAAAAAATCCTGCGATCCTTCGATTTCTTAACTTAATTGACGCCCCCCAAAAATGCACTCAGCTACCAACAACTCGCCTAATTCAACGCTACCTCTACTCTATTTCTAGTTTTTCTAAATTTGTTCACTTTCCTAGCAGTAAAAAGATTTGGAAAAACCATTTTGTCGCTTCTGCGTATTTGTGATCTTTTGATTAGTCTTAAAAATTTCTAATACTATACCGCTAATTTCATCAAAATGCAACCTTTCCATTTCCGTGCTCAACTACTATCGATAGTTACGTATACTCAACATGATCGTTCTTGTTTTCGTTCACTTCCTTTTTTCAATTCAACGTGTTTCGAAATAGTCTCGTGTATAGTTTTGAACTTGAATTTAACACTACTTATGTATGATGTCTTTGGCTTCTGTTTTTCGTTATTATTATTTTGTGTTTGGTTTGTATGTGATTTAAATCTTAGAGCTAAAAATGTAAGTATCGATAACACGTTTTAAACAGTTATGCCGCTTTTTTTGGTTATAGTTTTTTGATTAAACATTCTTTGATTTTTGATTCTTTTCTGCGCGTTTAATGTATCTGTGAGTATCAATTCGCTACAAAAGAGTTGCCTTGGTAAAAAATTCAAGTCTAACGATTTTCTTTAATAAATTCCTTGTTCCAATTGCAAATCAATTGAAATCAGTTGGCTCATCTGATGTATCTAGTTCTGACTGTGATGATTACCCTGATTAGATAACTTTTATTTTTCTACTTTTATTAAAAAGTTCAGTACATCTTTTAAAAATAAAAGTGGAGTAAATGGAGGGATAATTGCAGGATAAAAATAAAACAAATTATTGTTTAAGTATAAAGAATATTTCAAAATTAATTTTAATTTCATTAGGAACTTTTTAGAATAATCAGTAAGTTAGAACAAAAACTAAAAATACAAATGTGAATCAATGTGGAGAAAATATTTCAAAATCAGAAATGTATGTACTGTACTATTTAATTTTTAAAAATGTCAAGTTGGTTCTTTAGGGGTCTTAATATGCCAGTTAACTAAAGTACTTTAATCCTGCGATCAGCATAAATTTTTCGATGAATAATTCCGAATCCAGGACAGCAATATGAGCAGCTCTACCAATCAAGGTATTTGCCGTATGCGGGAGAGCATGGTGAACATCAAAACGGGCTAGAGTCAGTTCCGGTCTGGCCAATATCGGAGCAATTACATTTTGTACCATTTCCCTAAAAGATAAAGAATATTTTAAATAAAAATCGTAAAACCATTATAGCTATATATACCTGTAAATAGTTCCCAGGGTGGAGCTATCTCTCAAGGCAGCCTTGCAGAGTTCCAATCGTGCGGAATGGGCTGGAACATAACGATCCTGGCTGGAGCCACAGAGAAGGATATTCTTGAAGTGGTGCAGGGTGCTCCTTTGACTCAGTCTGTAGAGGAAACTATTCCGCATGTCGGTGGTATCGCGCATGCAAAGTTGCAGCAAGGATCCTGATTTTTTCCACTTTTGCATAAACCACATGCCTTGGGAAGGAAGCCTTTACTAGAGGAACTATAGTGTTTAAGAGATGGAATCTTACCCATATTCACTAAACCACTGGTATTGTAAAGCGTGCCCAGATGGGGTCCCGACAGGGAGAGGAAGGTATGGAGCCGGGGAAGCAGCGGGCGCATCTGCGGCCTGGCCAATGCACTTCGAACTATGATAGTACCCAGGGAATGGGCCACAAATGAGATGCGAGCTGGATTCAGACCACAGCTATCGATATGGTAGAGTATCTCGGTTACCAGCCTGGAAGAAAAAACAATAGGATTTCTTGTATTTTGTGACCAATATAGGCAGTATTCCTACTCACCGATCAGTCATTGTGTCGAAGTCCGAGAAGGTATCTCCCTGATTCCTCTCGGACATGAGAAACTCCAGATTAACGCCAGGCAATCCCAGTTCCAGATAGGTCCGCACCAACCTAAGGTCCGCCGAATTCCCATCCAATCCATGGACACAAATCACCAAATGCATTCCGTTCGGGGAAAAAGCTCGATACTCATCGCTGATGTAGAAATACGGCAACTCAGAGGCCAACTGGACGTAATCCGAGTAGATGCTACCCTGGTATTTGATCTGTTTCCGGAACTCTTCACGATATTTCTCAAATTCCAAGAGCGATATGCTGGGCGGTGCCTCCTGGACGGCGGAGGAACCTCCGTTTACCTGACCCTTTCGTTTGTGCTTGGAGTTGGTATTAGATGCGGAACTTTGTTTGCTGCTCCTCACTTGGGCATTGGAGTTCTCCTTGTTTTCATCAGGTTCTGGATCCATGCCGTTTTCTAATCCATTACCATTTACAGCATGGGACTTGCACTGATGACTCTGAGGAGTTTGCAGGTTTTGAAGGTTCTGCAGGTTCTGGGGTCTCTTCAGTTCCGCCAAGCTATGCGATTTTAAAACGGGCTTGTTGCTGAATATGGCTGGCGTGGAGATGGGACGCAGTGACTCGTAGATGTGGTACACTGGATTGTCAATGGCACCCACTGGCTGGCGTTCCTTCAAAGGTGGTGGCAAGTGACAGGCGATTACTTTGGCTTTTCCGGAGGGCGGTTGTGATGCAGGGACAGCAACTGGCAGCGGAGCAGGAGTAGCTATCGGAGCTATGGGTGCTGGTTCTGGTGGTGGATCCCGGAATTCATCCGGTGGGGGCGGAGCCAGGGTCATGGGCAGTTCCTGTTCTTGGTCCTGAAACTGTTGAGGAGGCGGCAGGCACACCGCATCCAGCGGCTGCATATCCTTCATGCTCGTGATATCAAAATCTGATTTGGATTTCTCGCACCTGCCAGCCGAGGCAGTCTTGTGTCGGTTTCTACGGGGCGGCGGCTCCATTTCCTCCACCTCCGTGGATTCCCCATTGGGCAGGTGGCGCAGTCTATCCAGATGGAAGCGAGAGCGCTCCCTCTTCACATTCACAGTGACCGAGGAGATCTTCTTGTGCACCTCTGGCTGTGGCGCCTGCTGCCGTGCCGGAGTACGGCTCTGACTAGAGGATCCAGCTGCCTGCCGCTTGCGGGTCTTGTGAGGATGCTGTTGCTGGAGCTGCTGCTGCTCGAGTACCTTCTGGAGGCGCAATCTTAACTGCTCCCCGTTCAGCCGCGTCTCCATGGCCATGCCCATGCCTAGATTGAGTTGGGTGTGTCTCTGGCGGTTGTTTAGACCCGTACTTGTGATGGTGTCTGGACTGGAAATGGCCAACGAGCTCCTCCGGCTGCTCACCCAGCCACTCTCTTCGCTCAACGAGGATGTGGAGTTGCTTCGCTGCCGCCTCAACTGCGAGTCCGAATCGAATTCTGGCGGAGGAGCCAGATTGGGCAGGGATTCGCTGAAACCGCTTGTGTTGGGATCACTGCTGGTGGTGTTGTTGTTGCTAGTCCCGTTCCCGGCACCCTCCAAGCGGAAGGGTACACTGTTGGAGCTCAGCATCTGGAGCTTCTGCATCATGTCGCTCTCGGAGCTGCTGGACTCCTTCCTTAACTGACCCTGGCGGAGCATCTCCTTGATGTCCGACACTCGTACTCTGGCGATTTCCACGGCTCGAGGGATTTGCGAGGAGCTGCTTCGGGGCATGGTGGTGTGCTGACTAGGAGGCGGCGGGGGATACGAGTTCCTCGGCGGCACCATCGACTTGGGCAGGGAGTTGTAGCCATTGGAGCACTGCTGCGACTGATGTTGCTGCTGTGGCGCTGGCTGCTGTTGCTTGGGAGGATTCAGCAGCTTGATCTCGTGCAGGTAATCGAACTTTCCATAACGCTGTCGGAATTCACAGATATTCCTCATCAAATCATCAGCCTGGAGTCGTGGCAGGGTGTGATTACTGTTAGGAGGAGGCTGATTGGTGGGCAATCCTTCGCAGCCATCCAACTGGTCCAGGGACTTGCTGTGCCTGGCCGGAAGGCTAGTGTCCAGGCCGAGATCCTCCAATAGACCCGTTACGGAGTGCCTGGACAGGTTGTGACGCAGTGCCGCAGAGATGGGAGCAGTAACCACAGCGGGAGGAGGTAGCTCCTTGTTGGGAGCTATGGTGAGACTCGCCTGGAGCACTTCCCCGCCCAGAGCGAATCGCGGAGTGACCACACACTTGGCATGCGGATGTGCCGGCCCAGAACCATTCGTCTGCGGATAATCGTAATCGAAGTGGCAGGCCAGGCAGTCCTTAATCCCATTCAAGCTGCTGCTGGAGTGGGTCTTGTCCACCTTCTGCTTCTGGCATCCACCCACTGAAATCGTTTCCTCCAACTGCGTATCACTGCCGGATCTTCGTCGGTTGTAGCCACTCCCGGACGTAACATAACGATCCTCAAAAATCAGAGGCAGCGACGAGGCATCTCCATCAATGGGGGTGCAGTGGACGGGCAGGGGTGGCAGGGACTGAAGGTAGCGACTCCTTCGGGCCAACTCAGCAATGGCCACATAGCCCTGACAATGTCCTGGAGAGGGTGAACCATTGGCCTGCTCCGGGCAACCCGCGGCGGCGGCATGACGCGGCTGTTCCAGCACAAAGAAACCCTCCGCAAAACGCCGCACTCTCAGGATGTGATGCTTCCGGGCCAGAAGCGTGTGCACAGCTGTCGAGGATCTGGAGGCCAGGAGGACGCGTCGCCACCAGAAGATACTCTCCGCACACAGCTGGGCTATGTCGGAGTTGGCTCGAATCGCAAAGTCCTCCTCGGCCTCTAGCTGCTTGGCCTGATCCAGTAAAAGTTGCAACCTCTCGGCGGTATCGTTTTCTCTCAAAGGCGGCGAGCCGATCTGGGAGTTTATGCTTGGAGGTAACACTGTACTGAACTCATTCAAAGTGGCTTTCAGCTGTTCGATGGCGCCCAGGAGCAGGCAGCAGATCTCTCGGTGAATAGCTCTGGATTGAAGCAACCGGCCGGCAGGACCGCCACTGCATTTGGTGGTGCCGCCTATTTGGGGTCCAAAGAACACCGCCTCCAAAGGTCCTGGCGAGGTATTTCCTCTACAGCTTAACTTTCCGGCACTCCAAGGCTTTGAACTCCGAGGGGCACTAAAAATATATAAATAAAATAGACAGAAACCGAAATTATTTAGCGATTTTTATAAATAATTATAATATTAATTGTCTACACACATAAGAAGATTCTTTTTTTTTTAGATAAAGTATAAACTACCATTTAGATTAAAATAAAAAGTATAGAAAACTATAAAAGTCATCTAGAAACGCGGACAGATACATTTAGAAAGCTTCCTGGCGACAAAAACTACGTCAACTACGTGTACCGAGCGGTGTGGATTTTATGGAATTTACACAATTACGGAGATTTATGGAGTTATGATGGGTTCTTACCAGAATTTCATGTACGAGAACATGCTTTTCCTGCAATCGCAATCAGTTTTCAGTGATCCATTAAATAGTGATATTATATTATGTGTATAATATATGGGTTTAATATCATTGGAGCGCAAAAAAATTGGATAAATGAATGCGAGATTATAGAAAATGAAAAAGTAATGAATCCAGAAATTATAGAGAACTTAGAGATAAGAAAATGTTAAAAATAACTTATTTTTTAAATGGAACTATATACTTCTAAAGCAAAGAATTAGTATTCTAAATATGAGAAAGAGGTTTAAGAACTGAAAAGATTTCTTTTGGCGGTTTATTCTCAATGAATTTAATCCCCAAAAAAACATTTTAAAGTTTCTTTCCCCCTTTTGAAAAATCAGACTCCGCCGGATGATTGGTCCGTGAGCCCGTCGAGATAATCAGGCAATTTACGGCATCGCCCACGAGAACGGCGGGATGCGGAATTTCAGGATTGGAGCGGCAATGGCGGCGATGTGTAATCAGCTTGAATATCCCACATAGGGCAAAGGCCAAGGTCAGCAAGGAATTCCAGAGGCCAATGAGATGATATTTTATTCATATGAAAGAGATAGAGTCACACACAAAGGCAGATTGAACGGGCAGGATAAGGCGGTAAGGGGGCGCCAATTTCAAATTCCGTTTCATATTTTATTTGCCAAAGGATGCTGCACGAGCTCCACAAATTGGTACTCCAAGCAGCGGCTGGAACGGAGGATTTGCACTCGAAAATTGCCGAGAACTTTCGGCAATACAAAACAGATTAAAGAATTACTGAGGGACCAAAAAATAAATTTAAAAAATGAAGAAAATGGCAGGGAAACTTTCCGGAAGAATGTGAGGGAAATACTTGCAGAAGGATACAAACTTTTGTGGAATCAAACGGCGTAAAAATTGACTCTGCACCAGGAACTTGGAGTTCTCCGGCAAAGATGGCACGCCCCCAGATCCCCAGCCCAGCAACGCCCATGCGTCTTGTTAACGTTGCAAGTTTTTTTCGTGTCGCACTGTTTCCCCGTTGAAGCCAAAGGACAATTGCAATGCGAGAGTCATTAAAATTTATGCCATCATATTTTTTATTCCTTGCTTTTTGTATGCACAGTGGGCAGTGGAGTGGGCGTGCCCCGATGGAAGTCTAGGAGAGTGGAGAATGGGGCAAGGATGCCTGTGTGCAATTTTAATGAGTTGGAAATGATTTGTGCGGGTAACTGGCCGCCGGTTGACTACATAAACCCCCTAGCTCACTCCCTCTCTCAGCGGGGGCGTTGATGCTGCAGTCCCCACGCAACAGGACATGATAACAGGACACGGCTAGGAGGAGCTGGCACGCCCACTACCCGCAGATATCGCCCATTGCATCGCCCACAGGCGGTGTTGGGTTCAATTTACTGTGAAAAATATGACTATATCAACGTTGACATTAGAGATCATGTTGTCATCTTCACTTTGCATCCTCTGCATCCTAGCTCCTGACACTTGAACTCGCAGGTACACTTTGAGAAACTAAGCTTAGAGCTTTTGCTTAATAAAATGAATTTAAAATCAAATCAGACACATGAATAAAGTTTGTAATGATGGCTCCCTGCAACTAATTTTCCTAAAAATTGTTTTAATAATTTTCGACAAAAGGTACCAAATATTTTCCAGTGGATGTCCCCTCTACTCACTTGATATAAGGCTGATGGAGAGCCACGAGACTGGCGTGAATGCCCACACTGATGGCCGCCAAGTGGAAATAGTCGAACAGCACCGGCAGATGATAGTGAAGGCCACGTCCTGGATGAAAGTTAAGCTGCAGGTTCCTCGTAGAGGCCAGTGTCAGAGTGGAGGAAGTGGCGCCCGAGTAACTGCCACCCATTCCGCTGCTTCCATTGCTTACGCCGTTCTGCTCCCCAAACCAGAGCTCCAGTTGCAGTGAAAACTCGGCCCGTTCAATGGACTCCTTTAGGTGACGACTGTCAACTGCAATGATAAAAAAAATAAAACCAGACATCAGGATCAGGTAGGTCTCTGTCTTAAGGTTGAGTGAACTGCAAATCCCCGGGATAAATGCGGCAGAAAATCCAACCGGCAAACACTCAGCATATTCCCACACCATTCACCATTCCCCCCAAAGTCCAATTCAATTCAGTCTTCAGGTTATTTGCTTTTTGTATTGATTTTCGTTTAGGCCCGGCGTTACAAAAGTGGGTGGGTGTGGCTCAAAACCTCAAACAAAATGGGTTAATGCCCATGTAGTTGTGCATGCGACAAAGCCAAATCAAACTTCATCCAAGACCGCAAACTATTGGCCGGAAATCGATGACTCAGGCACATTTCTCTCAGTTGGGCTAGAAACTCAATCAATTAAGTTTTCATTGTGGATTCAAGCCAGAAGGCTAATGTGGTTTTTAAGTTTAATTTATAAAGGGTTAGAATAGGTCAAGTATTACCTAAAATTCTAAGTTTCTTTCGTTACCTTTATTCGAGCAACAAGTGAGCTAAATCGTCTATCTTATACCATTTCGTATTCATCAATATCAACGATTATTCCACCTGCCACTCCATAATCATAACCATCAGACCTTCCTCTTCCCATCCTTAAGCGATACCTTTCATGTAGCTCCATAATTCCCGACCATCTCGTTCACAAGCTAAAAATGTTAATCAAATTCAATTTGCTTCACATGTCGATGGAGGTTTATGGGGCAGCTACTTAGGATTCTTTTAGCCTTCAGCCAAGGATGCGGGTGTGAGTGTGTGTGTGGCCATAAAATTCATTTGTTTTCATAAAATAAGGATTTATCCATCGCAAAAAGGCAATAAAAAGAACAGAGCCGGGTAGGCATGACTTCATCTCCATCTCCTCTACGTTTCAGATTTACTCGGGTGTCCCGCATCACTCATCCGCCATGTGGTTCAGCATCCGTGGTGACAATTGCTTTTTGGCTCAAATCATTTAAATGCTAAGGATTTCACAAGTGGAGACAACTGTTCCACATAGTTTATTTTATTTTTTGTCATAAAAATTTTTATTAAGCAGAAAAAAATATTTAAAAGGATACAAAATTGGTAAAAATAAATCTTTAAATGTTATTCTTAGGATTTTCAAGGTAAGCTTTTCAAGGGTTAAAAAATGATTCCTTTTAAACATCATAAGAATTCTTTTCAGTGCTCTCTTGCCATCTTTTTCAGAGAGTATCCTGCGTGTGCGAAAGATAAATTGCACAGTTAGGAAAAGCGGAAAAAGGGAAAACCAAAACAATCACACCACCACACATGCGAAACATCAACAGCAGACAGAAAGCTGTCAAGTAAAAAGTTACTCTTGTTGCTGTTTTTTTTGTTGTTGGTGGAAAACTGCTGGTTTTTTCGTATTCCTGCGGCTTTCTTTTCTAGATTTCCTTCACACATGCTTGGAAAACTTGTCCAAATGAATTAATCACTTTACTCGGCAGCCAAGTGGATGATGTTTCTATTGTTTTTGTTCTTCTTCGCTGACAGCCAAAGGATATGAGTGGAAGGATACAAAAATAAAAGGAAAACAATAAAGAAACCAAATAAAAGAGGCGTGGAAAACCAGGAAAATTCATAAAGACAGGCAGTCTGTCAAGTGCTCATCATTCTCACACTTTTTCTCAAGAGAGCGTTCATTGTTTTTGTTTTCATTTCTTTACACAATTCCCATAAATATTCAAATAAAAATATCTTTTTATACGATATATATGTTATATGTATTTTTATATATTTTTTTTTGGGCCTCCATTACTGCGGAAAATTACTTTCAATTTGTCTGTTTTATGAGGCTTTCATGCTCATGCTATTTTTAATATTAAAGATGTAGCCTTAATTGTTTACTTTTTTGAATATGTTCTTGGCCTTTTGCCCTCTATATTCTGGGTCTTCGTTTTGTTAATAAGAAAACTTGGCCAGCACATTGACCTAGTTTTCTGCTCGGCCGGACTAAAAATAAGAAAGTCCACAAGAAAAGAGCTGCGATGGTGAATTTTCTCAAAAGGAGTTTCCCAACTTGCCGTAATTGCATTGCAGCCGGAGCAGCAAAAATCCTTTTAGCTGCAGCCAGCAATAAATGCAATTAGGTGGAAATTTCCAAACCCAAGTTTGTCCTGCCATACGTCTCCGCCATCGACATCGCCATCTGTCCCGTGTGGTCATCAACTTCATCCCCCTGGAATTCCCAGAGCTCAAAAGTTCTTCCACCCGAAAAACTTTGCCCGGGCTTTGACAATTTGATTTATATTTCCAATCCAACAATAAACTCATTTCGGTTCTCAAAGTTTCGCTGTCCGCGCTGAGTGAGCGAGTGATTTGGTGTCTGGTTACCCACTTTGGGTGACTTTTTCACTTCTTTTTTAGACATATCTTAGATATATCTTCAAAATGTCACCGATGCGCCAATGGGGAATTCTCAGCATTCTTGGCACTCGGAAAAGTTCGCTTGCATTTTTTTCATTCACTATCTGACATGAGAGGGTACCTTAGAGGAATCTTCTAAAATTTGGAATGGAAGAGATTTGGGAGAAAAATGTTACCTTAAAGAAAACTATATCATTATCAATAATGATCGAATTCTTGGGAGGAATACCTTAAAAAATTCATGAACGGTTTCTCCATAAATTTACATTAAAATATAGGAACATAATTTTTTTGATAACTTTTCAAAAATTGGGGAAAATGCATGGAAGGACAATTTCATCCACTGTGAAGGCCATATCTCTGCCAATAATCATCCGATTCTTTAGCGAAGTACCTCAATCGAATTGTAGATCTATTCTCCATAAATCGGTATCAAACTTTGGAAACATCATTTTTTTGAGAATTTTTCCAAAATTTTCTGGAGGGTTCCCTTCAAAATTGGGGAAAACGCATGAAAGGACCATTTCATCCACTGTGAAGGCCATATCTCTGTCAATATTCATCCGATTCTTTAGCGAAGTACCTTAATCGATTTGTAGATCTATTCTTCATAAATCTGCATCGAAATATGGGAACATAATTTTTTTGAGAATTTTTCCAAAATTTTCTGGAGGGTTCCCTTCAAAATTGGGGAAAATGCATGAAAGGACCATTTCATCCACTGTGAAGGCCATATCTCTGTCAATAATCATCCGATTCTTTTGCGAAGTACCTTAATCTATTTGTAGATTTATTCTTCATAAATCTGCATCAAAATATGAGAACATAATTTTTTTGAGAATTTTTCCAAAATTTTCTGGAGGGTCCCCTCCAAAATTGTGGAAAATGCATGGAAGGACCATTTCATCCACTGTGAATGCCATATCTCTGCCAATATTTATCCGATTCTTTAGCGAAGTACCTCAATCGAATTGTAGATTTATTATCCATAAATCTGCATCAAAATATAGGAACATAATTTTTTTGAGAATTTTTCAAAAATTTTCTGGAGGGTCCCCTTCAAAATTGGGGAAAACCCATGGAAGGACCATTTCATCCACTGTGAAGGCCATATCTCTGTCAATAATCATCCGATTCTTTTGCGAAGTACCTTAATCGATTTGTAGATTTATTCTTCATAAATCTGCATCAAAATATAAGAACATAATTTTTTTGAGAATTTTTCCAAAATTTTCTGGAGGGTCCCCTTCAAAATTGGGGAAAACCCATGGAAGGTCCATTTCATCCACTGTGAAGGCCATATCTCTGCCAATATTTATCCGATTCTTTAGCAAAGTACCTTAATCGATTTGTAGATTTATTCTTCATAAATCTGCATCAAAATATGGCAACATAATTTTTTTGAGAATTTTTCCAAATATTTCTGGAGGGACCCCTTGAAAATTGGGGAAAACCCATGGAAGGACCATTTCATCCACTGTGAAGGCCATATCTCTGTCAATATTTATCCGATTCTTTTGCGAAGTACCTTAATCGATTTGTAGATCTTTTCTTCATAAATCTGCATCAAAATATGGCAACATAATTTTTTTGAGAATTTTTCCAACATTTTCTGGAGGGTCCCTTTCAAAATTGGGGAAAATGCATGAAAGGACCATTTCATCCACTGTGAAGGCCATATCTCTGTCAATAATCATCCGATTCTTTTGCGAAGTACCTTAATCGATTTGTAGATTTATTCTTCATAAATCTGCATCAAAATATGAGAACATAATTTTTTTGAGAATTTTTCCAAAATTTTCTGGAGGGTCCCCTTCAAAAATGGGGAAAACCCATGGAAGGTCCATTTCATCCACTGTGAAGGCCATATCTCTGCCAATATTTATCCGATTCTTTAGCGAAGTACCTTAATCGATTTGTAGATCTTTTCTTCATAAATCTGCATCAAAATATGGCAACAAAATTTTTTTGAGAATTTTTCCAAAATTTTCTGGAGGGTCCCCTTCAAAATTGGGGAAAACCCATGAAAGGACCATTTCATCCACTGTGAAGGCCATATCTCTGTCAATAATCATCCGATTCTTTTGCGAAGTACCTTAATCGATTTGTAGATTTATTCTTCATAAATCTGCATCAAAATATGAGAACATAATTTTTTTGAGAATTTTTCCAAAATTTTCTGGAGGGTCCCCTCCAAAATTGTGGAAAATGCATGGAAGGACCATTTCATCCACTGTGAATGCCATATCTCTGCCAATATTTATCCGATTCTTTAGCGAAGTACCTCAATCGAATTGTAGATTTATTCTCCATAAATCTGCATCAAAATATAGGAACATAATTTTTTTGAGAATTTTTCAAAAATTTTCTGGAGGGTCCCCTTCAAAATTGGGGAAAACCCATGGAAGGACCATTTCATCCACTGTGAAGGCCATATCTCTGTCAATAATCATCCGATTCTTTTGCGAAGTACCTTAATCGATTTGTAGATCTTTTCTTCATAAATCTGCATCAAAATATGGCAACATAATTTTTTTGAGAATTTTTTAAAATTTTTCTGGCGGTTTCCCTTAAAAAAAATTTAAATTGCATAGAATTGAAATGAGGCCACTAATTGGTCCCCAGCGAAAGCCATATCTTTGGAAATAATAATCCGTTTCTTTAGCGGAATACCTTAATCGATTCGTGGGTGAATCGATCTACATTTTAATATGAAATCATAATTTTTTGGAAAATGTTTGGAAATTTTAGGAGGGTCCCATTCAAAAATCTATAAAAATGAACTATTGATCTAAATGGTAGTATTTGGTCTCCAGCGATGCTTTCGCTGGAAATAATCACCGCATTCTGGAGCGGAATACCTTGAATGATTCGGATTTTCCTTAAATTTTCATTAAATTCTACAGACTTTGTTTTGTTGATACACAAAACCACCATTTAGAGAATGGACATTTTCAACAATTAATTTGAATAGTTCTAGTTCCAGCCAGAATTTGTTTTCGTAGATACGCTTATTTTGGCCTACAACCGACTGTGAGATGCCAGCAATGCGGCAGTGTTGCATTTTCGCATTCTTGGCACTCGGCCGGGCGAAAATTTATTCGGCAGCCTAGTTAGGTCACTCACCCAGCAAGTGGCTGCGAAAATGGATGATGTCGCGCAGCGGAACCTCTTCGTTGCGGTAGAGTATCTGAAATATACGCGAGGCGCCGCTCCCGTTGATAACCGAGGCGGATGAGCAGCTGCCCGCCAGGGAGGATCCGCCCAGGGGTGGCACCTCCCCCGGCGACAACTGCTCACCCCGGTCGCTGCTGTCGCTGCCATGGTCGGTGGCGGATCCGGGTCCGTTGGCGTGTCCGTTTGCTTTACCGGGGCCGTTCGTTTCCGGTATGCTGGTCTCCACCTGAACGGGCAGACGGGGCGAGACTCGAAGGCCACAACGCACCTGGTAGAGCCTGGCGGGTAAATGACAATGGAACAATACATTTGAGCATTAAATAAAGTTAATCAATTGCGAAAATAAATGCGGTTTAAATAAGCGCATTAATATGCTCGATATCATAAATCAGAGCTGAAAAGAATAAAATAATTTATGCCAATTTGGTTTATTTTCATAATTTAAATTAAATTTCTTGAATGAACAGCATTGTATAAATTTTTGGTTATACATTTTCTATCTGTTGGCTTGGTACGAAAAAAAAAGTTTAATCTTAATACGAAATACAGGCAACATGGCGTATACGTGTTATATACCATACGTATACGTATTTTTTTTTGTAAGGTTTCCTGTTTTTTATTGCTGCTTTCCTTCTCTAATATCTTTTTAATCCATTGCTGTCAAAATATTTAAAGATCAGAAAGCCTCAATTCCCAGGAGCTGTGTCGGCCACTGACACCTCGACTGTCGCCAGCGTCATGTTCACTGACAGCCAAATACAAAAGAAAATCAAAGAAAAAGTACACATAAAAATCAGCCCAGAACCATTGTATTTGCGCACATGTGTATATGCTGCGTTGCTTTCTTTTTGTTAAGTATTTTTAAAACACGAGCTACTGGCCCCTAAGCCCCACACCCTATACCCCTTAGCCCCTATGGGGGCATTGCGTTTTTCTTCAAGGGCCGAAGCAACGTCAAGAGCAGCAGCAACAAATTGAAATCCCATAAACACTTGGCAGACAATTAGTGAGTAGTACGGTCACTACAAGTTGCATGCACCAAGCTAGCCAGGGTTTTAAAAACAGAAAAAAAAATAAAACATTTAATATACAATTTAAGCTTCATGTCCATATATTTGTTTGAAGTGTATAGTCTACACCACTGCCACTGTTTTTCTGATTGGTAGTAGACTCTTTTTATTTGCTTATTGCACTGCAATTGTTTTTGTTTGATCAACACCTGTCTGTGCGAGGCGATATGTGAGTGTACTCAACAAATTGGAGCCAAAAAATTAACAATTTTATTTGACAATTTCTGTACCAATGGCAGGCAGTGTCAGGGGGCTGTGAGAGGCGAGGAGTGTGTAATGTCCCAATCGACCCAGATTCCTTGAATGTTTGCAATATGTATACAAAGTATCTGCAAACTGCAAATCATCGTCATTAATATGCACACAGAAAAGTACTAATTGGAAAAACTATTTTTGGCTTTGGATTTTTTAAGTGGTTTGTTTTTTTTTTTGGATTTTAAGAAAAATTATACAAGTTTACAGACCTATTAGACTGATGTTTATGCCATAAAAAGCTTAAATACTTTAGGAAAAACATTTGTCCTTAATTTGTTTCATGGCTTTTTATTTGAGAAACCTATTTGCCAGCTTATCGATCAATTTCCTCTGACATTGTAATAAAAGTTTATTCGTGTTTATTTTCTTACTTAACGGGCTTTCAAATGAATACATCATTCTGGTCGAAAGTGCTTTTTAAAACGTGGCTACAAACTCACCCGCGCTGAAACAAATCCACATTGAAGAACTTGTGCAGCTCGACGGAGAACTCGATGGTGGCTTGTAAGTCGCCCATGATACCCTGACCCTGGCCCTGCTTCTCCTCCTCCTCCGGCTTCGACTACTCCTCCTTCGGCTCCTCCTTTTTGTGGTTAGTTCAAGTTTTTAGCAAGTTCATTGGCTCTTGCCTGAAAAAAAAGAAAGTACATAAAAATTTGCGATAAGTTTTTACTTTTATTTTGTTTATTTTTTTTCCATGCTGACTGCAGAGCCCCTGGCTAAAATGGCGTTGCAGCCAAGTTCGATTGCCGTGCTCTCAATAAATTTATTGGCAACAACTATTGACAGCTTGGGCAATTGATTGGCCCGTAATTGTGCGAGGAAACTGTGCCAAGTGGACGATATTTGCCGAGTTCGCGTTATTGCCACAAATGTGGGTGGTTTATGCCACACCAAGAGGAAATACATATATGTCTTAGAAAAAAATAATACAATGAAAAATATGGATGAAGATTAAAATTGATATTTATTAGTTTGGTTTTGTTGAAGTTTTGAGAATTATATTGGATATATTTTAAGTTTAACTCATATGTATATTTAATGAAACAATATTTCATTTTTTACTTGTAACAAATATATGTTTAAATAAAAATCCAATTGAAAAGAAAATGTTTTCCAAGCTTATCCTGGAACAAAAAAGTTTAGTTTGCAGAACCAGGATTACTTTTTTCCTTGTGCACAAGTAACACAGTGTGTGTGTGCGGGGGTTTTCTTTTTTTTGTTTGTGTGTTCTGTCTTCTGAGGTTAGCGGGTCAGCCACAACAACAACACCAATACTAACAATAGACGGAGAACAAAATAGGGGAAGCCCCGTCACGATGTCATACGAATGAGGGCATAAGCGAAAGGAAGACTACAACAACAATAATAACAACAACAATAGCAACAACAGGGACAACTTTTAATCGCCAAACAACAAAAGCTCCTTTCAGCGAAAGCGAAAACGAGAAAGTCAGTCACTCAGTCAGTCAGTCGCCGGCGAAACCCACGCCTACAATAACATTAATGTGCTGCAGTTAATGTCCCCCACACCCTTAGCCACTCACCACCCACTTTTGGGGTGACCTCGCTTGTTGACACAATGGAAGCGAGGCAAGAAAATTCTGCTGTTGCTGCTGCTGCTTCATGAGCTTCTTGTGCCACATGATGAAAGAGTTCTGTTCGCCGCGCGGATTTTTAAGGATGGTCTACCCATCTTACTCCCTCATTGGGTTGTCTGTCTCTTTCTCTGTCTTTGTCTCTATCCTATCTCTGTCTCTGTCAATGTGGGTTAACCTAAGTAAGCCAAGTAAGGTGGGTGTGGGTTGGAAAGCGGGTGGTGCAATTACATTATCAGACAAGACTATAGCTTATAATTCATTAAAGACGACACAAAAATGTCAATCACTAGTTGTTCCTTAATTATTAATTAATGGAATGATTTTTAAAGTAAGCTTTATAGAACTGAATCGGATACTTTCTGTATTTTATAACTAAAATAAAAAATTATACAATTTAGTAACTTTTTCTAAACTCTGTAAAACTTTCAAATTCTTCAGATATGTATGATGTATCTTTTATATATGTATAAATGATTTATGATCTATTAGATACAATATAGGATATATATACCATGAACATAAATTATTTATCTATTATCATCATACATCATTATTATCTCTCATACTATATTGAACAGACCCTGACTTACAGCTATCAAACGCACTGTACGTACTATAAGCTGCAACAGTGGTTAAATGAAAGTGATGATGCCATTTGTTAGCAAAGTCCTTAAACCGCTTGCTTTGCTATCCTGCCGCATTCTATCCCCCCCCCCCACCGTCTCATTTTATCCCATGATGTATGAGCAAATGTTGTCGCTACATTTTGACTTACTTTGTCATTAAGTATACGCCTAGAAACCCCAAAAACCGAACCCTCCACCCACACAGCTCGACAAATATTTGTGTTCATGAATTTGAAATGTTTTATAAAGACGGCGGATTTTCGGCTTTGGCTTTTCGAAATTAAAAGCAAATTTGCTTGTTAGTTTTACGCCTACACACAAGCCCGGCCTCTATAGAGCTGGAAAAGTTGCCCAAAACAGTTTCAAATGTTTCTTTAACTTTCACCCATTACGCATACGCCGCGTTGTCTGTTGGAAATTTTTTTTGCAATAACTTTTTCGTTTCGATGTTGATTGAGATAGGTGCGGAGACGGGGATTGAGGATAAGAGGGAAACTAGGTCATCGCTAAAGTTCACGCAAAAAACCGAATTGTGAATAAAGTGCCAACAATGCGAGTACAAAGAAAAAATATAGAAAACGGGAAGCGGAAACTTTTTAAAAGCTCAACCAAAACACATTTGTGCGGAAAGTGTAGGGGGGGCAGTGGAATTTTAAAACCATAATGGAGTATTTTCCTTTTTTTTGGGGGAATACTTAGAGGTTTGGGCACAAAAGCTTTGGCAAGTTGAAACGCATTCATCAACTTTCTAATTGAAAATTGCACAAAAGACCAAACTAGAATAATAATAAAAATAAAAGAGCTGTCAAAGGATAAAGTTTCTAATTGAAAACTATTCGGTGGCTACCTAAAATAATAAAGGAAATGAGCTGCGAAGTAGCGTTTACCAACCACTGACAATATCATAAAAATAAAGCTACCAAAGCCACTTGAGTCACTTATCGAAACAAAAGCAAAGCCAAACAAACAAAAAGATATAAAGACCCCAAAACATAAGCCCAGAATTTCCGATCGCCCCATGTTTCAATGGGCCATCCTATACAAACTGTCGATGACAACGGTCTCATAAACGGGAGAAATCAAATCGTTCGTGCTTATCATCGTAATGATTATCCCTAATGCCTCTGCCAGAGAAGGAAAGAGAGGGGGTAACAGAGGCAGGGGGAAAAAAGGACTTCCGCGGAAAGGAAATGAGAAAGGGACCTTAGCTATCTCTTAAAGTATCCCGAAGAGGAACCCTCTTCTGGCCAACTTCTTTTTACGTTACGTGTGTCCTAAATTATTGCCGCCTCGTTTCGATGTCTGGCCCCAGTCCAAATGGTTAAGAGGGAGGCAGAGAAGAAAAAAATAAGGACAAAAAGGAGCAGCAGCAGGACTAGGAACAGCAGGAGCTGGCTATGCACGGCCCGTCAATGGCAGACAAACGAGGGACGAGATGTGTTCTTTCCCACTGGCCCAGATGAAGATAAGTTGGTGACCCCGACACGTTCTGTTTCTTTCTCATACAAGCGTTTCTTCTACTTGTTTTTGATAAATAATACTATACATATACTATCCATATATAGAGGTTTGGGGGAGGACGCACATATTGTGTGCGAATGTGTTAATGTCTAAGGTCGATGGGCTCTGTTGATGAATGAAATGCTTTCATGTTCATATTTCAATTTAATGCCATGGGTTGTTAGTATTTCCTTTTCGGGCGGCTTTATTTTCGGCTTGATTTCAAGGACATAAATTCAATTAATTTCCTTTTCAAGCCCAACGTTATGATTGTAAAAAATTAATTAAAATATTTTGTTTAGCTTCCAGCAGCAGCCTCCGGTCCAGATCAAAAAGATTGCGTTGCCGTTGCCAACCAAAAAAAGGTCCTTGAAACTGAATAGGCCTCTCATACCCAGAAAGCTCAATTTCATTTGATTTAAATCATTAACCACTCGTATAGTGCTCGCTTTTAAAGCCCCAACTTGTTCCCAAAACTTTGCATAACTAAGCAAATTAAGTTTATCCAAGTTGGAGGAAAATCTTTGGGCTCCTTCCTTGATGTTTATCTCATGCAACTTGAAACTAGGCAGAAAAGTTTACTTTTTGTTGCTTGTTATCTTTGTGTGTTGCAGGAAACCGAGAGAAGAAAGCTCATTCAATCTGGTTGTCCGGTAACTTTTGGTTGCCATCTTTCAGCCCATCTCCATGCCGACTTCCTCCATGCTGGCCAGACAGATCCGGAAATAGGCAATTTCATATCAGACGTTTCAACGACCGATTTGTTTTGCGTCCGCCTGCAAATTCCTGAATACAGGAACATGTGTTTCGTCCTTTAAATTATTCATCAACTCCGGAAAGTTAAACATCCTGAGTTCTAACTCTGGTCTTCACATTTTTCCGAGCATTTCGTTATAAAAAAAAACATGCCCTCGAGTCTCGACATCGTCGCCGTCCGTGAGCATGAAAATTATTTTTCTCGACCCTCCCCGTTCCCATTTTCATTCTTTTCATTTTGTGAACAATAAAGCAAGTATGAAGGTTGTATTTAAGGGGTTAAGACTTGGGGATACCTGGTAGTACCTATAATGTATACAATTTTGGTAATATTAAGTTTTAAGGTTGGGATATCGAAAACAGGAAGTTCTATTATAAACGCCTGTACTGTTTAAGAAGACTATTAAATGCCATAATAAATTCTTTATTAAAAAAATAAAGTAATTTACCTTTTCTTAATATTTTGTATAATGTTTAAGGTTTTAAAAAATAGAAACTCCTTCTTAATAATTAAAAAAAAAAATACCTTTATATATTCTCAAGAGTGTCGTTTATAAAAATTGCCAACAGTTGCAGCTGACGGGTGGCTCACAAAAAAAAAGGGGTAAAGGGGCTAAAAAAGGGCTTTGAGAGCTGAGGTATCTTGGCCAAGTGCATCGCGTGCTTTGGGCCATGCCAGGGGCGTTCGGGCGGGCCACTTGCTCACGTTGCACGTGTCGAGAAACTCAAGGGGCCGCAAGTCGAAGGGTGAAACAATAAAGGGCGAGCGGAACAACTCAAGTGCAACGCCAACAATAACAATAACAATAGCTACTGCAAAATAGCAACAAGAATAACAACAGTAACAACAACCAAAGAAAAAAGTTAAGAAAAATGCAACCGACTAACTGGTGTGGGAAACCGAGCTTTGTGGCAAGTTCAGGCAAGTGCAAGGAATTGGTCAACGTTTACGGTCAGTCTGTGTGGCTTTCTCGTATTACACGTGGCCGGAAAAAAATGTCAGAAGTGGTTGAGAAGAAAAGCGTAGGAGGGTAACCGATTGAAATGTCTGGGCTTGATGGAAAAAATAGTGGGGTGGAAAATCTTGGGGCGCATCAAATGGAATTGGTAAAGGAAAAGGCACGAACTGATGAAAGATTGGACTCGGAGCTCAAAGGAGCTTTGCGAAATAAAATGGAAATGAAAAGAGGAGATGGTAAAGATCATAAAATTTAAAGAAGATCTGCCTAAAGGTAGAACTGTAAAACATATCTTTAAAATAAGTAATGTCTGTAAGGTTCCAGGCTATCTAAACTAAAATATTTAAATCCCAGGAGTTGAGATAATTAAATGAAATGAATTATGCATCATGACTGGGGGAATGGGTTTCTCCTCTAACTAGTGCGCCACATCCATAATTTGCTCAACTTTGTGCAGCATATCCAAGCATGTATGCAACATGGCATCATCCCAGAACCGGATGACTTAATTATATGCACCAAGTACCCACTTCCTCGCCAGGACCACCCTTTGGAGGACCCTTCCCACTTGGTTAACTCCAACAAAGCTGAACGAGTTGAGGAGCATTGTGTGGAGCGAGCAGAGAGAAAGCCCAGGCATGTGAGCACCTGAAGGACCTCTAGGGTTTGGACTCGACTCTCTAATGAAAATGGAAACTTGAATTGGCAGCAGACCGAAACGTTGGAACGGGATGGCTCCGGGTGTGGGTTGTGGGGTGTGGGGTATGGAAAAAATTGAATTGAGCCTTTTTATGCGACCAGACCGACGATGAATGACAGGGAGGAGGGCCAGGAGCCGGAACAGGATATTTCATTACATTTAAGCATGCATGGCTGAATGGGAGAATATAAGGATGGAGGCAGGGTGTAAGGAGACTGGGGACTGGAGACTGGAGAGGGCTTAGATAGGGTTACGCCCACGTGGAAAAAATGGCAACATTGTTGAAATGTGCAAATATTGGCTCAAGTGACGGCAATAAAAAAGTCAACCCCGGCAAGTTGCTTGTTCTCTCCAAACAGCCCTCAAGTGCTTGAGGGTTATCCTTTTTTCTATATGTATGGTACCTGGTAGTTGATTAAATAAGAGGTAGTAGGGCTATATTAGAGTACAAGTTTTCCACCGAAAGACAAACTATGAAGGTGTAGGCATTAAAAGGTGTCTTGTAGTCCTTACTTCTCTTCTTCCTTTTTTTTTTTGGAAAAATCCAAAATTGTTGGCTACTTCACCTGGCATTTCATCAATTGATGTCCCTTTAGTGTTATCCCAAATTTAACCTTAAAAGCTCACGATTGTCGACAGCAATTTCAATTTCCCTTTGATTGACAGCCCGAGACCGAGCCCTAAAAGCCCAAACCCGAGGATACGCCTCCCTTTTTGCATAATTGCATACCTGTCTGGGCTATATTTTCGTATATTCGTATATCCGAATGCAAATAAATAAATGTGGGTGTCTGGTCAGGTCGTATATCTCGTTGGAAATGGTATTAGGAAGAAGCTCTTAACCCCTGTCTGCCATTGTGGATCGTCCTGTGACAGTCGAAAGGGGATTCAGATGCCTGCCTCTGCCGGCTTCCCGGCTGTGGTTTCAGTTCCATTGGTTGGAGTTGAATTGCGTTATGTTATGCTGCTGCTGTTGCTACTGCTGGTACTTTTTGCTGCTTTGCGTTATGCGGCAGTTAACTGTGTCGTGACATGTGGCAAGCATAAAAGAACCGTAAAATGTCATGTTTGTTGTGGGCCGAAACATGACGTGAAGTGGCCGAGATGTAGGGAACAGGACGGAACGTACCAGGGCCGACAGAACGATGACGACTCTCACAGTTGGCTGACATGTGACTCACGCATTTGCCAAAAGGTCGGACCTGAGTGTGGGGTGGTGGTGGCAGTGCCAGTGCCAGTGGCAGGGGTGGGTTAATAGGCGGTCGTGTCAACATATAGCCAAATTACACTAGGCACGCAGCCTGCGAAACCGGAGAACCGCAAGAAATTTCTCGTTGGAGGTAAGGTCTTTATTTAATAAACTCCACAATACCGACTCTGTTGAGTTAGTCATGCGAAAGTAAAGGAGTTGTTTTCCATAATTAATCGATATTTTATGCGGATCTAGAATTTCAGATCGATAAGGTGGCAAGGACCATAAATCATGCCCTAAATATAGTTGTAGGAGACGGTTTTTTCGGAGAAATCCTTTCCTTCTAAGAATAGTTAATAAAATATAGAAACTATTTTATCCCTATATCTGTAGGTCCCTAGTTTCCACAATTTTAAACTTTTTGTAGCATAGTGCTCGGCGCAGTTGGCACTCTAGGACTGTAAAGCAGTCCCTATTTAGTCCCTTTTTTTGTGCCGACCATCAAATTTGCGAGTAAATGTCCCGTAGCCGTCCCGGACCCATCCGAAATCCGTTTTAATTAAATGCATCATAAATTCTCGCACATTTCAGCCCGAGGATGGTTTTTGGCAACAAAAAAATACTGTGTCCGCCGCACTTGTCACTCAGTTTCAAATACTTTTCATACCATTTTTGATTCACTTTTCTCTCGGGTAGCATTTATTTTTTATACGTATTTTTTTCGAGGAGGTTTTTGCCCTACAAACGATTTTTATTTGTCGCTCATTTTTCGTGTGGCATGTTGGCCATGAAAAACGGGAAATTTATTTATAAATTTTTGCGTTTGCTCTGCGGGTTTGCGTACGAAATGTTTTTGCAATTTAAAAATAATTAACCCAAAGAGTCCCATGTAAATGCCCACCTCTCAGGAGGGGGGAATGGTAATATAATATGTATGCGTGAGGGAATAAAAATATCAATTGAAAAAGTTTTGTGTGGCGGACGTTTTTTGTAAAATTTAAAAATATGGCTGCCCTTTATCTGGTAGAATGAGAAGGAGGAGGTCATTGAATTAATTAGGCTGCGACAAGGAGTAACACTTTAAGCGAGGGCGGTCAAGTGGTGGGAGTGGCTGGCAGCAAGGCAGCACCCCAGCACCAGCAGCAGGACAGCACAGTAACGCACACGCTCCCGAGCATTTTGCCCTAATTTTACTTTCTGCGATGTTATCAGGACACACACATAGCAGGAGCAACCGAAGAGACAACCCCGACACACACACTCTCTCTTCCTGCCGTCTTTTTTTTATTTTTATTTTATTTTTTTTTAACTGAAACTGCCCCTCCCCCTGTGGGGACGATGTCATAATTTACGCACTTCTTTATTTGGCCATTTGCGGGTAACTATTTTCACGGCTGCTTGACGGCTGACATTTCCTCGCGCTCTTTCCGGTGGCTAATGAAATTAAGTTGCGAACCGAAAACCGCAACAACCGAACGGAATTATTGTGATTCTCTGCTGATACTTTTTTTTATCTACTAGCCCCGTGTTGCCAGCAACGTGTTTGAGAATTTCCGCCGTACAACGCACGTCCGTACCGGGAAAATGTCTACAACCAACTGCGCCGGAAAATGAGAACCCAGAACCGAGAACCGTGAACTCAGAACTGAGAACGTTCCACGGAGTGCGTCGTCGGGTGAACTTTTCTTCGTACTCTTGGCCGTGTTTTTTTTTTTAGCCAAATACTAAATTCAGTTTACAATTCAGGCACTTTGGCTAAAAGAGAAATGTTCTCTTTGGAATTATTGGGGCGATAGTACAAGTAAACGAAGGCTGGATGGATGTGAATTTTAATGCTGTGCCACTGACGGGTGATAAGTGATTGATTAATTGATTATAATTATGCCTTTCACTTTCGATTTCACTGGAAAGCCTTGCCACAAAGGAGGTTAATAACTCAAATTCTTGGAAATCTGCCAAATGATGTTTTAAAGGAGCTTCATAAATGTCTAAATATTTATCGCCATCAGTTTTATTTATGACGCTGGGGGAATCCCAAAAGATAGCAACCGATATATTTTACAATTTTCTTATGATTTATTTTTAAAGTAAATTTTTTCAAATAAATAATCGATCATTAGATTAAAGATAGACATTTATAGCCTATTAAATTTTAAAGATTATTAAAAAAAAATGGCTTGGTTTTTAAGGATAAACGTTCGATTTACTAAAAAGTATTCTTAGGACTTCAAAAATAATTAAAAATATTTATTTATTTTGATACTTTCTTCAGAATTACTTAATTTTTAATTTCAAACTCAATATCCATTTTCAGTACCTTTCTTAAAAACATTGCTAAGTGCATATTTGAATATTAAAGAATATTTAAAATTTATAACCTAGCCCTACTTAGCTTGGTTCTCTTAAATGGCAACCACCCTGCGCATGCGTGTCAATGGTCCTGTCACTCTTTATCCTGTCGCTCAAACAACGAACACGTTGTTCGTCCTGTCTGTTCCCCCGGGGACTTGGAGACTAGCCCTTGCCGGCGGCATCTCAACCAGGTGGCGGGTCGGGCAGGACGAGGCTCTTGGCAAACAGCTGGACACGAGGACGGTCGGACAGGGCCGATAAACAGGACAGACTGCAAGGAGGCAGGATAAGGCCATAGCGACAGACAGCCAGACAAAGTCGCGAATCTGCAGCAACAATGTTGGCCGAAAGCTCTTTTCTCATCGCTGGAGCTGAACAAAGTAAATCATGAGTGGAAATCTCGTCGCGAAGTCCTTTTCTCCGGGCAGCTGATTATTTTATCAGCATTAGTTTTGTTTAGTTGCCACACAGACAGGTGGCTGCATCCCCAGAGACAAATAAAAAAAAGAGAGAGAGAGAGAGAGAGCAGAGAGAGAGAAAAAGGACGAAGGCGCCTGCTGACAGGCACTTTCAATTTTATTTGCGCGCATTATGGCGAAACATGATTATTGAGCAGGTGCGGGTGGGACGAGTCCTGTTCAAAATGGATTGCTCATACGCACCGTTGCACCCCATGGGAATAGCTAATGATATGATGAGCTTATTTCCTTAAAGCGGGAAATTAATGAATATAATTTGATGGCTTCAAATTAGTGATGGAAGGATAATTATTTAAGAGTAGATATTTCATTGTTTACGATACACTTTATTCATATTTTTACATGAGAAAATACAAACGATCCTAGGCATAATTTAATTAGGTTTACTAGCTAGCTAATTATCAACAAGTTTTTTTTTTTACATTTAAATCTAATAATCTTAAAATAGGTGAATTTTGATCGTGCAAACTTTTCTATTTTCCACATTCACTTTTCCACTTTCACTTTGGCGATAAACCGAAGCGCTAACCTTGGTTTTCCGACCGCCCCAAACTAGTTAATTACTATTGTGCCCACACCGACATATAGCTGGATAATATCTGGCATATATATCAGGTGAATATATAGATTCAATATCCCTCCTAATTGGGCTGAACCTCGCAGACAAAGTAGGTCTCGAAGCTGCAGGGTGAATCGTTCCACTTGAGGCCCTTGCCATCGCGATTCCACAGCTCCAGGCAGTTCTCCTCCTCCCCGTTCTCGTAGCGGAAATTGTTTGGCTCGCCGGCGTTCCAGTTGGTGAAGGTTATTGGCCGGCCGGTGGCCATCCAGAAGAAGGTGCCCTCGTCGGCCAGGTCGGTGCCGGAAATCCAGAAATGTTCGTGGCCCAGGCCTGGAAATTAAATCAGACTAGTTAGTCAGGGGTTCAAGGGAGTGTATTTAAAGGAAAGAAACCTCCAGGTGCTAAATTATTTAGTAAAATGGATTTACTATTAAAACCTTTACATAGTTGCTGCCCCTTTGGGAATGTTTGTGTGGAGGCGTGGTTTCTGTCCATGGCCCTGCGGCGGTCACCTTTCAACAGAAATGTGCAACATTCACTTTTTTTCCTGTCTGCCATCTATTGCCCCATTTTCAGTGTGTGTGCGAGTTACTATGGAGATTTATGCAATGGAAAGTGCAGCGCCCACTCTCGACCCCCGATTTCCGACCTACAAAGGCCCCCCCTCCAGGGAATATTAAACCCCTTCTGTTAGCCTTTGTTGGGTTTTCGGTTACCAACTTCCGTGTATTATGGCACTGCCTAGAAAGTCCAACAGAGTCCACTGACCAGCTAGCCACCCGGCATGGCATTTGGAATTGCTTTTGTTTGCTGGATGGCTGGCAGGGTTTATTGTCATGTTGAGCGGCTTTACAACTGATTTGAGTCGTTGCATGTGGCAGAGATTGTGGCTGTGGCAGATGATGCTTTGATTGGCTCTTTTGGACAATTGAAAAGGCATATAATTCAATTTACTTTCAGTCTAAAACCCAATCAGTGTTGGTCTACATTTGTACGATTTTTTTCTTGGATTTCTTTCCTTTAAAAACCATAGTTAACACTCACCAAAGTCACGTATGTGCTTCTCCAGTCTATCGTTCTCTTCCTGTGATGAAATGCTGGCCAAATGCATGCCATGGTATCTACAATATTGTGTCGCTTTGAACCAGTTTGCCTGTAACGAATAAATAGAAAAAATACACATTGAATTGAATTGAATTTAAGATGCATGCCAAGTTAAAGATTATATAATTGTGTTTGCACAATCGGTTGACCCAGTTCGGTTGAGAGTCTCCCCTCCTTCGGTCTCAAATCTCGATCCTTCGACAGTCGCTGAAAGTTTTTTCATTCAAACACTGTTTTTTTCATCCTCTCACTACTACCTGACACTTGTCAATAAAAAATCAACAGGATTTGTTTGCATGAAGTATTTGATTTTTTTTTCCACATGTATTGCAATGTGGCATAGGAGGCAGCCAGGGGGAGAAGGCGTGGCATTGGTCACGCATTCGCTACGAAATTGAGTTTATCCAACGTGGGTTGAAGTTGCCAATTAGTGTTTGTATCTGTATCTGTATCTATTGCGGTTTGGCTATCTAAATGTTATCAGAATCGAAATTGGCATCGAAATCTGTATTGGGCTTAGGCCATATACCCATATAGCCGTATAGCCTGACCGCCGAACAACATATTCAATTAAGTCTAATGGACTTGGCTGGGTCATTAGCAGAATGAGCAAAAAATGGCATGGATTTGGGAGCACGGCAGGGAACTGATGTGCACATAAATCGATTACGCAACTATACATCCTGTTTCCCTCCATTCAGTGCCTTCCTTTCTCTGGCTCTTAACTTGGTTTTAATTGTATTAGCCGTAATTGTGCGCAAAGTCAGCGAGACGCGGCAGCTTCCTGCCGCAAGGACCCGTAACTGACATGCCGCACATGTGGCAGGACTAAGGTGTTTAATGCCTTCACATGTCTCCTCCGTCGCTGAAAGTGTTTATTGGGTTGTAAAAGGTTCATCTCGCCCCGCCGAGAAGTCAATTAGTGTGTGGGTGAGTGGCAAGGTGAGGTTGAAATGGGATTCCTGGCCACAACAAAGCCAGGTTCTTTTAATAGTCCGGAGATGGCCTCATACAAGTCCGGTGAACTTGGAGAAGGTTAATGTCTTGTCAGTCTTGTATTTTTTGGGAATGAGAGTAAGTATTGTTCTTTAGGTTAAGGTAAACTTAAGATTTTATTAAAGAACCATTTTTAAAAGTTAAAATTTTGGGTTAATTAAATTGTAACACACAAAATTCTATTAAATCAGGCACCCGGCTGACGTTAACACCAAACTCAATTGAGTGGCAACAAAATATTGGCCATGTTGTTAATGTCATTAGCACAGCTCTACCGTTACATGCGCCACCTGGTTACCTGCCACACCCCTCCTCTTTCCACCTCCTCCGCCCAGTTATCGTTCAATTAGCATTGATTTGATTTGCGCCTGCGTGAAGTCTTAAATGCTGCTGTGCGTCTGTCAAGTCTTATTTTGTCCCAAAAAGAAATCCAAAATAATAACAGAAAAAACAACAAAATTTAATTGCTTCATTTGCATATTTACACACGAAATGAATTTGCATTAAATTGCCCATAAGTATTGCATAATATCTTGCCACCGTCTGGGGAGACTCAAGAAAAAAATATCCAAATACTGAATGATTTTCGAGATATTTTTAAATGTTGGTGGGGAATTCTTAATTAGGATTCCCATAAATAATCGGAAAACACTTTGTTATTGATATGCGTGGCTAATTAACTCACCAATTAACAAAAAGAAAGAACCAAAAAATAAAAGATTAAATAATCTTATATTTTTAAGCTGTTCATCGAACCCAAGAATGCTCATAAAAGTTCAAAAATTAGAATTCCAGATGTTTGTTTCTTAATTATCATGGATTGGAGAAATGGAACCAGAGAAAATATTATAGCTTGTCATAGCTTATCAAATGTTTTGATTATGTTAATATTTAAGATCGTAAAAATAATCAAAATAACAATGAATATTCATAGAAAAAAATGGTTTTTGAAATATTGATAAATAGGTTCCATAAACGGGATTGGTTTTTTCTGGGTTTTAAAGTAAATATATTGGACTAAGGTTTTAAATACCCCGATTAGGTAAGGGTAACACTCAAATAAAACGAATTAAAAATTAAATTCAAATTAAAATGCCAACGTTCTGAACATTTGAAATGCTTAAAATTTTAATCGCTTTGACAATTGGCTGGGTAATCGGGGGTGTGAATGAGATGGCGTACAGAAAGAGGCAGATATATACGCGGAGAAAGAGAAAGAAAGAGTGAGTAAGATGTGAGGTACCGTTAGAAAGCAAATTTGGGGATTATTTATGGATTTCTTTTCGATTTAGTCTCCGGGTGGCTTTCAATATCTGCCGCTTAATCAGCCAACAGGTTGGGGAGTTGGAAGATGCCGTTAATTAACGAGCTAATAATTAATTTAATTCGTTGTTTATATGGCGGCTTATTTAAAATAGAATTGTTTTATTTACACGCTCACTCACGGGACGTTCATAAACCAAAATATGCACAACATGGAATTGATTAAATATTTATTTATTTGCCCAGCGTCATTGTTGTGCCTTGTTTTTGCAATTAAAGCGTTTAAATGTCGAATTAAAACTGTGGCGATTTATTTGTCAACGCATGAACATTAAAAATTGAAACGAAAACATTTCGTATTATGCCAAGGTATTTTGAGATTGTGTTGGGGATTAAATAGTATATGTAGACTGAGAAAAAAAAGGAATTTTAGATTTAATTATAAATGGGTATATGTACAAGCCCAAAGTCAATTAACCTGATTCGCATACCGCCAAGAGATTTATAGTTTTGCGAATTACGAGAACAAGGTTCCATTACTAATCCAAGATCTGCAAAGATAAATCCATCAAAGGCCCTCTTCCGGATTAACCTTATCCATTGATGGCCATTAAGTGTCAATGAATATGCATTTCATTATTATTTTTACAAAGGTAAAGCAGTTTCAGTTTTATGGCTTTGCTTTTAAAGTTCAAGGAGATTGCGCGTTTTTATTAATATGAAAATATAATTCAGTTTGCATGTCGAACCAGTAACGTAGACCACACCTTCTGTCTCTTTCCTGATTGTTAGTCTATCTTTTTCTGTTAGCGGTTTCTTGGGCGCCTTTTTGATACATTGACTAATTTGATTTTAATATGAATAGCGGCAGATATTGTTTATAAACTACTTTACATTTTACTATAACTGGCGATGCTTGGCCGAGCACGCGTCTGATTTCGGATACCCTACTTTTGCGATTTCATGGCCAAAATAGCTATGATTTGTTTTATTTCTAGTTTTATTTGCTTTGATGCTTTTAAGATGTTAGCATTGGAGGTGGGAGGTTTGTGAGTTCTTTAAATAGTATCTATTGAAAACTAGAAGAGCCCTCTATTTAATATTTTCAAAATCACCCACTACTAATTATGATAATGAGTTTTTTTTATAATCTCTTGAATAATTCGATTTGCTCATTTTTGGTCATCACGAAATATCATTTAACAATAGAGTGCTGACAACCAAATAAAATTAATAAATTCCTTTGACAAATTGCAATACTTTTGTCTCTGTTTTAATGAAACTGAAACCTGTGGTTTAGTGTAACTCGAAGCTGCTGTAATATTCCATACTGCAATCTTCTTGCAATCTTCTTTTTTCTTCTTGGCGGCAGCTGAGAAACCCGAGAGCCATCAAACCGGACTTGGGGAACCGTTGGCCGGGTCAGTTGCATTTGGCCGGTTAGTTTATGGATCGTTTTGTGGGGCGTGGAATGCGACTCACCTTGAAGAAGATGCCGAGGTAGTAGCGCTTCTCCCCGAGCTTCAGCAACGGCATCGTCCATTTGTTCGGCGTGTACTGTGACTCGTCCACACAGTTGGGGCAGTCTAAAAATAGATATTGAAAATACAAAAAATTGAATAAGGATATGAGGTATACAAAAGAAGCTAAAAACCAGCCATGTCAGACCTTATATTCTTAAGCCAAAATTATATGACGAGTCTTAGCTCATCACCTTAAATCTTTGTCATAAACTGATCTATAAAATCATCATAAATGTCTCCCCTTTCGACTGACTCATCCCACTAATTAACTATCTCTTCATTGGCCATAAAACCCATCTTAACCTCCGATTCTAAACAGCGTACACGCCTTAAATGACCATTTCTCGGAGACGGCTTAGACAAAAGACTTTTGAGACTAATTGCAAACGATGTGCGACATGTTTGTTATACAAATTGAATTATGAACGCTGCCAGTGGGAAATAACAAAAAATTCTGGACCTGCATATGGATAACTGGTTCTGGGCAGAACCATTCGAATATTCATCGAACTCGTTGGACTTGTCTAAATTCTGTCAGCATAATCCCCAATGACGTGAACTAGAACTCATTTTGGGGGAGAATGTTCGGCAAGGTCGAGCTAGGCGATTCTTTGATCTCAAGTATGTGAAGGTCATTTATAACGTATTCTTTCAACGAAACCCATTCAGAGCTAACGGTTTCCCTTTCTTGTTTCGTAACAGACTCTCCGCTAATGTTTGTTAATTAATCATCCGCCCTGTGTGCCCATCTAAAAACATTCTGCGAAGGCCTTGCCAAAATGTTGATGCTGATGATGATGACGATGATAATGCGGACTGTCGAATGCGGTTGATATATGACAGGAGGGGGCGGAGTGGAGTGGGCGTTACTGAGACATGCGGCGTACTCTCAAAAGAAATAAATTTACAGTGAACAAGGGGCCAAGTTCCAAGTCCGTGTGAAATCGCGACCAAAAAAACGTTAACATTTCGATTTCCATCATAAACAATGGATTCAAGACAAGGTCCGAACAATGTGAATATTTGGCAAGCGGTTTATATGCCTGGGAGTTAAATAATTACTTGACACTGAGAGGATTACTACAAATTTATCAACTCCCCAGGCTAGGCAATATTTTTAGTAACTTTTCCTTTCACTAACTCCAAGGGGATTCACTTTCCTGCGAATGCAATCTATTTTATAACCAATTGTCTTCACACATTGCATCATGAAATTAAGGCTGCGCTGTTAATTAATACCCCTGCCATAACTATAAGTCCATACCGGTTCGGTGTCTTCCCAGCTGTGCTCCTCTTCCTGCTCCTCAAAAAAATATTGTATTAACTTTTTCAATAACCGACAGACATGAAACAAATTAAAGGTGCCAAATTGATTAAAATCTGAAGAAACATACAGATATACAATTTGCATGCAGCTCATTTCTGTTACCGGGTCTTTTCTTTGTCGGATCAACTTTTAAACTAACTGTAAATTAAATTTTATATTTATTAATTTATGGCTTTATTTATTTTATAGTTTGGTGAAGCCCAAAATTCGTGTGCGAAAGAGCCATTTATCATCGGAATTATAAACCTGTTTTGGATTAAGAGGCGATTATCTTTTCCGAAAAAGTCAATGTCAATTTTCTTAAACTGCATGTCCTTTTTATTCTTTATTCTTCTACTTATTTAATAAATATTTTAATAATAATATGAAATGACAACTTTCGCTATATAGTTTAGAACTTAAAACCTAACAAACACCTTTTTATTTCTTGAAATTTTTTATCATCTCAAAGCAGCATCAATCTGTGTCGCTTCCTGTCTAAAATATATGTATTTTTTTTATAGAAGAATATTTTTTGTGTTTTATGCAAATTGGCTTTCAGACGCAAGACAAACAAAAGAATTTTTAATATTTAAATTGCTTTTTCTGTTATTTCAGAGTTTATGATTATGTTCTGACTTTAATAAATGATTCAAATTATTTTCTTTCCAAGCAGTTTCCAATTGTTATAGCTTCGAAATAGATAAGATTAAGTATCGAATTGAACAGATTTATGGGCTTCCAGTAGGTGACTTCGTAAACTTTTGATTTTTCGTTGTTTTCCGGAGTTTATTTTAGTTTTTTATTCATTTAAAAGCCATCTCACCCTGACCTTCAGTTCAGCAAAAATTCGCTTTTAACCCAAATTGGGCCTGAACTCCTTTTTCAGAGATTTATGCCCGATAGCGTATAAATTTATTTATTCCCTTGATGAGTTGCTCGTGTCAACGAAATGGTTTATTTTATTACAAACATTTCAACATCGAAACAGTAAGAGCAATAAAAATGCAGACAGGTGCACAAACAAACGCGAGAAACATTTGATTAATTTCGAATCGAATGGCCGGGACCTGAAAAGGGCAAAACAAATCGAATTGGGCCATAAGCCAAAAGCCAGCCGAAGAGAGCGGGTGATAAATCAATGTGGAGACAAAACAGTAGCTGTCCGAATATATAGTTTATATATATCATCCGCTTTGGCCTTAAACTGCTCTCAATTAAGCCTCCAAACTTCACACATCCCCATCCAGATGTTACAGCTGCCAACCCAATTCAAGAAAGTGAAAGTGCATTTTTGTATTTTTTACCGTCGAGTCTTTTTTTTTGTTTTCCAAGCTTCAATGATGGATTGGGTTATGCAATGATATTTTTGTTTTCAACATACCCGCTACAGGACCTTTGCCGGGCTGGGCCATTGTCCTGTCCAGACTGCACAGCAGCTGGACGGAGATTATCACAGACAAAACGAGATACTTTTGCATGTTTTCGATTGTTATTTGTATAAATATTTAATATATTTATTGTTTCAAACACTTCCGTACACTTTTACCCTGAAAATTCCGTAAAATATTTATTTGAAATATATGTATGTGAACGTAAAAAATTTCGCTTTTGTGATTCAACGCATATTTTTGTCGGTCGTGGTCGGTTACTTGTTCGATTTATGAATTATTTTGAATTTAAATGGGATGCTGATCGCTCTCGAATCGGAATCGAAATCGAATGAAATCGAAAGTTGGCAAAATGCCGAGACGAATACTCCGAATTGAATTACTGAAAAAAATAGTATGCGCAGGCGTGCGCCCAAACTGACCGTCGACTGTCGAAGAACTAACTCTTTTGGCTCAATTCGGCTCAAACCAAGGCAGAATCCCCCCGAGATTTGGCCAGAAAGAGCGACAGAGGCTGTGAGTAGACCAAAGAGAAGCTCAGAGAGTGGTCGAACTGGTTCGAGAGCGGCTAAAACCGAAGACGAACTTGTTTGCCGCGAAAAAAAGGCGAAACGAAACCCGAAAGATTATCATCAAACTGAGATCCATGTATGGCAAAGCGGGCAACGGACAGCGAACAGCGGACACGCGGACAGCAGACACTAGCGGCTGTTTGTCAAACACTTGACCACCAGTCTCAGCTGGAGATCTCGAAACCGAAGTGGAGCTAGAGCCGAGATGCCTCTCCAAGGTAACCATCGACGTGACTTGGGTCGAGCACCAAACTTTAAAGAACGCTCTAGATCGGGGCCTCGACTTGGAGATACCCGAGTGCCTAAATAGATTTTGAAAATTAATTTCAGAAAACAATATAAATATGTTGAAAATCAGTAAAGAACTTGGTTTAACAAGCTTTACTTTGTTAACTTTAAAAAATTTTAAGGTTTTTATATTTTTCTTATAAGAAGCATCCTTTATAGCCCAAACAATTCTTTATACCTCTCCCTTTAACAAACCGGAAGACTTTTAAAATATATATTACCCGTGACTCATGCTATAAAAATTAATTAAATACTCCAAAAGAAATAAATGTTCGCATAAATCTGCAACAGTTTAAAATGCTCTCAGAAACTACCGGGTATACCATTCAAGCCCCAGAAGTAGAATCATTTCAAAATTCTGGTTTTACTTCTGCGGTTTTAGATTTCAGCCCCCATTCTCTTCTCAACTCTCAAATTACGCAATTTCCCCGCCCCGAAATGGGGAATATGGATGCATTTCAAACGTGGGCTTTGAATTTGGACCAAAAATAAAAAAAAGAAAGAATAAACTGGGCCGAACCAGAAAAACTGAATTTAACGTTGTTGCTGACCGAATTTCATGACCTTCAGATGATGCAGATGATGAACTAGTTTTTGCTCTTAAATTCTTCAATATCTGTTTGCTGACGTTTGTGCCTTCTCATTCATTTTATTTCGTGGTCATACGTTGCGTATGCGCGATGTTTGCTGTAGATCCGTGAGGTGATTGGAAGATAAATGGTGGGAGTATTTTGAAGATTTATTTTAAATGTTAGAGGTGCTTAGTCTTAACAAAAGCCTTAATGGAATCAATACTCAATTAGTTTCGCTACTAAAAGTTACTTCATTACTACGTAATTAATAATTAAGAGTTGGCCATAAAATTTAATTATCCCAAGAGGGGAGGTAAAAACTATTGACAACTTTTTGCTGAAAATGTCACTGATGCTGAAAAAGCTTCGGAAAAAAGGCAAAGTTGCAATGCGACGAGGAACTCATCTGCAATGGCCGCAATTTGTGAAGAAATACCAAAACCAAAAAACCAACATGAAGCGAGCCAAAACAAGTGCCTGCCACTTGTTGCACTTGGCGGTGTGATGTGTTACTGCTGCCGCTTTTAATATTTTTTTTTTTTTTGCATGAAAAACAACTTAAAGTTGCTGCCTGGTTGGTCTGCTTTTTGTGGCGTATTGCTTACGTGATTTAAATTACACATTTTTTTCGTCTTCTGGTATCTTGTAAGCGGCATCGATTCAATTTCGTGGCTCTGCCAAGCTCTCAGGGACTGAACTAATTAATTAATTGGAAACAAGCGTTCGGTGGATCCCAAAAGAACACAGAGCTACAGCATTTATACCGATTCTCTGTAGTTTTATTAGCATTATCCGAACGAAACCAGATTAGAGAGACTGATATAAAAAAGTAATATAGGCGACGAGTTCATTGCTTTCCGATGAATTTCAAGGCCAAACGTGATAATTTTAGAAATATTCTATAACTTGGGCTTCATCGGAAGTGATTTAAATACTAACTAAAATAATAATTAAAATGGTAATTATAGTATTGATTTTACAAAAATTATATAGACATTAATTGCCATGAATTGGCTGTTAATTTGTGGCCGCTTCTTAATAATCTATAATTATATAAAAGCCTGTAGCGAATGGTTAACGAAGATTTGCATATATTTTCTGAAAATAGATGTTGAAAGACCATTCTTGGAATTGAGAGATTCCCCCGATTTGACCCTGAAACGTGTGATTCGACTTGGGTGAATCCCCTGAAACCAAGTTCAGATAACTACGTATAACCTGACCTTTGATGGATCTTCAGGCCACAGTTTTTACAATTTGTTTGACGCTAATCGAGTTGAAATTCAAATTTCGTTTCGAATGCTAATTTAAAGTTTGTGTTTGCTGAACTAGAAAACTCGTTCCATTTGTGGGATTGTTTGGGCTTTCAAAAAAAATATGATTAAAGTAATTAGAGTCAAGATGTTCACCTAAAATTTGTTGATATTGCGATGCGGATTCATAATTAATTCCCTTTTTTCGAAATCATTTATTCTGTTATCTCAAGCGCCTGTCGAATTGAATTTAAAAGAATTGCTAACAAAGTCGCGATGACGTTCGAAAGAAGTCCTCAACAAGTTCTCAACTAACGGCCGTGGGTGCAATGCCTCCTCGAAGTCAGTTTTATGGCACCTCTTTTGTTTCACAGTCTTCTTCGATTCGTTTGTGGCTAATAAATTTTAATGGCTTGACGTTTAAGTTAAACTTTTGGAAAATAAAATCCCGTCATCGAACTACTTCTAGAAAGACTCAACTTGATTCGATTCGACTTGTGGTCGTAAATTTTTGCACAAATCCGCGCCAGTTTCCGAAGATTTTGTTCAGGGTTAAAGTAAGGGGGGAGGAAGGGTGCGATGGTGTAGAGGGGCAACCAGTTTCGACCCTGGATCAAGTGAAATAAAAACTATATAAATTTGCCAATTTTTTCGCCTTTAAGTTGTGTGCAAATAGCCTGACAAAACGAGCCTCGCCTGATATATTATGTAAACACATGCAGCCCGAGGCCATTCATCATACGCACTGTGGGCCCTCGAAGGCGTCAAAGCGATCAGGGCAAACAAAAAGCTGCGAAATGCAAATAAACAATGGGGAAGAGTACTGGCTGAAAAGCAAGGGTAATTAGTGGGAATAGTTCCATCATTAATTTTGTTAAATAAATCGTAGAATTGGGAGGAAATGTGTTAACTGGAAGTTAAAGATTGTTAAGCAATGGTAGTTTTGAAAGAGGGTATCAAAGTAGACACATTTCATAAGTAGAATAAGCAATTATTCAGAAAAAGAAGCAAAAAGAGTCAGTAAGAAATTCCAAGAAATAAATTCGAATAAAATGTTCATCAGTAGTCAAGGGGAATACAAAATAAGAAATAAAGTTAAATTCCAGATTGCAATTAAATGCCCTCGTATGGAATTTTCATGAACAAAATGGAATGTAAATAAAATAAGTAACGAATTGAATGTGACAGTGGCTCGAGGCAAGGGAACTTTTTAAACTCCAAAATAATTTTATGGTATGAGATAATGATGATTGTAATAATTGTGGCAGCCGTAGGAAGCCGAACCACATCGCGTGGAACTAAACAAATTAAACTAGATTGATGGATGATCAGCGTGGCCAATGGCATAACCTCTAAGTAATTCGTGTAAGGTGAAGTTTAACATCGTTTTCATACTTGATTGCTTTATCAGTGGAATCGGTAAAGGGGCTATGATTGATGGTTCATAGATGATCTACTATCCACTCACCTGCATCAATTTCATTTTCGCTGGGATCCCGATGAAATATATTGCCATAGTACTGATCATGCTGCTCCGACTCCACGCTCTGCAAGGACTCCTGAACATCGTAGTCGAAGTCCTCCTGGTTGGCCTGCGACTGCTGGTCCCGCTCCACATCGTCCACATCCACGTCCAGCTCCTCATCCTCCTCCTCCACGATCTTCTTGCGACTGGGAGCTGTTGGTCGTTTTGCAGCTGCCACGGCTGCCAGACGATTCCTTATAGCTCCGCCACCGCTCCTTTTGAAGTTTCCGGCACTACTGGCCGAAAATCCTCGGGGTCTGGGACGGGGCGAGGGCTTCGGCTTTGGCAGAATATCGGCTATGGTGGGAATCTTTTGGTTCGCAGTGCGATTGGGAAACAGCCGGCGCTCCAAATAGTTGGCAAATATCTGTTGCGTTATCTGATTCTGACGGGCCAGCTCGCTCTGATCCAGTTGAAAATTCGGACTCGGATTGGCGTTGGAATTGGCGCCTGAAATGATTCCACAATTAATCAACGAACAGGTAGTAGCATGTGGGTCACTGCGAATTGTGCAACAGTCTTCTGCTTAAGGTAATTACATAAATTGCGGGCCGGACAGCCCACGTTGAGGTGTTGAAAAGTAATTAAAAAATAAATCCATAAACTGTTTCCCTTAAAATGGCAAAACATCCCAGCGAAGTTTGGTTACCCTTGTGGCTTAAAACAAAAAGCTAATAGCGGCCTAATGGCATCCGTTGGGCAATAAAGCTATGAGGCTGAATATATCATCGTAAGGGCATCTTCTGATGAATTTTTGATTATATCGTCGGGGCCTGAAGTGACACGCATCCATCACTCGAAAGTCTGGGAACCGGGGGAAGGCCCATTGAGATGAGTGTTTGATCGTGGGCTTTGAAGTTCATTCATCAGGTACCTTCTTTGGAACGAAAGTGAGAAGTTATCTCAATGAAGCCCCAAGCTGAGGTTTAACATTTTGTGAGGAGTCTTGTCGTTTCGCGCCGAAAACGTGAAAAGTGTGTCAAGGCCAGGCAATACTTTTACTGCCCGGTAGTTAAGCGGATTGCCGGATTTTTATTTCCATTTCCAGTTCCCCGAGAGCACCCCAAGAGCTCCTGAGATGAGCTCGAAATTGCCAAATAATTGATATAAATTTTGTGGCTTTAATGCTGGCTCCCAGATTGTGCCATGATGCATTAGCCCTGCCCCTCATCCACTTCTTTATTTTTTATGTTTCAACAACCACGCCCAGCCCTCAGCTCCTAATTTCGCATTGAATTTATCTCCGGTTTGCCTCCATGAAAAAAGTTTAAACAAAAGTTATTACCTATTATGTAATTATCCGTAATGTTTTTAATATTTTTGTTTAATTATTCATTTCGGTTTATTTTTCTGGTTATTGTGGCACAATTACCAGCCACAAGAGTTGAAAATTCCGCCCTGACATTTGTGTGTGATGGAGTGGGGCTTGAAGTGTCTGCCGCCAGTTGTAGGCTGCACTCTTGACTTTGTATCGGATAAATCGGGGCTAATCTGATTGCCTTCGGTGGATGGAATTGGACTCCCTGAATGGGAGAAACACTTGGCCGGAAATCATCAGTGAAGATCTTTATTAAAGATCTGAAGAGTGTAATGGAAAGTACAGAAACTATGTAATTTTAAGGTAATCAAATGGAAAGTAAAATGACTTTTAAGTTATAGATAAAAGTACTCCTAAAAACCCACTCATAATCTGTCAAGATAATTGCCTAATCCGGCTCAGAATTCCAAGTGCTTTGATTTCCCCGTGGAATGGCAAGTCATTGGACACTGCTTCAATTTTGGCATTAATTATCAATAGCGCTGGAATTAGACTTTGGCTTTGAGGCCACCAAAGAGTTGAGAACAAAGGCGGATCAACGCACTCGCAAATGGACTTTATTGTTCGGTGATTGTTCTCAAAAAAGTTAAAATCCTTGGCTTGTTATCTAGCATTATGTGAGATAATTTACGTGCCATTGTTGAATGCCTTTGGCTGGTCAATTGAAAGGGGCCAAGAAAATATGACAATGTTCGAAACGTGATGGCCTGAATGTAGTTGAAGTAATGCTGTCTAAAAGGGGGAACTCTTATAAACGATAATCGATTCTCAAAGATTTTTATCTAGAAGAAAAATAATTTGACTAAACTATGATAGAACAGGAAACAGATCGTTTTTTAGAAGAATATTAATTATCTTAGATAACTTATCTGATGCCATATATCAAGTTGAATTAATTTTTTCCTGTGCATTTGTCGATCGATCTGAGCATTCAATAACTTCACGACTAACTGACCCAGTTGTGTCTCCACAACAGCGATGTATATCTATATCGGGCAACAACTATATAGCCGACAACTCGGACCGGCTAATTGTCGTTTCCACGGGCCGCATAAATCATGACAACTCGCTGAGGATGTTGGTCTCTGCCTTGAGTGAAAAACGAAGCGAAGCGAAGCTGAACCTATCAAGGCAGTAAATCATTTCGCATCTAGCATCTGCGACTAAGAACCGTCTCGAAATGTATCTGTATCTGTGTCTGCAGCATGCAACTGACTACAGTTGCAACAGCTATTTTGAGGGCCGTGCAATTGCCGCTTGGCTGGAAAATGGGGTCGATTAGCTGTGAGGAGTTGCCCTGAGACAAAGGATTTTGCAATTCTGTTGGCTAAACGTTTGTTTTTCTATTTTTTCTGTTTTTTTTTTTCTTTTTGTGTGGACCAGCTTCCACATTCCATAAAGATACTTTTTCGAAAACTTGCGCAATCTGCTTGTATCTCCAGTTTCGGGTAATTACATGAGCAGCCAATGCGGCGTATACGTAACGCAGACCAAAGCTGTGGTTTATACTTCTTTGATTGACGCACTCAAGGTGCTTAAGACTTATATTCAAGAATTCAATACATTAGATCATAATTAAGTTATGTTGTCAGCCGTGGTTCAATGTCAAGCTACAAGTTGAAAAAGATTTATTTGATTAATTCTGAAATATGTAATTATATTCAAAGAAATACATGAATACTCTACCTCCATTGGGGATAGAAACTATAAACTATCATTAATAAATTTAGATTTTAAATGAAATGCCTAATCATACAGAATATAAACACACACATTTATGTTAGAGTATCTCCTATTTGTTAAACAAAACCTAAAATATTTACATTATCTTGACAAATTACCCTTTTAAGTGGTAGGCCTAAGACTATTTGTGGTTTTATTTTTTATAAATTATAATTAGCATAATATGTTGTTTTGTTACTTTTGTACAACTTTCAGAATAAAATATTCAATTTCCAATGCAAATTAAAATTCTCTAGTAATGACTATGGCTCCTAGAGAGGTGTTTGAACTCTTCTATTTCGGCTTTTAGCTTCTAGTTTTTAGCTTGGTGTTTTCGACCACACTAGACCCATTAATCTTCTTGGCCATTTTTGGTAAAAGGTGGTGGGCACGTGCTTGACTTTTGCGGCTTTTGTTCTTAACAAAATGTCACGAGGTGAAAGACTAAAACTTTATCGACGCATTCCCATATTTCTTTCATCATTAATTTGCTTTTGCATATTATATTAGATATTTTCTACCTTATGATTGTCTTTTCTTCTATCGAGTATAACATTTAATATTCTGAGGTCACCGGCATTCCAAATAAAAAAAAAATCAAAATGCAGCCAAAAACCAAGCAGAGCCTCAGAATAATAAACTCGAACAACGCAGCCAAAATAGAGAAAAACGTATCATAGAAATATTATTCAAACTCGATTTCTCGTTTTAGTTTATTGTTGAATATTTATGCAACTAGAAGATGGGCAATGAACGCACCTATGTTATAAATACACACAATTATACACATATCTATAGATATCTATAGGAATGTATATCAGGGGCGGGGGTATGAAGACGCCAATCCGAAAGTTAGTCTTTGAAATGATGCTGTTCGATTAGCTGCGATTGTGGTTGAGATTTGCTGACGTAGAACTCATATGTTTATGAAATCTTTGTGAAATCTTTAAATGTCAGACGGTGCATGGGAAACACAATTAGCATTTTAATAATAAACTGCACAGATGCTCAGTTCTATTCAGTTCTAAGCTTATCCAGTTGGCTTTGTTGTAAAATTTTTTAAAAATTATATCACATGATGCGAATCGAAAATGAGATGCAGAAGCTATAGAGAATGATTGGAGATTTTTTCGAAATGTTTGTTTGTGCATGTTTTTAGCATGTTTTTCTAAATGTATGCTAATATGATATTATTTTTAGTTTTAGTTTGTGCCTCTTTTGACTGAGGCTTTCTTTATTAATGTGGAACCTTCTTTTAACCACATAATCTTACTAACTGGTAAGCCCTTGAGTTCTTAAACAATTTCCACTTACACCTCCAACTACTTCAGATCACAACCCATCCTCTTTGTGGAACAAAGGCGGCAAACCGCCCGATTCAAAGCAATCTGGCAAAAAGCAATTGTTAATATTTGCGAATCCATTGACACAGCCTCTTGATGCTCGATGTCCGTTACAGGCACTTGGACCGACTCTGACAAAGACTCAGTGACCCTGACACGGATTGGAGGCACTTGGAAAAATGCCTCAAAAGGGGCACAAGTACTTACCTCTCTTATCACGGCCATTGGAAACACTTCCTCTGCTAATGTGGCTGCTGTTGTGATTGTAATTGTGATTTTGTGGAAATTGTTGTGGGATGTTGCTGAGGTGAACTGTGCTGGCAGGTGGTGTGAAGGTGGGTGGGGGTGTATTTGGACCGGAATCGACACTGACCAACGAAATGAGCACTATTAGGACCGTGTGTCGTATCATTATCACTGTTTTTATTTTTTTATTTGTTTGGATTTTGGTTTTTGCAAAACTTAGGCACCTGTAAAAGTTGCAAGTGCACTTTTATCAACAAATTCGTGGCGAGAGGAGAAAGCACACTTTGAGACTATAGGGTGTAACCTCCGATCTTGGACTGTAACTGAACACCGAACTGATCCAACTCGATGGCGGAGAGTGGAGTGGCCTCTCCGGATCTAGCTTATTTGGTATTCAGCTAGCTTTCTAAATTATCAATTTATATTTTGATGCTTTGTATCTTTCGGATCGCTGGGCTAGATCGGTAGTCTTGTTGTTTTTTTGAAATTCCAATACTTTTCTTCGGTTTCTTCGATTTTCTCCGCCCAACTGTCATCGCTTGCGGGGTTGGAGCGGGCAGGTTTGGATATTTAAGTTAGCGCCATTAATTTGCGCCTCCGAATCTATTTAGCCAGGGTTTGATGCCTGCTGATCGTGAAGGCGAATGTGGATTAAATAATCGCTGTGATCTCCACTCGTTTCTTCACTTTCTTTCCGCTTTCTCAGAGCAACTCAAAGACAGAGCTTGGAGCAGCTCTCTGTCCGGGGCACTCTCACTTTTGAGCTCGTGTTGTGGCCAAAACCAAAAAGTTGCTCGCATTTGCCGCCAATCCGTCGAAGAGTCAACAGCTTGGCCAGAGCTCCGCTTGGGGTTTTCTCGAATTTCGAATTTATTCCTGCGATCGCACTCGCTAGGCTAACTTAAAGACTAAAGCGTTTGGACGCAACTAAAACGAGTTCCTCGCTCGACTCCTCTCCGAACCGATTCTTCGGCCAGCCGGCTGTCTACAGACTCTCTTTCTTCGGCTCTTCGTACCTGTGCATATACCTGTCTCAAACTTGTTTGAACTGACCACCGTACTCCCGGCCAGAAAAAAAAAAACAAAAACCACAATCCGCTGCATATCCAACACCTAGCCCTCCTCCGCCACCTGGGGGCTGGGTCTTGTATGAATTTTAATTACAGGTGTGCAATAGATGAAGACGATCGGTGTCGGAGTGGATCGGGATGGACAGTTGCACGCTTCTCGGCTGTCAGTTATTTTTAGTTGCGAGGGACTTGCAGTTGCAGAGGCTGTGCAATGTCCTTGAACACGGATCCATGCCCTTAAGACAAGGTATACCTAAAAAGTGAAATCTTTGCAGGGTGCCTGTCCTTCAATATTATATCTTAAAGTTTAAAAAGAGTATATAAAATCAGACCCAAGTAATTTAATATTTTCTCTGACAGATCTATAAATCTTCACCTGTGGTTTTCACACTTTCCATTAAAAGAAGCTTTGTATAACGTTTCAGAATTTATATATTTAATTGCATAAGGGTTTCGGTTATTCCAAATTTCCAAACATTTACTAAACTTTCAGTCGAAATATTAATTTTTGATGCTTGCACTAAGTGGGATTGTTGTTGAAAAGGGTTATTTTGTTGCGGCCGGTGATTCATAGTCATAGTCAGTGTTCATAGTCCGAGGTAATCAATTGGGATAATATTGTGATAATGTTGTTCGGTTGGGTGCTCTTATATCAAGTCCGGTAAATCGATCATGATCAAATGCCATGTTATTTAGGATCTGCCATTAAATGCCATTATCTGCCGCCACTACTTCTTTTTCTTGCCCTTGCCCTTGCCCTTCTTTCCCTTTTTCTTCTTTTTGCCGGCGGCGCCTCCAAGCATCTCCTCGGAGACGTAGGTCTCGGTGGTCACCTTGCTGATCGGCAGGGTCACAGGCTGCTTCGGAGTCCTCAACTCAATCTCGATAGTGTTTTTCTTATTTTGCGACTTGGACTTGCTACCGAGCTTCACCAGGAAAACATCGCTGTCGGTCTCCTCGCAGGTCTTGTAACACACCTGAAACGGATAGAAAAGGAAAACATTTTAGAGGCATTCCAGAAAAAAAATTGTAAAAATAGACAAGCCCATTTTATGGAGTCTTTAAAATTAGTAAACACTAAAAAGTGGCCCACACTTTATTCCACCTCTTACATAAGCATCTGCACTGCGATTACCATTCATAAAAAAAAACCTCCATAAACCTGGAAGACAGATTTTAAACCACAAACGGTCTACGAGGCGAATGCTCCACATTTGGAGCTGCCAGGGGTTATGCAACTGCCCCACAATTGTGGCAATTGAAAGCCTACCATCGGGATCTCGGAGTGGCAGAAGTTGCTCCACTTGCATCGGCATTTAGAGGGGTCCAAGTCACGGTTCGAAAGTGATCACACATTCCAACACGTAAGCTGTGATGCCAAAAAGGAATCCTGAGGTGATCGAAGATTAGGCCCGCTGATCTCCAATTGAGCATTTTTTAAATGCTTTATCTGGTATGTGTTATGAACGTCAGACCATACAAGTTTTCGATTCTCCTAATTGGATGTTGTGCACCGATGGCCATTTCCAAGGAACCCCGTTATTGACTGATTCTTGAGCAAATCCATTGATAACTTAATCGCTTCATTTTGCCCAGGAAATACTCAGTGCTTTAAAAACCTTTTAAAATTTTGAGATATGCTTTGGAGCCCAATATGACCTATTAAGGAGGCTATATCTTGCCCAATATCTACCCGATTATTGACGGGAATACCTTCATCGATTTGTGGGACAATTCTTTTCAAATCTGCATCAAAACCGTGAAACGAAATTTTGGACCCCATTTTTCCAAATTTTTCTGATGGACCCCCTTCAAAAATGGAGAAAATCAAGAAATGTACAAAAGTGGACCTTGCGAAGGCTATATCTTGGCCAATATTCATCCGATTCTTAAGCGGCATACCTTTAACGAATTGTGAATAGATTCTCTTTAAATCTGCATCAAAACCCTGAAACAAAATTTGGGATCCCATTTTTCCAAATTTTTCTGATGGACCCCCTTCAAAAATGGAGAAAATCAAGAAATGTCAAAAAGGTTGACCTTGCGAAGGCTATATCTTTGCCAATATCCTTCCGGTTCTTAAGCGGCATACCTTTAACGAATTGTGGATAGATTCTCTTTAAATCTGCATCAAAACCCTGAAACAAAATTTGGGATTCCATTTTTCCAAATTTTTCTGATGGACCCCCATCAAAAATGGCAAAAATGAAGAAATGTCAAAAAGTGGACCTTGTGAAGGCTATATCTTTGCCAATATCCATCCGATTCTTAAGCGGCATACCTTTAACGAATTGTGGATAGATTCTCTTTAAATGTGCATCAAAACCCTGAAACAAAATTTGGGACCCCATTTTTCCAAATTTTTCTGATGGACCCCCTTCAAAAATGGAGAAAATCAAGAAATGTCAAAAAGTGGACCTTGTGAAGGCTATATATTGGTCAATATTCATCCGATTCTTAAGCGGCATATCTTTAACGAATTGTGAATAGATTCTCTTTAAAACTGCATTAAAACCCTGAAACAAAATTTGGGATCCCATTTTTCCAAATTTTTCTGATGGACCCTTATCAAAAATGGCAAAAATCAAGAAATGTCAAAAAGTGGACCTTGTGAAGGCTATATCTTGGTCAATATTCATCCGATTTTTTAGGGGCATATCTTTAACGAATTGTGGATAGATTCTCTTTAAATGTGCATCAAAACCCTGAAACAAAATTTGGGACCCCATTTTTCCAAATTTTTCTGATGGACCCCCTTCAAAAATGGAGAAAATCAAGAAATGTCAAAAAGTGGACCTTGTGAAGGCTATATATTGGTCAATATTCATCCGATTCTTAAGCGGCATATCTTTAACGAATTGTGGATAGATTCTCTTTAAAACTGCATTAAAACCCTGAAACAAAATTTGGGATCCCATTTTTCCAAATTTTTCTGATGGACCCCCTTCAAAAATGGCAAAAACCATGAAATGTCAAAAAGTGGACCTTGCGAAAGCTATATCTTTGCCAATATCCATCCGATTCTTAAGCGGCATACCTTTAACGAATTGTGGATAGATTCTCTTTAAATCTGCATCAAAACCCTGAAACAAAATTTGGGACCCCATTTTTCCAAATTTTTCTGATGGACCCCCTTCAAAAATGGAGAAAATCAAGAAATGTCAAAAAGTGGACCTTGTGAAGGCTATATATTGGTCAATATTCATCCGATTTTTTAGGGGCATATCTTTAACGAATTGTGGATAGATTCTCTTTAAAACTGCATCAAAACCCTGAAACAAAATTTGGGATCCCATTTTTCCAAATTTTTCTGATGGACTCCCATCAAAAATGGCAAAAATGAAGAAATGTCAAAAAGTGGACCTTGTGAAGGCTATATCTTGGCCAATATTCATCCGATCCTTAAGCGGCATATCTTTAACGAATTGTGGATAGATTCTCTTTAAAACTGCATTAAAACCCTGAAACAAAATTTGGGATCCCATTTTTCCAAATTTTTCTGATGGACCCTTATCAAAAATGGCAAAAATCAAGAAATGTCAAAAAGTGGACCTTGTGAAGGCTATATCTTGGTCAATATTCATCCGATTTTTTAGGGGCATATCTTTAACGAATTGTGGATAGATTCTCTTTAAATGTGCATCAAAACCCTGAAACAAAATTTGGGACCCCATTTTTCCAAATTTTTCTGATGGACCCCCTTCAAAAATGGAGAAAATCAAGAAATGTCAAAAAGTGGACCTTGTGAAGGCTATATATTGGTCAATATTCATCCGATTTTTTAGGGGCATATCTTTAACGAATTGTGGATAGATTCTCTTTAAAACTGCATCAAAACCCTGAAACAAAATTTGGGATCCCATTTTTCCAAATTTTTCTGATGGACCCTCTTCAAAAATGGAGAAAATCAAGAAATGTCAAAAAGTGGACCTTGCGAAGGCTATATCTTGGCCAATATCCATCCGATTCTTGAGCGGAATATCGGAAACGATTTGTGGATAGATTTTCTTTAAATCTGCATCAAAACCCTGAAACAAAATTTGGGATCCCATTTTTCCAAATTTTTCTGATGGACCCCCTTCAAAAATGGGCAAAATCAAGAAATGTCAAAAAGTGGACCTTGCGAAGGCTATATCTTGGCCAATATTCATCCGATTCTTGAGCGAAATACCTTTAACGATTTGTGGATAGATTCTCTTTAAAACTGCATCAAAACCCTGAAACAAAATTTGGGACCCCATTTTTCCAAATTTTTCTGATGGAAGGGGTCCAAAAATAGAGAAAATCGAGAAATGTCAAAAAGTGGATCTTATGGTGGATATAGTGGCACTAGATATATTGATATACATATATATATAGTGATATATAGATAGATTTATCTTGTATTCTATAGATATAGTGGCTATATCTTGGCCAATATCCATACGAAATTTTGGGATGATTTTTAGATCGGAAGATTAGGATATATATTATGTCTAGGATGTCACTTCTGAAACTAAAGTTATTGCATTTCCTAAGAATTGGTAATATGGCAGCTATAGACGCAGCTTTTGCCCAAAAATTCTAATACCCTGTGCAAAATTATAAATACATTTTAACACAAAAACAGGCTCACCTCGATTCCTTTACGACGTGTGTCCAGATTGATTCCCTTCATGGTATTCATAATGTCCTTCTTCTCGACTTGCATGCAGCAGTTGCGCTGATTCTGGACAGGACACTTGGCCGGGACAATGGGGTCGTTGCCGCCGCACAGGCGTTGGCGATAGCAGTCGACCTTGGCCTCTTGCATGTCGCAGGCCTCCTTGATCTTCGAGAAGGGCACGTAATAGTTGTCCGTCTCGCAGGCATCATTTCCGGAATACTTGATATTGGCCCGCACTTTCGGAATGTTTGGATGGTTGATAATCTTGCCACCAGTCCTCCGCTTGATGTGGTTCCGGGCAAACGAGCTCCGCTGCAGCATTTCGTGCAGGCAGGACTCCTGCTTCGGTTCACAATCGTTGGGGTCGTCCCGGTAGCAGGGATCATCGTCCGCTCCCAAATTGTTACCCATTGAACCATCATCCACGCTTTCCACCTTGTGGGTATTCTTGAGGACACGAATGGTCAAACCGCTGCCATTGAGACAGGCCTCGAACTCATCGTATGCCTCTGGACCGGGATCCGGCCGGGTGGGCTGGATGAAGCACGGTGCCAGTTCCGGACTGCAATCGCATTCGCAGGCACACTGGCAACAGCCTTCGCAGCCATCGTCTGTGAATGGTCAGGACACACAGATCTTAGCCTTCTATTCCTCGGAAAGAATTCAACTACTTACCCTCGTTCAAAGGCTTAAGCATGTCATCGGTGATGTTAAACTTGCAGTCGACCTTGGCCTTCTTCTTTCCCTTTCTTCCCTTCTTCTTGGCCATGATGATTTGTTAATACTGTTAATTAGTTTCCTTTCAGGCAGGAGTGATAGTACTTCACAGGACACGGGTGTCTATTGGGTGCTTGATGCCCCTATTGCAATTCGAACGGCCTCTTAATCCTCAATTTGGATATTGTACTTCACCAGTAAGTGGCGCAATTTCCGTATAGCCCTTTTCCGCGCTAAAATATTAAAAGAAACGAAAGCGTTTTTTAACTAAAATCTGAAATAATCGCATTGCACTTTTTACCGAACACGTGTTACTCTATTCTGTTTCGTTTAGATTTCAAAGTCCATCCAAAGTTCGCGTTGTAATAACGATAGAATTTATGATTTTAGTATTGTGTTGTAGGTCAAGCAACATTTCCCATTTGAAAATGAAAAACTTTTTTGTAAACTGAGCGATGTTTGCCCCCCGGAATATTTGATGTTACTGTGGAATTTCTATTGACTTGTCGGACTTTATAGTTCGAAATATATTTCAAAGCCTACTTCATAGAGATTTTTAAAACTAATTCAAATTATGTATAGAATACTTCAAAGCCTACTTAGAATTTTTCATTGAACTCACCTTCATCACAGGCTACATCGTACTGAGGATCTTTGGGATCCACAAAGGACTGCTTTCGGGTGGCCTCGAGTCTCCCTTTGCAGACGGTCGGATAGGTATCATCGTAAACTGCAGATGGGCAGACCTTGGGGTTGCCCACACAGTGAACAGCACCACCAACTTGGCGCTTGCCTTTCTTGCCCTTTGCATCCTTCCCATCCTTGCCATCTTTGCCGTCCTTTCCATCCTTGCCCTTGCCCTTACCCTTATCCTTGTCGGTTTCTAATGGAGGCGCCGGTGCACCTGCCAGGCGTTCCTGAATGTAACGGGGATAGGCGGGCAGACTGCCACATGGGCCGCACTTCTGGAGCTTTTTGTCTATGGGCGAGGCCGGGCAGCGCTTTGAGGGCACGGTGGGGCACTCTGTGTGGGGTAGGGAGATATTTAAGAGATCGTTTTCATAAGGAAACTAATCTTAATGAAATAGATACATTTTTTAAAGACTTTCATTTTTTTAAGAAATAGTTCATAGGACTAAAACATACTAGAAAAGATATCCTTCCTCAATTATAGTTCATAATTAATAATAAATGATTTTTTAAGATCCTAACCCTAATTTAAAGTATCTGGCTCTACTCACCCCTATCGAATTCATCCTCACAATAGTCGCCGGGACAGCGCTTGTCCATGTTGCAGGCATAGTAACGCAGGATTTTGTTTGGCTCTTGGGGGCGCGGGGCACAAGGATCCACCATGGAGCAGCGGCGTAGTGGTGGCTGAGGGCACGGCCCCTGGCAGCACTTACTTGGGTTCATGGGTCCACCCGTGGCAGTGCCACTACCCTGGCCGCAACAGGGCTCGCAGGGATCGCAAGGATCGCAGGGCGATGGGCACGATGTAGGACATGGCGGAGGGCATGAGGGACACGGTGGAGGACATGGCGGCGGGCAACAAGGCGGTGGGCAGCAAGGCTCCGGGCACTTGGGATTCCGGGAGCAGACCCGCATGAACGGGAAGGAGGAAACTATGGCGGGACCATTGCAAACCAATCGGATGATCAGCACAATGTTTCCGGTCTGCATCTTGCAGAGATTGAAGAGGGGCAACAGCCGTTTGGACAGTTCGGAGGTGGGACACCACTGCTCGTGGCGCTCGTTGATCTTACTGTAGCAGGAGCAGTTGTCCATGAGACCCTTGTTGTTGCCGCCCTTTAGCTTTGGCAACAGATTCACATGACTCGCCATGGCGCCTTCCCAGTTGGGGTTCTCCAAGTCGAAGGACTCTCGCACACGGTCGAAAATCGGTTTCACCGCCAACTCTGACAGTCCGATGAGAAACTTACAACTCTCCGTCTTCTTTTTGTAGACATGGATCAGTAGCTTGTCCTTGTCCGTGATGGGCGATTCCAGGGTGAACAAGCAGCACTTGCCGCACTTCGGCGAGCAGGGATTCACGCAGGTGCCGACCTCTCGGTCGCAGATGTTCATGTACATGGATGAGCGGAACGTGAGCTCCGTGCAAGTGGGGTACTCCTCGGGAGCACAAAGATTCTGCCGTGTAATTAGCAGATCGTCCACGACAACCTCGAACATGTACAGGAAATTTCCCGGAAATTTCGTTTGCTTCTCTGGTTTCTCAGACTTATCACCGTTCTTGTCTGCCATTTTATTGTCCAAAACTAAATTTCCCGTAATGCCGAAATTAACAATTTAGTTTTTTTGCTTAATTTTGAAAGAGAATTTAGAAACTTCCCTGCTGCGAATGCTAACGAAAAAATTTTGTAAAGATAAACAGGAAATTTGGATACTGATTTGAAAGGCTTGCCGAAAACTGAGAAAGTGTCCAAAATTGTCGATCGACTTGATAGCCAACGCCTACTGAAGCCAGAAAGTTTTATTTATTTTAAACTTTTCTAAGAGGTCTTGATACCAGCTTAAATCCAAAATAAATAAAGCCAAGTTTTAGGTTTTCTAGCAATGCGTTAAATAGTTTATTTACTTTCATAAAATCTTTCTACAAAAGTGATTGATCTACATTGCAATTCATCGCAGATATAAGCGGCGCTTGAAACCCCCAATGGCAACCCTCAGGCCTCCCGAAAACCCATCCGCTTTCAATTCCAACTGTCAGAAGCTCAAGTGTGGTTTTGTGTTTAAATATGTATAGTATATATATTAACTAACAAATAGCCAAGAGGAATGGATTGCAGTGGATGTGGGAAGGGTTTGGAACACTAAACACAAGTTCAATAAAACAAACACATATCGGGAAGAAGGTTGGAGTTCTTTAAATCGTTTTAGAAATTGGTATACAGAATATTGTTCTGATGCTGCTTCAGAGGTAGATCCCCGGGGAAAAATTAGCTAAACAACACTAACGTCATTGGTCTCGAAAGGACAACGGCGGAAAAAGCCGCGGCCACTGCACAAACTCGATTCCGTAGTGCAGGATTCCGGTGGCACTGACCGCGATCATTGCTCCCCAGAACAGCATGAACAGCAGATTCTCCGTGTTGAACTCAGCCGGATAAATCATGGTGACCATAAACATGGTAACGGCCATCATCAGCACCGACGGGAATGCAAAGAAGCGCCAGCCCCGCTTGGACTCTAACGGCGATGGCACTGCTCCACCTTCGTTGTCGTTGATCAGATACTTTCCGAGGAACAGATCGATGCCATCCTGTCGCTGGCCGTCGGCAAAGTTGTTTAGATAGTAGCGCATCAGGGAGTTCTTTCCATCCTGCAGTGCTCCGGCTTTGGTTCTCTTTCCAGTCCTGGTGAAGTCCGTTTTCAGAGCACCCGTTCCGGAGTATTGCAGGGAAACCAGGTCTGCATTGTCGGCCCACACTCCTTTGAAACGTGCCTCAAAGCTGTGGGAAGCCTGTTCCACTCGTTGACCCACATGGAGCACACCCAGCTTTTGCAGCACCGCTGTAAGAGATCTCCTGGCCAGCATACTCTGCACCACATTCGTTCGGTCGAGGCAATCAATGCAATTAGTGCGGAAGACACCCGTTTGTGTGGAAACCAACTTGCCATCATCAAAGATATGGTAGTAACCGAAGCCATCCTGCTCGTGGGCTAGACGATCGATGAGAACGTTCAACCTATCCCAGCGCATCTTTCGGCACTCGTGGTGAAAGTCGAACGACTCGTACCGGATTTTGGGGTTCCCCATTTCTCGGACCAGCCTGCCAAAAGTCGACTCAAGTTCGCCCTCAGCGCCCTTGTGGTCCACCAGATTTACTGCCACTTGGCTGCCATATATCCTTAGCTGCTCCGAGAAATGCAAGCTGCAAGCCCCGAGGTGATCTTTGCCAGGAATCAGACTGGGTCTAGGCTTGTACCGCAAGTTGGGGAGCTGGTGCCAATGGAAGGGCATGCTGCCACGCGTCTGGACGAATCCTGTGAGCTGTCCGTTGAACTCCACAATCTGCTCCGTTTCCACAAAGTTCGCTACATGGCCGCGATCGTCTATTCCGCGAGTAAACAGCCTCGTTCCTGCTCGTTGAATGGATCTCCTGGTCACAATGCTCCAAAAGAAGGTCTGGCCGTTAATCTGGACCTGGTTGATGGAAACGAAACCGAGAAGCAGCGGCAACTGGAATCTGTGCATCTTGTCGCAACCGAACTGTTGCAAAACATAGCCATTCCACACAAATCTTTGATCAGCGCGCTGGAACAAGCCAGCTGAGTTCGATTCTCCAGATAGGGCTAGCTCTCGCTGCCTCTGCAGCGAATGAGTCAAGTCGAAGCGATAGGAGAAGTAGAAGTACTTGGTGTCCAGAGTCTGTCGCAGCAGTTGTAGATACGTTTCGTTCTCCTTTCTTTGAATGGCATTCGGAATGTAGGGAATGATGTCGTAGCCGGCTAGGCGCCAGATGATGGCTCCATTCAGAACGCCCACGAAGATTCGATGGGTGGCCACCAATAAGTAATCGCAGCTGAGCAAATGAATGGTTCCAAGGACACCGCATATCCTCCTGGTGGGTCGCAGATTCACCAGCTGATCTCCAGCGGGCTGCACCCTAGTGACCTTGTCCAGCCGGCCGATAACGAGAACCTCAGCACCTCCGTTGGGCTCCACTATGAAACTCTCCGGTGTGATGTACAGGTTCATGTCATCGAACACATCATTGTCGCCCCTGGTCTCCATGATGTTAGGGGGCGGTGGCGGGCCCAATTCGTAGCCTTCAACGAAAGTAAAGAGAAAAACACAAATTAGTACATAAATATATTTTGCACCTGTGCTGCTTCCCCCTCCTCTTTAACTGACTGGGACCTCACTTTCTGGGTTCAAGGAGTTGTTCCTCTTGTCTCCGCTGTCGCACACGCACAGCAACAAAATCAGCCACAGCCTCTGCAGTTTTGTCTGGCAAATATATTGATCACCTCACTCTCTTAATCATTTAGTTTTTGGCCAACTTTTTGCCAATACGTGGGTGCTGGAGATGTCGTATCGACCAAAATGTGAAGGCCAGAGTTACCGCCCTCGAAGAAATCAACGATCTGGCATCGCTGTTTATTTCAAATGAGTTGGTGTGGTAGCCGTGTACGTTTAAAAAATATGTTCTTTTTAATGAAAATTCTGTTTTATTAATTACCATTGCCATTTTTTTCAATCGGATCTTCGGTGCATTCACACATATCTGGACAACAGCAGGACATGCAACTAGGGCACCATAACAGTTTACAAATAAATTTTGTAATTTTTAGATTTTTCTAAAAATTATTGACTGTAATGAAGTTTGCAGCAAAGCTGACTGTTTTGAGAACTTTTATTTTTCTTCCGTCTGCATTTGATTAAGGTATTTCAATAAAAAACCCGCCAAAATGTTCATATGATTATAATGTTTCTAATAATAAGGTAGGATATGTTGAATTAAAAAATTACCTTTTGGGAATGCGCTTTTTGTATATTTTAAAATAAATGAAGAAAAAACATAACTCAATCAACAAATAAAAAATAAACATATTTAAACGTAATATTTTAAATATATTTTTTTAAATATTTCGATATAAAAATATCGATATATTTGTAATCAGGAAATATACCAAAACATACTATTAAAAATACCGCGAAAAAAAACACCGAATTCAAAGTCAACGGACGAAGAAAGACGCGGCTTGCTTGGTCTTCTTTGGGATTTGTGTAAATTAAAATTTAAGGATTTTCTGTGTGTATAAACGTAAATAAGGGGATAATCAATTGAAGGAAAAAGCGGGAGACGACAATTCTGAAACCAAATTCGCCCCACACGCACACACACCAGTGCAGTTTCCAACTGGCGTCGCTTCTTTGACTGTACGCGGTAAAAATTAAACTAATTGATTTTAAGGCAACGAAATGGACTCCTCAAATCCAAATAACACGCGCCAAGCGCCTAGGAAGTCGAATCAAAATATCCAGGTTTATGTGCGCGTCAGGTGAGTTCTTTTTATCCAACAACATGCAATGGAATGCGATGTCTAACATACTTTGTTTTGCAAAGGCCTCTGAACTCCCGAGAACGATGCATTCGCTCTGCCGAGGTGGTGGATGTAGTTCCGCCACGAGAAATTGTGACACGCCACACGCTGGACTCCAAGCTCACCAAGAAGTTCACCTTTGACCGAAGTTTTGGTCCTGAGTCCAAGCAGTGCGATGTCTACAGCGTAGTGGTGTCTCCGCTGATCGAGGAGGTTTTGAATGGCTACAATTGTACTGTCTTTGCCTATGGACAGACTGGAACTGGCAAGACACATACGATGGTGGGAAACGAAACTGCTGAATTGAAATCCTCCTGGGAAGATGTAAGTTTGCTTCTTAAGATATTGCCAGAATTGGCCTGAAAAGGTTCTGCCATCAACCATATGGCCTTGAATCTAAAAGTTAGCTACTACCCTGCAAGGCAACATAAACCAGTTTCTCTTAGTTCTTGGAAAAGGGAGTCTAACCTTTTGAAATCTTCCGTCTTAGGACTCTGATATTGGCATCATACCTCGCGCTCTGAGTCACCTGTTCGATGAACTGCGCATGATGGAAGTGGAGTATACGATGCGCATCTCCTACCTGGAGTTGTACAACGAGGAGCTGTGCGATCTGCTCTCTACCGACGACACTACAAAGATACGAATTTTCGATGACAGCACCAAAAAGGGCTCGGTTATCATTCAGGGCCTGGAAGAAATACCCGTGCACAGCAAGGATGATGTGTACAAGCTGCTGGAAAAAGGCAAGGAGCGCCGCAAGACAGCTACTACACTGATGAATGCACAATCTTCGCGTTCGCACACAGTGTTTTCCATACTGGTGCACATTCGGGAGAATGGAATCGATGGAGAGGATATGTTGAAGATTGGAAAACTGAATCTGGTAGATCTGGCTGGTAGCGAGAATGTTTCCAAGGCTGGCAACGAGAAGGGCATTCGGGTGAGGGAAACTGTGAACATTAACCAGAGTCTCCTAACCCTGGGAAGGGTGATAACTGCCCTGGTAGATCGTGCTCCCCATGTACCCTACCGTGAATCGAAGCTAACGAGGCTGCTGCAAGAATCTCTGGGAGGCAGGACCAAGACCTCCATCATAGCCACCATCTCACCGGGCCATAAGGACATTGAAGAGACTCTTAGCACTCTGGAGTATGCCCACCGAGCCAAGAATATCCAGAACAAGCCTGAAGTCAACCAGAAATTGACGAAGAAAACTGTGCTCAAGGAGTACACCGAGGAGATCGATAAACTCAAGCGGGATCTCATGGCAGCCAGGGACAAGAACGGCATCTACTTGGCCGAGGAAACCTATGGTGAGATGACCATGAAGCTGGATTCGCAAAATCGGGAGCTTAATGAGAAAATGCTGCTGCTGAAGGCACTGAAGGATGAACTGCAAAACAAGGAGAAGATCTTCAGTGAGGTGAGCATGAGTCTTGTGCAGAAAACCCAGGAACTGAAGAAGACCGAGGAGAACCTGATCAACACCAAGGGCTCATTGCTCCTAACCAAGAAAGTCCTCACAAAAACCAAGCGTCGGTATAAAGAAAAGAAACAGATAGTGGCCTCCCATGTGAAAACGGAGGAGGCTCTAACCACTCAGGCTCAAGAGATCCTGGCAGCTGCTGATTTGGCCACCAGTGACACTCAGCAGTTACACGGAACTATAGAGAGACGACGTCACGCAGACGAGAAGATTCGCACCGCTTGCGATCAGTTTAAGGATCGCATGCACGACAACCTGGAGATGATTGGAGGCAGTTTGAATCTCTATATAGAGCAGCAGGCAGCTTCCAAGGAGCATTTGACCGAGGAGCTAAGTAAGTTTGGAGTTTGAATGGCTCTTTATTCCTTTATTTATTTCTGCTTGGATATTTTACAGCCAACTCCAGTAACGTTAGCCAGCGACTCTCGACCAATGCCACTCAGAGCATCGAAGCTCTGAAGGGGATCTGCAGTCAGTCCCTTGAGGATCAGGCCAAGATTCATAAACAACTTATTGCAGACATTTCGCAGAGCTGCGAGCAGCACACCCAGAAATTGGTGGCTCAACTCCTGGAGCAGATGCAGCAGCGTGAGCTGCAGATGAACAGGGACATTCAAACGAATCTCCAGGAACTGGAAGAGAATAATCAGCGCCACAAGGCCATGCTGGACTCCATGCAGGAGAAGTTCTCACAGATTATCGACAATAATGCGCAGTCACTGGAGAAGCACGTACAGCAAGTCCAGAAACAACTGGAGGAGCTAAGTCAAATGAGTGTGCCTGATGCAGAGGAGCTAGAGCAGTTGCAGGCAGAAATTTCCAATGAACGTGCTCTGGCCCAGCAGGAGGCTTCGTTGCTCGAATCTCTTGTTATGCAAATGGAACAAATCAAGGAGCTAAGGGAAAAGAATACCCTTAGCATGTCCATAAGACTCAACAAAATAGAGGAAAGCAGAAAGGCTAGAAACCAGCGCATAGAGGAGACCCAAACGGGCATCAAAGATTACCAGGCAAAGGGTTCCGAAGCCACCAAATCCGCTCAAACGGAACTTGCAAGCCAAATGAACACGGGTATGCTGTGCCTGGATCAGGGCATCTCCAAGTGCTCCATGATGCAAGTACACATGAAGAATCTGGGCCAGGAGCTTGCCAAACAGACCGACGACAATGTTCTAGCGAATCGACAGCAGCAGGAGCAGCTGCAAGGAATCTGCCAGACCAGCGAGAAACAGTTGGAGGAGCTGCAAAGCAAGCAGAAGGTTCAACTGGAGGAGACTGTAACCGCAAGGCAGCAGTTGATAACCGAGGACAGGCAACGGTTCCGCGGACACTCCGCAGTGGCCAGTGACCTGGTTCAGGAGCTGACGCGCCAGACCACTGAACATGCTGCACTGCAGCGCCAGCAGCTACAGATTTGCGAACAGGAGCTAGTTCGCTTCCAGCAGAATGAGCTAAAGACATATGCGCCCACAGGGACTACACCCTCAAAGAGGGACTTTGTTTATCCTCGCAGCTTGGCGGCCACATCGCCGCATCAGGATATTGTGAAGCGTTATCGGCAGGAGCAGGACTGGTCTGATTTGGACACCACCGCAACCATCGATGAGGTAATCTATCTTTGTCTATCCTGTTTATACAGCTTCTAACCTAACTCTACCTTTAGTGCAGCGAGGGTGAGAACGAGGACTCCTTGCAATCCGTTCAGGAGCTATCTGACACCGAAACTATCATGAACTCGACGCCCATTGAGCCCGTTGATAGCATCAACATGAAGCGGGGCTGTGGCACCACCCGAAACTCAAACTCCAATGCCCTGAAGCCACCTGTGGCTGGCACCAAGCGCAGCAGCTCCTTGTCTCGTTCCCTGACGCCCAGAAAGGCATCGCCTCGCAGTTCTCCGGCCATGAACAGGGTAAGTCCAGTGGTTGAATGGCTAATAGCCGTATAAATAATATCTGTTTATGTTTTCGTATTTTCCCATTCAACTCTCGGTAGCACAACAAAGAGAACGTGGCCTGATCGATGCAGTGTTCCCTCCATTAGCCCCGCCGTACTTTGTTTGTCTGGCACTTCTGGATATTCTTCTTTTTTTCTGTGTATTTAAATTTGGAATTTCGTACAATTATTATTTAAATAAACTTAGTCTGCTATGTAAAGTTAAACAAACCTTGAATCTGAGAGTACAGGTCAGTGATGCACCTTGTATGAAGTATGAATATTTAAGATATTAATTCGTTTCTGATTCAATAATGTAAATTTCTTACTTATTTCTCTTAAATATAGTTTTGTTCTCAAATGTGTATCCACCTAAGGATTAATTACTAAGTTTAAAATGTAATGACCCAAAAATAATAGATATTTGTGTTTCTAATCTTCATCCTGATCATCGTCGTCGTCCTTGAGGATTCCCAGACGGCGGGCCACTTCCTTGACATTGGCAATGAATTCCTCCTGGACGAGGTTGAAGCTCATGGCCAGCAAGGCGATACCGAAGAGCAGGTAGAGCGAACAGTAGGCAATGGACTGCTCCGATTCATCCTTGACACCTTTAGCGGGAACAAAGTCTCCAAAGCCTAAGAAGGATCATTAAAATAAAGAATATAATATTGATTTTATTCACTCACCGATAGTAGTCAGGGTGATGAAGCAAAAGTAGGCCGAATCCAGGAAGGACCAGCTCTCCCAATAGGCAAAGAGAGCTGCTCCTCCGAGGATGTAGCTAACAACCAGGAAGACGCACAACCAAATGGGCACAGGACGATCCTTGGGCAGGAGATCGCCGTAGTCGCCATACTCATCTCCATACATAGAGTCGTCGTCATCGTAATCATAGCTAGGACGCCGACGAATTTGTCGTTGGACTGGAAAGCCCATGGGCGACATGATCCGTGGGGAAGGAGGCAAGCGTTCAGCTCGCTCCCTTCTGCGCTCTCGTCTCCTGGGCTCCCGGCTTCTTGAGCGACTGCGTGGCGGAGGATAATCCTCGTAGTGATCTCCGTAAACGGATCCTTCATCGAAACTCTCTTCCACATAATCGTCGTAGCGTCCTTGCGAATGGCCACGCTGATCCCTCCGATGATCCCTGCCGCGCGGTGGAGCGTCGTAGTCTGGAAGCTCCAAATGATTGCCATATCGCGATGTTTGTCTGCCCAGGCTTCCGGCTCTCCTGCCGTTATTCTGGCGATGGGAGTTTTGTGGAGGCGGTTGAGGTGAACGCTCCCTCTCCCTATCCCTATCCCTCTGCCGTTGTCTTTGGTGGGCCGATCTCGGCATGGATTGACTCCTTGGAGCCGACTGCCTTCGATGCCCGTTCCCTCCAAAGTCGTCCATTGCATATCTATTCGGAATAATGGGTGTTTTCCTCACCACATCCTCGTCCACATCTTCGTAGTGCGACGACACATGCCTGGGATCCACCGACTTGGCCCTACTCCTGCCCGGGGCAGAGTGAAGGCGTTGCAGCTCCTTGCTAGCCCTCGAGGAGTCTTGCTTGTGGGGCGAGCGCACTGATCGGACACTATGAGCTCTCTTCGCCGGCGGGGGTACATCGCTAAAGTCCTCGATGGAGCCCGCATCCAAGTGGGATCGCGAGTAGCGCTCCCTCTCCACGGTGTGTCTATCCCTCATCCGGTCGCGCTGCCTCTGCCGGCTGCTGTAGCGATTGGACCGGTTCAGCGTCTGTGTCTCGTACTCATCTCCGTAGATGGTGTGCCTCTGGCGGGGATCATGGTAGGGATTGTGGTGCTGGTGTTGCTGATGCTGCTGGCGACGGTTGCGGCCTCCACTGCTTCTGTGTCCGAACTCCCGATCATCGTATCCCCTTCCCATACGCAGTTCCGGATCGGAGTAGGCATGTCCCATGGAGGGACCCAAGCCAGAGTCATTACCCGATCGCTGGGTCATTTTCATGGAGCGCCGGAAGGAGGGCGGTGGCTGGGAGCGGGCGTGCCGTTGGGAGCGCATAGATCTTTGCCGGGATCGGGCATTCCTGGGACGTTTCGCAGTGCGGGTGCACACATAGCAGCAGATTCTCCAGTAAAGGAAACTGGAATTGGAAAAAAGGTGGGTATATTTTTGATTAATCATACTTAAAAGTGACCTCTAGGGGCTCATTCCCGTGTCAACTCACCGGAATGATGTGGCCATGACATCGCCAATGTTGGACAGACAGATGAGCATCAGTGGAATGCCCACGATGGCGTAGAAAATCGTTGTCACCTTGCCCCAATCCGTGCGCGGCGATATGTGGCCATAACCTGTCCAGAATTTACGAAATTGATCAAGAATAATGAATTACAATGGAGTCTTGAAGGAGAGTCATGGTTGAGGCTTTACCTTCAACCTTCTAACCCCAATGTTCTTGAAATGCTAATGAATCTTAGACCCGAAAAAAAGGCTTAATCTTTGTGTTTGTACTTCTTTTTCAAAAAGCCAAGCCCATTATCGCAAAATAACAGCAAACAATTGCGAACATAAGGTATTTCAAGTCAGCCGCTTTTGGCTTTTACGGAAGTGTGCAAATTTCTATACATTCAACATTAGGTTCTATCTGATGGGAGTACGGTCAGTAAACCCATTTGTGTCTTAGCCAAAAATCCATATCGGGAAATTGGGCAGACAATGAAAAAACAAATGACTAAATTTAAACTCTGAAAATCCAAATGAAAGACTACGTAGTAGAAGCTTGAATGCTCTACTAAGTTGAAAGAACATATTTCCTTCATTGAAAGATAAGTAATTTTAAGAGTTATTTTATAAGCTTAACAAAACCCAAGAGTTATTATTTTTAGTTCAAGCTAGCTCTACATATGTATATAGCACTCTTCTCTTTAGAAGGGTATACTATAAAAAAATCTAGAAATTCCCATCATTAAAATCTAAATCTAAAACCGTCAGAAGTTAATCACGATCGGTCAGTGGCGTTTGACCTTGTTTATAGTATTTGGATGGCAGTAATTCCACTTTCGGTTTCATCCAAACTACACACGCCTGCCCAAAACCAAAATGAACCCATTTTTTCTTTAGAGGTCATCATTCACGTGCCCGCTGCCCATCTAGCTGTGTCCGAATTGGATCTTTGACCTATGCCTTTTGGGAATATTGGTGTTATGGTTTTTGTGGAAATTTTCCCAGTCATGGCATAGGGACATCGATTAATGAACAATTACCAAATGATCGAAACGCATCGGAGATTTATGCGATTGCGACGTGATCGCCAAAATCAACTGGCCGATTCATCCGCTTGCCTCATTGGTTCCTGGGCGGATCACGCTCCTCGGTGGTTGCGCTTCATGAGAATCAACGATACGTGGCCCGTGGTTCCAAGATCCCCGCCAGACATGATGCGTTTTGGGTTGATTCATTGGACGCGAAGTCGCCAAACGAATCCAAACCAATCCAATCCAATCCGAGGCGATCCCCACCTGCGGCTGCCCTCGTCGCTTGACTGCCTTTGTGCGGCGTCATCGTTTTGTATTTCTCATTTATTTTTTGTGGGTCTTTTTTTGTTGTGTTTTTCGATTCTCGTCTGCGGTTATATAAGTAGCGTGTGCCGGTCGCCAATCCGAACTATTCTGTTGCGGGAGCTCGTCGCGACCAAGCGCAAAAAACGGGTCAGTAGTGTGAGATCGAAGAAGACGTTCCCAAATATATATAAAAAAAAACACACAAAGACAAAGTCGGACAATCATGCGAAACAATTGCCTCATCGTTGTGGCATTGTGCCTCCTCGGTTTGGTGGCCGCCAAGTCTTCGGACGATCACTGGGTTTGGAGGTCGTACAATCGACACGAACGCTCCTTTCGGGATATCGATCGCAGGAGCTCGCCCATTCGGAATTCCTACGACAACAAGCTGAGAAGAGAACCCACAACCCGCCGACCTCTACCTGGAGAACCCGAGAACGACGAGATTGAGGACTATGCGGACGTGGAGCCCACCAGGTCGTCGGATACTCCCAATGTGGGCACTCGCCAGTATAATCCCTACGGAGGTCAACCCAATGCCGGACAATTTGGCGGCGTTGGAGGCTATGGTGGCAATCCGGGAGTGTTGGTGGGTCCTGGAGGACCCACTGGTATCATTGGAAGGCCTCAAATCTTCCCCAATCCCTACCAGCCAGGCTATGGAGGATTCTCAGGAGCACAAAATGGCATTGGTGGTTACCCGGGAGTGGGTGGCTATGCTGGCTTTCCTGGAGCCAATGTGGGCACAGGGTACACTGGCTATCCGGGCAATGGACTTGGCCTCAATCAGTTCCCCGGAAACGGGCAGTACCCCTACGGAACCTCCTACCCAGGCAGCGACTTCAATGGTAATCAGTTTGCTGCCGGTGGCCAGTTTCCCGGACTGGGGCAGTACCCGAGTAACCCACAGTTTGGAGGACCGCAGTACACCGAGGGCTATGGATTAGCTGGAGGCTTGGGTCTGGGCCAACTGGGCACTGGAGGCCTAGGCTACGGGCCAGGCGGTGGCTTTGGCTTTGATGAGAAATCTCCAGTAGTGGCAGAGGGAAAAAGTGCCAAGACTGTGGCAGCAGCTCCTCGGAGCGTCAACGATAAGCTCAGCAAGAAGGTCTAAGAGAAGGGACTACTTTCAACCCAAATCTCATCCATTTCCCAACCACCTTCAGATGTAAATAGTCGCCTTAGATTAGAGATTAGGATAGACTAAGCGAATAAATTTCAATGGTTACCCAGTTGTACGTACCTATGGTAGTTATCACTATGATGGAGTAGAATAGTGACCCGGCAAAGGTCCACTGGGACTTCTTGAGATCCTCGTTGCCGTCCCAGCCATGCGCCTTGATGGCCGTGAGGATTTGCTTCTCAAAGTTGGCCAAGTGCTTGCTAACATTGGCCATCCAGTCGCTTTCCCGCAGGACCTCTGCATCATCCGACAGAAGCCATATGTTCTCCGTGAGATTAAAGCGCAGATTTTCAATGCCACGTTTGATCTTTTAAGGATTAGGATATAGTATCTGAATCCTTTCAGATTAGTCTGAACTCACCTCCAGTTCGTGGGGTCGCTCCAGGTGCTGGAAAAGATACGCTCCACCCACGCAATAGGAAACCACGAGAAGCACCAGCAGCACATGTGACACGATGCAGGTGATCACTTTCCACGAGAAGCAGATGGCCGCCACACACCTTCCGCGCTCCGGCTTGGCCGGTTCCAACATGTGTGCCGGCAGAGATTGGGCCCTCCTACCCGACATGGCTGCTTCCTCCTCCTCCTCCGGTGGGCTAATTTACCGCTCGACTGGTCATAAATTGCGAAATTGAAACGAAACTAAATAAAGGACTAGACTTGTGGGAAAACTGTTGGGGTGTCGAGGCTATGAACACTCTTTGATAATGCCAATGAAATGTTTTGATTAATGGAATATTGAATATTATATATACTTATATGTTTCTTCAGAGAGTATTTCATATTTTATAGATATTTTATAGTTATTTTTTTTGTAATTTTTTTAAATTTATGAGACACTGGAATTCAAATATATTTTTAAAAGCTTGGGCTTGGTTGGAAACTTGTTGGTAATGGCAGCTATTTTATTCTAAAACTTTGTTAAGAACCAAAACTATCATTTAAAATGAAATCTATAATCCATTCCAATCCATTTGGTAAACAATTTCTTTATAGAAACATTTAAGGAACTCTGATTATCATAATTATTTCATTGCCATAAACCCAATCAATTTATAGACTCTGGATTGTTTCCCTTAGTGATCTACAAAGGAGCTCCAAGATTACAGGTAAACCGAAAACACAGGTCTGCCACACACATGTTTATTTGTCCAAATATTTATTTATTTGGGTTGCTGGGGCAAGGCCGAAGAACCGAGGGGAATGGGTATCGGAATGGGAATGGGATTAGGATTGGGGAATGGTGAGGTAGACACGGAAAGACTCCATGGAACTATTTCGGTACCGGCTGCTGCACGACGGGGCATTCATCTCGTCGTCAATCGGACGCCGCAGACTCGTGCCACGCCTGTCGAGAACTCTTTTGGGATTTTTTTTTTTTTGTATTTTTTGTTTTTACTTATAGACACCGACTACATAACATGTCCGAGCAATTATGAACTTCGATTTCACTTGGGCAATTAGTTTTGCTAATTTATGAGCCCCCCATTGGGTATGGTAGTGCTCCTAATGATGATAATTACCGATCTAGGATCGCTATCTGATTGGCACTGGGCGGAAAACACTTTTCAGATTTCCAATTTAAGATCCATGCCGGAACGTTCTCTATCCCCGATCGAATTTTTGGATCCGTACAATGAACCGACGCACCGATCCGTACGACCCACAAACGCTAACTGAGGAGAGCCAATGGAATGGACTTTCCTCGGATCTCTCGGATTGTTTTATTTTTGGTCATACTCGAAGTTCTCTTGTTTTCCGAGTCGTCTAGTTTTTCCAAAATTTTTTCTTCAAATCACTCTTGCCTTATTTTGTTCTGTTCTCAAGTGTTTATGTGAACACGATTCTCTTTAAAATTATTTCCCTTCTTTAATATGGTGGTTTTAAAAATTAATAATTTATTTAAATTTTTGTACAATCAATCAAGAAAAATCTTGGCCAAATCCTTTGTTCTATTAATGCTTTTATCTCTGAGCTTATCAAATCAATAACTCCCGGGTTCTTGAGTTCCTACACCTTTAGAGTGATAAGAGTTCCAGGTGAGACTATTTATAGGTCCCAATGGCCTTAGTCAACATTCAGTTGCCGGAAAGAGCCCTGCAGTCCAAAAAGACTCTCGAAGTCGACAGGTTTGCCAACCCGAAGGCGTTCATCGGTTCCGTAGTTCTTCTCCTCCTCCCAGTAGTTTCTGTAGGCCAGAATTCGTTGTTCCCACTCCTTAAGTAGTTCCGGAATGGATCCATTCTCCCCGCCATATTCCACCGGCAAATACTGTTTGGGGATTTGTTCGTAAAGTGCTTCCCATTTGGTTCCATGGACGTATAACTACGGGGGTTACAAGGATATATGTGAGATGAAATGAATTTAAGTTAAGGGGATATAGGACCTACCCTGCCCTGCTGCTTTTTGGACATCATAGGCTTGACCATATTGAAGATAGTTTCAAAACCATTCGGCGTGTTTATGAAATGAATTCCTTGGGGTCTCAATGGCAGAGCCTCCTCCTGGAAAACCGTCATCTTCTTGGCAAAGGTGGGAGTCATCTGCAGGAAGTGTCCTGTGGTCACATTGGACAGATCGAGAATGGAGATCATGCCATTAACAATGGCCACATCATCCTCGTCGAGCATTATTTGCTGCATTAGACTGCCAGCGACATTTACTTCCTGGAAGGTGTACTTGTTGGGATCATAGGCTGCCATTCGAATTAAAGCCAAACGTGGGCCATTATCGTTCAGTGGACGTGGCAACAGAACAATGGAACTGAATGGCAATAAAAAAATAAAACAAGTTACTTAGTTTCAAAAAGATAATCCCACAAAACTCACCCCAATCGGAAAATCTCAAGCAGCTTGTCCACGTCAACATTGTGACCCCCATAGAACTCGGGATACTTTGTGCGCAGGGTGTAGAAACGATCGATCTTTGATTTCGTCCTCTCCAAACTGAATTTACATCCTCGAAGGAAGTTCACCAGGAACTGATCATCGGTACGAGCCTTAAGGTGGGGCTGCTGCTTAATCCAAGTCCTCAGAGCCGCAATATCGTCGTCCAATCTCTCGGGCACTTCGTTTAAAATTTTAATCGCATTCTCCTGGAGCTCCGGGCTCAGTGGTCGGATGGATGGCATTTTGTTTGGGTTTCCTTGATGGTCACGGAACGAATGTCGCTTATTGACCCGTTCCCACCAACTAAATCGATTAGATATCGTTTGAGGGCTGATAAAGCAAATGGCAAAGCAATTCTTATCAATCGCATTTATGATAGCCTATTAGCAAGCAAATTCTTACACTTGCCATTAAATTTGAGACTATTTTGGAAGTAAACTGTTTTTAAGTATTTTAAAGTAAAAAGGTCCTGCCAATCCAGAATTGGCCAATAAAATCATCTTATCATGACTGAAACTCCGCCTATTCGTGTCAGATTAAAGAGTCTTATACCTTCCAGTTTTAGGTACTTCGAATATTATCTTTTGGAATAAGGATGTATTCTTGATGGGTTTAATGTTCATAACTCGACTAATATTTGGCAGATCCAGAAAAGGTATACCTTACCGATCTTAGATCTTTGAGTAGCATAAATTTTAATCAAAATCTGGCAATATAATTTTTTACCATTTTTTGGAAAATTTTCCAAGGGGTAAGTAATATCATGATTTTAGCCAAAAATTTGACAAAATTTTTTTTTTTTGATTTTTTCAATATTTTAATAGAGATCTAAGCAGATTAGAACGCCGATTCGTAATTGGTATTCCGTTTGTCGATCGGTTGCGAAAGAACTAAAATATGCTATAAAAAGTGAATCAAAATTAAATATTTTTGCAAAAAAAAAAAAATAGAAGACTTGGTTCCAATTTTTGAAATTTCGTGATGAAAAAATATGCATAACTTGGCCAATACTGGGCAGATTCAGAAATGTTATACCTTCCCGGTCTCAGAACTTCATGTACTACCATTCTGCATCAAAACCTTGCAAATAAATTTTTGACCCATTTTTTGAAATTTTTCCAAGGGGTAACACCATGATTTTTTCCAAAAATCCATAAGATTTTAAATTTGCATATTTTGATGCAGATTGAGAGGGATTTAAGTCCTGATTCATAATTGTTAGTTGGATTTCTATTTGGTAAACTAGTTCTTTAGATATTCGTAAAATTGTGTATTAAAAGTGCTTTTTTTTGGGCCATTATTTGAGTATTAATCAAGAGCTGATAACCATACATTAAAATAATCAGAAAACTCTTATCGTAAAATATTTATTTTTGCTGTCTAGCTGGGAAAAGTTTCCAGTATTTTTTTAATACATTTCACTTATAGTTTTAGTCGATCACCAACTGCCGAAATGAGCCATCCAAGCCGAAGTGACTCTCCTCATGCTTGAAAAGCTCGGGTTCCTCACGTAACTTCTCGTTTGTGCCAAAGTGCTGGCTCTCCTCAAAATATTCCTTATAGCTCGATATCTTGGCTTCCATAGAGGAGATTATATCCTGCATAGTGCCCTTAGTGCCACCATACTCCTTGGGAAGATAATGCTTTGGGACCCGCTCGAAAATGGCCTCTGGATCAGAGCTTACAGAAACCTAATAAAATATGGTTGAGAAAGGCTAAGACTTGTAATATTAGTAGCTTACTCTTTCTTTAATTTTTCCTGGAAACCAGCCCAACAAGGACTTGAAACCCACTTCGAAGGCTTTGGGAACGTTGATGAAATGGAAGCCCTTCTGACGGGTGGGCATCGCCTCATCGGCATAGGCCGAAAATTTGCTAAGGAGCTGCGGCTGCAGGGAAAATAGATTCGCACCGGTCACTCCTGTCATGTCCATGATCTCCAGGTAACCACTGACCGTGGCATTGTCGTCCTCCATCATCATAATTTCGCCAAACATGGAGCCCACCCGTATGATGTCCTGGAACTTGAATTTGTTAAGATCATAGGCTCCAGCGCGTATGATGGTGACAGCAGGTCCTGTGTCATCCTTGTCCAAGGGAACTCGTAGTATCACACTGCGGGATACATAATGGGTTAGAATCTTAATCAGGTCTTAAGAAGTATTACCAACCCCATTCGGATAATTTCCAGAACTTGAGGATCATCTGCCAGACGGTGCTCGTTGAAAACCTCAGGGATGGCCTTTTGCAAACTGTAGAACCTGTCGATTTTTTGCTTGGCCTTTTCCAGACTAAACTTTGAGCCTCGCAGGAAACTCAACAGGAACTGAGTATCCTTACAGGAGCACAGATGTGGCTGCTTTTCAAGCCATTCTCTTAGGGCAGCTACATCCGATTCTATGCGACTGGGCACCTCGTTTAGCTCCTCGATGGCCACCTTTTGCAAACCCTCCGGCAAGGGGCGAATGGAGTTCTGGGAATAGCTACTGATCATGCTGGCTGGACAATCAGTTGCAGACTAACATGGATTACTTAATGTCGCCAATGCACTTCCAACTGGCCAAGTACTATAATTATATTCAAACGAAAAGGCGATAAGATCCGACTAATCTGGGTAGCGATTAGGAAAGTCTGGCCAAGAGTGAATAAGCCGAGAAAACATATGTACTTCTACTTGATTTTTTTTATAAGAAATTATGAATATTTTTTTTATTTATTATACTATCTACCCTAAGCTCAAAGACATTGCCCCATAAGTGGGTTAGAATAAAGTTCTTATCTTTTCAAACTCGTAAGTCAACTATATTCTGATAGAGCCACTACCACAAAAATATTGAATCATACTTCTAGTATATATATGTATAAACTTTATTCAAAAGAAAAATGATATAGAAACAAAAATACTTTAAAATCTAAGTCTTATCGGCTAAGATACCCGGTTGAAGCTGCCACCGTAACTAATCTAAATTGAGATATTACATAAAATATATATCCGTACTAAAAATAAAAAAAATAACTCGATTAACTGGAATGATTTCTTCTATAAATACGCTGATCTGATGGGCTAAACGGTAACCTAAGATTGGATTTGCTATTGCACAGGATTTGGAGTTGAAGAGATTCTGGATTTCAGTAGAGGCCCGATGGCAGGTCCGTCACCTTGGACATGGATCCTTGGGTGTACGAGCGAGTACGTGCCGTGGGTCCTTTTCCCATATTGCCACTGGGATATCCTGGGGTGTCGTGGTGCATGGTTCGCATGGCCGGGTTGCTGGTGAAGTAGATTTGCTGATTGCTTCGCGACTTCTCCCGCGGGGAGTCATTGAGGGCTTCGTGGGACGAGGCGAAGGCCGCCTCCAGACGCTCCACATTCTTGGTCACACGCCGTGCCTGCAGGGCAGCCGTGATATCCGGCTTGGGATACTTCTGCGGGGTATTCATGCCCGTCATGAAGAACACGCCATTGAATTGCTGGGCAGGCGGCGTGGGCGGCGGCGGAGCTGGTGCCTTGACCTTGACGGGATGATGGTGGTGGGAAACGGAGACCTGAGGCGCAGCCTGGACCGGTTCCTGGATACTCTTCCGAAGGGCTTGCATGGTAGGATCATGTTCGTCATGTCTGGCATTCATGATCACGTCCAGGAGCTCCCGGTTGGTGCTGGCATTGTAGGCCGTCGCGGCGGCAGTCGCCTCCGGCATGTCCGGCGTGGGAGACTCCATCTGGTAGGCGGATGGCTGGTCTGTTTCGGGGGCATCGTAGTCAACCTCGTCGAAGAAGGTCTGCATGGCGGCCAGGCGCTCGGCGGCATCGGGATCTCCGGGCTGATGAAGGACCATACCGTACTCCGAGCCATCCTGCTCCGAGCAGTCAGTTCGCGGCATCAAGTGGGCCAGGGATCGGGCCTTCCTCGGCGGTTGGGGAACTATGTTCACCGGGACTATGTCCTCCTCGACGGCAGGTCTATGCTGGCGTATCCTGATCCTGGAGGTACTGCCCGCCTGGCTGCTGATCTGTTTCTCCGCTTCGCTCACAATGTTGTCCAACTCCTCGATCACGTCCTCGATGGTGGCCGCATCGTCATCATCATCAGCCGGTGCCACCTTTCTGGACTGTTTCTTGGCCTTGGAGGGCAGGACGAGTATTGGCACTGGACTTAGGGAGGCACCAGTTTCCGAACTGCTGATGCCCTCATCTTCGTGCTCTGAGCTATGTTTTCCTTTCTTCGTGGCCGGCGTGACTTGACGGGGCAAGGCAACTGGCTGGTGAGAGGACTCCTTGAATTTGGAGTCCTGCTGGGCTCCCTGCAGGCGGAAGATCTCACGCTGCAACTCGGCACACCGCTCCTGTAGCCTCCGCTCCATGGAGGTGAGGACGGCCTTTTCCTCGTGCAGGATCTGGACTCTTCTCTCCAAGATCACCATTTGGCTGCGCACTCGATCCGCATCTCTGGCCTGGGCCATCATCTTGTCCACGTCGATGTGCAGTTCATTGAACCGCTTCACCTCCGCCTTCAGGGCATCTAGCCAGGGCGAGGAGGAGGAGATGGTGCGCGCCAAGGTGCTAGGGTCCAGACCCGCCTGGAAGAGCTCCGCCTGGATGTACAAACGTTGCTGGATGCTGGCTGCACTCTCAATGAAGGTATTGAGAAATCTGTTTGGAGGCAAATCTTTAATAACTTTTCAGAGATTGAAGAAAGTGTGATACCCACTTGACACCCGCACACTGTAGCTCTCCGGATCCGCCACCGCTGTTGAGGATGCCAACGAGTAGCCGGAACCGCACTGGTTCACTGCATCTCAGTCGCAACGTGGACATGGCCTCTGAGACGGCCGTGTGCCCAGAGTTGGCCACCTGATCGCCACCGCCACTGTTGGCAAAGGGCTGGCGATCGCAGGCGGAGGCCAGCAGCTGAAGGGCTAGAATTCGACCCCTAATGCCCTGGCCCGTGGCCGAGGAAGCCAGTGGCATGAGACCCACGGGTGTGTTCCCCAAGCGGGCAATGGCATCCAGAGATCGGGAGCAGCAGATACTCAGGCACTGCAGGCAGGAAAGCTCATCCAGCAGGGCTCGACGCTGGTAGCTCTGGGGATTCCTGGTCATGGCCAAGGAGTTGCTGGTTCCCGACATGGGTCCAGGAGCATTGCTGGCCTGGGCCATTTGTATGGCTCGCAGGACCTCCAGCAAGTGGCTTATACCATCCGAAGGTGTGGCCACAAACTCCTGGACAAAGCTAAAGGAGAGATAAGAAAGGCTTGTAAAAGATGTTGGGGTGTTGGGACTTAATATCCTACCTGGGAAAAGCCGTTCGAAGATCGGCTCTCAGCTTGGTTAGTAAGTCTGTTATGGAGCCAAACTGTCGCAGGGACATTTCTCGATCATTCTCTGGCGGGGCAGGAATGGGAGATCTGCAAGGAAAGTATACACATTATAGGATATGGGATGCATATAATGATCCTCTTAATCCTCACTTGTACTCCGAGTGCTTGGCTGGCAAAGTGGCCGACCTGGCGGCCTCTTCTTTGGCAGTTATACTAATGCCGACATCGTAGATGGATTGTTTTTTGGAGGAGCTGCTGCCCTTGGTGAACTTCTTCAGAGAGTAGACATAATCCTCCGGATTGTAGACAGGTGGTCGTTGGTTTTCCTAATAAATTATTCAATTAGTTTTAGTTTTTATTAGGAGGGAGGGTTTTAGGACTCTTACTAACCTTACTGTAGGAAGCAGCCTGAGGCCAGCTCTGTTCAGATCCACCTATCTTGTAGGAGGCCAGAGATCCATTGACGCTACTGGCACCGCACTTGTTCGATCCGGAGGTACTGGACGCTCCACCTGTTTTGATCGTCTGGGTAGCCGTGGCCGATGCCGGCTTACTCGCCTTCTCGCACACACTGGGCGCCATCTGGAGGTGGCTTGGATGTGGCTGTGGATGTGGATGTGGATGTGGTCGTGGAGCTGGACGGTGGTGGGGACGTTGCAGAGTGGAGCTGTCGCTGCGTTAATTGGAAATGGAGGAAAACCCAATCGGGTGGAGTCAATTAATGTACGTGCTTGACATGGGAGAACTCGAATTTGCATTCGGTTATAAATAAATAAATGGCCTGGACATGGTAGTCGGTGCAGTTTGGTAACGCACCGGAAAAACAAGACGTTGAGTTTATTGAACATTTTTCAAATGAATTTCCAGGCTTATCTGGCGGCGGAGTGGTGTCTGGACAGGTGCGTTTATTTTTTATTATTTGGATATTTCTTGGATATCCGCTGTCAACGACACTCCGATTGAGACAAGGTGTCACGGTGGCATGTGGGCTGTGGCAGCGCGAATGCGATTTTGACAGTCTCCGAACGATCTCTGATTTGTTATTTAATTTTGACCAGTCGAGTGCGTAAACAGAAATGGAAATGAAAATGGAAAATTTGCATTTTAATGTGCTACTAGTAGAAATAAAGGCACTTTCACTCAAGCCGTCCGACCGATCATCTCCAACATCGGTTCCAGTTCAATCTCCATTTCATTTCCATTTCTTCAAAGAGTAGTATAGTCTTGAGACCAAAGACCCGTCAGTACCGTTAAGATACAATGAGGGGGCTAACGGTTCATTTGGTATAAACAACATACATACAAACATATATGCAAATGACACTTATGACGTGCCACACAAAAAAAAAAAAAAATGAAGTTGGCTGAGTCAATGAAGTCCATGGCCCACCTCGTATCAATCGTCCAATCAGTCACGTACCGCAGATGCTCAGGCATTTTATTCTTTTTGTTTTTATTTGATTTTTTTGTTGTTTTTGATCAGGTGGTGTACCCCCATCGAAGTTGCATAGCCTCTGGTAATAGTATATATGGTATATGAGCGATATGAATGGGGCTGAGCACTGGTTCCCACAGCAGCCAAAACACTTCGATCAATGTCAGTCAGGAGAAACTCAACACCATCGCCACCGAGCCACCGAGCTGGTGTTGAAAGATCAGGAGGCGGGGTATCTGCATAAATCAATTTGTGAGACAGAAATTGGAAACATGGAGCATGGAGCAATGTCTGCTCCAAAAACCAAAACTGGAATTGATAAGCCAGCGAGTGGCTGTCGAAGACTGCACTCCAACAGATGAAATGAGTGTCTTTAAAAGAAATGATAACACTAAGTGAAATTATTAACTCGGATTTTCTATAAGCATCTTGTTTTTTTTTTTTATTAATTCCAGGTCGGAGTCCTTTAGAAGCACTCATCAATAGACGGCAACCATCCGCTGCAGTAGTGCCAGACGGACCAGGCTCCCCATCCCTGCTGGCTGAGGACCTTCTGGGCGCAACGGACGGAGTTGGTGATGTCGTCGGAGAGAAGGTCATTGCAGCTCAGGCCGCACTCGTTGTAGGAGAAACGTCCCTCGGGCTGGCACCAGTACAGATCGTTGATCTGGAAGATACCGTAGTCGTTGGAGCCGTCGGAGTTGGCCGGGCCGACCACCCAGGTGCGGTAGTCGCTCTCGTGCTGGGCAATGCAGGTCCACTTGTCCAGCTGGTCACGGGGAACGCCCAGGTTGGACATCTCCCTGGCGAGGGAGCAGCGGTCCAGGGTGCGTCCGGCGAGAGCTGGAGCGGCACAGGCCAGAGCGAAGAGAACGATGAATGCCTTCATGTTGATTCCTTAAACTGTTTAAAGAACTGTTTGGCCAGCTGTGGTTCTGACCAGGCTATTTATGGAGGAATCGGACACTCCACATTCTGCGGCTATCAACCCTTGAATTCAAAGTGCTTAGAGATAGAAATCCAATTAAAAGGCACCAGCCGGCGGATTTAAATATTTCATTCAAAAGAAAAATAACATAAAAAATGGAACCAAAACAACTTTATCAGCTCAACGGGTACATCTAAAGGTACCATCTCAAAAAATAAAAAAGAACACTACTTAACTTTGGGAAAGCATAGTTTTAGGCCAAAAAATAAAAGCCAGAGCTGGCCGAGCTTTTGGACGAGATAAGCCAGGCCAAATCGGCTTATCAACTACCTTGACAATCGAGTGCTAAATGAAGATTTCGTCATTGTTTGGATTGTTTTGGCTCCGGAGCTGAAGTTCATTGAATCGAGGAGAAAGGTGTAGAGACCTCGACGCGCCCTCCAGCTGATTAGCATAATTGCTGTTATATCAACAATGACGTTGCTTTGAATTGGCTTAGAAGGGGATCATTGTTCGGCTGGAGTAGCCCAAAACCAACCTATAGAGTAGGCATTTTGGGCACTCTACCCCACCTAGATGGAGCAGGGGAACCGCCCAAGTGGTAATCCAGATGATTAATCACACTGTCGGCCATAAAACCAGAGACCACAACTGGGGGCTAATAGCTGCAGTCAAGTGGAGCTGTTTCGCCATTAAAGCCCCGGCTTCACTTCAAAGTCGGACATTAAACTTGGGCCCGTGCAAAAGATGGGAATTTGTCTGGGCCGATGAAAGAAAGAGCACGGCTTGTATTGCAATTTTCAGACTCGAATGCCTCGAATGCCGCACAATGAATAACTATGAATAATTTGGATCAACATGCAACCCCACCCGAGTTGCGTGAACAGAAAAATACGTACAGTAGTAGGTATAGTTGTAGGCATTGTCTTTGTTAAAAAAAAATAAAAAATATTTCGAATGTCTGCTGTTTGGAATGGAGGAGACTCACTCCATCTGCTATAACCAGCTTCATATCTTACGCACCAACCTAATCGTATTGGATTATATCAATGGGTGTTTTGAGTGCCGGCTGTTTTCTATATTTGGTCAAGACAAGATTCCTTATTTTTTTGGGGGTACTTCAGTAATGTAACTTATGGATTGAAGATCTTTGTTGGCAGATTAGCAGACATCAAATAAATGATTAAGAATTAATCTTAAAAAGAGCAAAAGAATTGTATAAATAATGTAATGTCTGATGATTTTGTTTATCATTGTAATAAGCCATGTTTTAATTTCCGCTTTTTGTGGAGAAACAATGGATACAATTACATCTTTTAATTGAAAACAAATCGATGCAAAAATATAGCAATATTGTAGTAGAATTCATTATTTGTAGCTCTAATTATGAGTAAACATTGCTTATTTATTGACTCAGTTGTGCCTTGACACTGGACTGTCTTCTGAAACCTATAAATATTCTGAAAAAGTAGTGCCCACCATCAGATGATATTTTTGCAATCATGAAGGCTGTTATGGTGATTTGTGTCTTATCGGTGGTAGTGTCCTCCATTCAGGCCCGCACCTTGGATAGGTGTACTCTGGCCCGGGAAATGTCCGCTCTGGGGGTGCCCCGAGATCAATTAGACAAGTGGACGTGCATTGCCCAGCACGAGAGCTCCTTCCGCACCAGCGTGGTGGGTCCAGCCAACTCCAATGGATCCAACGACTACGGCATCTTCCAGATTAACAACAAGTACTGGTGCCAGCCGGCTGATGGAAGATTCTCCTACAACGAGTGCAAGCTGAGTTGCAATGACTTGCTGACGGACAACATTAGCAACTCGGTGAAGTGTGCCCAGAAGATTCAGCGGCAGCAGGGCTGGACGGCCTGGTCCACTTGGAAGTACTGCAGCGGATCCCTGCCCTCGATCAGTAGCTGCTTTTAGAGTCCGAACCGAACAAAGTATTAACTGAATAAATAATACATAAATGAGAGGATTGTGCAACCAGTCATAAGCTTTTCTCTTAATGTCGGACAACTGTTGTGGCAGTAAGACGAGAGCCTTTTAGGCCGCTAAAAGTGAAATTTTATATAATGGCCCCCACACATAACAGAGTCATTATGACAGTTGGCCTGGCCAAAGCAAATGAAATCTATTAGCGACTAAGTGGAGCTTCAATCTTGTCCAGCCACATGGACGGCTGAAACAAGTTAATTTAATTTCCAAGCATAAAACAAATTACGTATGAAAACCCGCCGTTATCATGGCTTTTATACACAAATCTCTCTGTTTGTAAATGTTGCTACTTTGTGGCAAGTGGCAACGGACTTTGTCGCGAGTCTGATGATCGAAAACAATTTCGATTCAATTACATCTATGGCAGTCCACGGGGACATGATGTAGGTCTATGGGATTGCCATTTGGGGCTAATCGCCGGCGATCAACTTTGCCATTTAGAGTTCGCCAAATGGCGAAGACAACAACGAGTCGTTTCAATTTGTTCAGCCGTTGTTGTGGTATTATTCTCAAGGGTGTCCGTGCGGGTTGAATGATCCATCGATCATGGCTAGTGATGGATGTACTAAATCGCATCTAATTCCATTTGAAAAATTACTATGAATTTGGTCAACTTTCTCGCAACCAAATCCTCATTTAAATTACAATCAAACAGATAGTTCTTTCCCAAAAAAAAAAAGCCATTTCGGACAGCTCATAAAAGTGGCTAGATGGAAGATGAAAATGGGAAAAAGTTTCTTTTCGTGTTAAGACGACACCTTGCCAAATTATTTCTAGTTGGTGTTACACAAGCTCTACACTGTAAAAAAAAGGGTGGTAATAAAAAAACTTTCAAGAGGTCTTCGAAGAGGTTTATGTTAAGATTTATTTGGTTTTTAGTGGCCTTTGTTGAACTGTTATTATATAGTTGTTTTTACAAGAAAACCCCTACTCTTTTTTTATCTGCATTTGAAAATCCACCACAACAAGCTGGGATTCGGATGTGGGATTTGCATTTGTGTGGCATTTGCTGACGATGATGCCAGAGATTAAGTCACCGTCGACAGGCCGACATGGAAAAGTTCTCATGACAGTTCCATTTCTTTAGCCCATTTGCATTTGTATTGCCTGTTTGGCTGGGGCTTTACCTTTTCGCCATTTGTCTTTGGAATACATATTTTTACTCGCACCCCACGACTCCCCGACTCACTCCATGGAGATAAAACTATTAGGAGAATTTAGCAACCGACAAAGCCCCAGAGAAATGTGGCCACTTTTCAGAGCTGTCAGAGATCTTGGCTCAGAGATTCCTACATTTTCCCAAAGCTGTCAGCTCCCTTGAGATATCACCTATCCCCGACTTTTGTCATCTTTTCTTTATACAAAGATACACTCTTTTTTTGTTGTTTTTTGATTGTCGACTGACTGACTGTCGGGACTGTCATGGTCTATGGCGTTGCGCTTGACTCCAAATTAAAATGGTTTTCTTCGGGGCCTTTTGGGGAAAGATTTTCCAACGCTCATTAGAGTTTTCACTGGGATTTGGCGGCCAGAGATTGCAGGGCAGCAGCCCGCGCGAGGTTATATATCAGCAGACCCCCAGCTGTCAAATAATATAATTAGGGTTTATGTTGTTGAAACTATATCTTAGCGGGGCGTGTTCCAAGTCACTCCGGGTCTCTCAAGCTTGCCTTTTGACACAGTTGTCTCGAAAATACAAGAAAAACCTTTTGAAGAGAAATGTTTGTAATTTGTGAGCTGAATTTAAATTTGTGGCAGGTAATTGATGCCGAAAGTAGCACTAGTGTCACTACGTCGCAGTTCGTCTGCCATGGACAATGGCAGCTGAAGATCATGTTTAGTTAACCGGGCGGAAAAAGTCACTCCGTAATGCGATCATTTCCAGAATCCCAATTGTGCAAGATCACCGCGAAATGAGCATACGCAACTGCGAATACTCACCAGATCCATCTTGGCTTTCTTTCTTTAGTAATTGGATCCTTTTAGTTAAGTTATATAACCTGTCAGAACTTTCCAGACCAGGTCTCTTCGCCACGCACTGTTGAATCCGCTAACTGAGGAAGCCAACTGCGACTGCCCCGAGATCTAGACTTTGTTCATTTTGTTTTTATTTTAATGTCTTATTTAATTTTTTTTTTGAAGAGTCTCAAGGAACGTGAGCTGATAAAAGGGGGGGTTCACTTTAACGAAGATACCGGCTATCGGACAAGGCAACTTGTACAGAATTCAGAGGCATCGGTTCCGTGTCTATATTCCAAGTGGAGAATCGTCTACAGATATGTCCAGTAAAGAGGCACCCCTGATAATTTAATTACTTCCTCTTATCTGAATGAAAATCAATTTAAGTTTTGAATATTCCAGTTTTTGTAGTTTTGTAACTAGTTTCGCTTTAATAGACTTCTGCAGAACTTTCAAATATTCCCTAATTTCGGATTCAGTTAGAGAATAGTATCTGGATTCACACATAGGTACTCTGTAATTATAATGCCTTTTCCGCCAAACTTAATTCTCCAGTAACCTGTTTCCCAGTTCCTTCTAACCAAGTCAAGTACTCCTCCCCAGACCTCAGACCAATTAGATGGGCCACAAACCAAGTGTAAACCCCAACTTGGAGCGGTATTGTTATCTCTGGACCATCATAACTTAACGCTAGAGTGACTTCCAGTTGTCTTAGTCGTGGCCTGACCCACGCAATGTCGCTCCAGAGGGCGCCGAACCTCAACCTCGGGGGCAATTACTTATGCATTTTCATTCCCTCGCCCGTACTTGTGCTAATGTGTTCAGATTATAGGAAACACTCGGGCCACAGGCACTACTAACCGCTCTCCTCTGGCCACTCGACGGACCCCTCTTTTCCTGGGAATGGTATAATTTTCCGGTCTTTGATTTCCTGCTTTGTTTTAGCCTGTTCCTCCGACGATCTATCTTGTACTTGGTCTATGTGCTTCCACTTCCTTCAGACTCAGACTGAGCTTTAGACCAAGGCTCAGAGCTCTGAGTTCCCGTTCCAAGATCGTTCGTTTATCACCAGCTAGTTGGGTAATTTATTGCCCACTGCGTTACCCGCATTAAGAATTTATTGACCAGTCCATCTCAGAGTCATTGGCCTGGGCCGAGTGGAAGGGAAACTGTGCTTGACTCTTCCCTGCCACTTGCCACTTGCCAGTTGCCAGTCTTTCTTCAATTTTTCATTATTTTTCCATTTAGAAAGTGTGTGGAGAAAGACAATTACCACAGATTCTTTGGAGCTCGTAAAGAACAAGGGAATTGTAATTGTTAGTTGCTCAAAGGGGAGACCTGAAAAGTTACTCATACAGGCAGAGACGAGAAGGCAGTAGTTTTGTGAATACTTTTTATTGGTCATGAAAAAAAGTCTGGCCCATAAGGAAATTATCACGCACACGCCTGAAGATAAACATCTCCTATTTGATTATTGGATTCCGAGGGGGAGAACCGAAGTCACCCCACAAAAAGTTTGGGTACAGAATGTGCATAAAAACTTTATAGTACAGATGGTAAAATAATTGTATTTAATAAAGTCCATGATAGATTGGAATAACCCCCAGTTTCAGAAGCCTAAACTATCTTTAGCTTAAACCTCTATAACATCACAACCAGGAACAAGATCCACTCTGAATGATGAGCCAAAAATCCAAGCAAACCAAAGATTTAAAAAAAGAGGTTTATGTTCGAGATATTGATAAGATAAATAAGGAGTACTTCAAGAACTCTTAACTTCTATAATCAACACAAGTTTGAAGGGGATTTTTCGCAGAGGTATGCTACCAAATCGATTATGCGTAGGGCCGTCTAATAGATATGATAAGACTATGATTTTTGGCTATAAAAGCACAGGCTTTTCCTCCAACCAACAACAGTTTCTGAAAATTACCAACATGAAGACCTTCATCGTTCTGATTGCCCTGGCTCTTGCCGCTCCCGCCTTCGGTCGCACCTTCGACCGCTGCTCCCTGGCCAAGGAGATGTCCGCTTTGGGCGTCCCCCGCGACCAGCTGGCCCGCTGGACCTGCATTGCCGAGCACGAGAGTGGCTACCGCACTCACGTGGTGGGAGCCACCAACTCCAACGGCTCCAACGACTACGGCATCTTCCAGATCAACAACTACTACTGGTGTGCTCCCCCCAGCGGTCGCTTCTCCTACAACGAGTGCGGCCTGAGCTGCAACGCCCTCCTCACCGACGACATCACTCACTCCGTCCGTTGCGCCCAGAAGGTCCTCAGCCAGCAGGGCTGGTCTGCCTGGTCCACCTGGCACTTCTGCAGCGGCTCCCTGCCCTCCATCGACAGCTGCTTCTAAGCTCCGCCGCACCGACTTGAAATAAAGACTCTTGCAAAGAATAATTGCCGTGTTGATCAGGGGGGGGGACTTGCACTTTCTCTCCGCCAAGAGTCGAGCAACCGAATCGCAATTGACACCTCAAGGCAATGAGATTCCAATCGACAATGATCCCTCATCATTCGTGCAAAATTTGTTTCGTGGACGCCCCAGGCTCTTGGCAATTTCTATAATCGTTATGACATTACTTCTTTTGGGATTTTGCAGTTGTCTCCTCGAGTATTTGATACGGAAGTCGCATGAGGGGCTTTGAGCCTTTTTCAATTTAAATTTAAACTTAAAGACATTGTGGCGTTCTGCGCTGAAAAGCCACCAGTCCGACTGGTTTGGGGACACAGCCTGCGCCGCAGACAAGTCCAAGTCCAATGGAATTATAATGATTATGCCGAGGCGGAGTTACTTTTTGGCTTTGACCCGCTGTTACCTGGAGCCCCAAGTTTACTTTCTACTGGAAAAAGTTGCAAAAACAAAACAGACTAACTAATTTTATAGTCATTCGATGTTTTTATCTTTGTTTGTTTTAACAATTCTTTATTTTTTGCGCATATATTGACTTCTTTTGAAGAAGAGCGAAAAATTAGATTCTTTTTAGCGAATTAGAAAGTGATTCAGCCCAGTCTTCAGTCTTGAGGCTTAGATTTAAATGCGAAACTATCTTTAGAAACATAATTTCATTTTTATGGTGTAACGGATAGCATCTTTTTCTATAGATGGAATTTTACGAAGTGGAATGCTTTTGACTAAGTTTAGAGTAACTCTTTGTAAAGCTATTTTGTTCAAGTTTAAAATTCCTTTATAAATATCTAAGATGATTTAGAGTTTTGGAAAGTGAGTGATTTATATTAGACTTTAACTTAAGTCTAATATGCAGATTCTATTCCTCAAGGAGAAACTAACATAATTTTAATCTACAAACTTAATCTTTCCTGAGCGAAAGTCTCAAATCTGAAGCTTAAACTTAAGTCTAATATGCAGATTCTATTCCTCAAGGAGAAAGTTTTAAAAAATAAATCACTAACTAGGATAAGCTATAAATCCTCTTAAGTAAAACTTCTAAAAAGACTCCTCCTTACAAAGCAGACTAGATCACATTCCCTTCTTTCCAAAAATTTAAAGATCCTTTCAGAGAAATTTTTCATGCAATCATTTTATTTTCAGGGTCGGAATCAGGCTTAGAAGCAGTCATCGATGGACGGCAACCAGCCGCTGCAGTAGTGCCAGGTGGACCAGGCGGACCAGCCCTGCTGGCTGAGGACTTTCTGGGCGCAACGGACGGAGTGGGTGATGTCGTCGGTGAGGAGGGCGTTGCAGCTCAGGCCGCACTCGTTGTAGGAGAAGCGACCGCTGGGGGGAGCGCACCAGTAGTAGTTGTTGATCTGGAAGATGCCGTAGTCGTTGGAGCCGTTGTAGTTCTCGGGTCCGACCACTCCGGTGCGGTAGGAGCTCTCGTGCTCGGCAATGCAAGCCCAGCGAGCCAGCTGGTCACGGGGGACGCCCAGGTTGGACATCTCACGGGCCAGAGAGCAACGGTCCATGGTGCGACCGAGGGCGGGGGCGGCCAAAGCCAGGGCAATCAGAACGATGAAGGCCTTCATGATTTCAATTCACAGAAAACTGATGTGGAAATGGGGGGCAGTCTGAGCTTTTATAGGGCTCGATTATCGTGATCTCCACAAAGTTGTTATCGCAAGTGGCCAAAGTTACACGTTTCTTATCAAAACTGCACACGAGACATATGACGAGCCGGCTGACTGAAGTTAATCAATCTTTGGCCATTATCTGTATGGTTTTAAGTGGCTTGGAGAGACGGTCCTTCAAAGGCGATTGACCAGATAGAGGAGAGCAGTAAAAGCAGCCCAAGATTAGCTTCATCTTAACACTGGCTTTGGGTCAGCATTCATTTTAGAGCTTAAACGTTGGGGTTTTTGTTATTTGTTTCAAGCCATTAACCTTGTTAGCATCTCCACTGGCTCTTGGCTGGGCAATTACGTGGCTGTTAGTGGGCAGATGGTGCGGACTCGTAGCTGCACTCGAGTGAGCCATATCTGGATTTTGAGCGCGGCCAGAACTCCACTGGGCCTGCGGCTTGTTTACCTTTTGTAACGGGCATGCGTTTGGCCGTAAAACCACTGGATCTTCAAAGACCCCAAGGCTGCCACACATCATCAACCGTCAACTTGCTGCACAATGCTTTCTTGTATCTTTGAGATAGGTTCGACTCCGTCTGTGACTAACGACCCAACCGCAAGTATGCAAACCCGACGACGGAGTGCGGGCTGTTACATTAACCCCATTCGCATCCGGGGAGGAGGGGCACCTGCCTCGGAGCTTAGCGGTACTCCTGGGGTTAGCCACTCGCCGGGAGACATAGAGATGAGCGAAGTCTTGCCCAGATGCCAACCGATGCCAAGATTTCTGCGATGCCAAGAAAGTTGTTAACCTTTCGCGTGTGTGTGCTCGGCTGGTTGTTAACAGAAAAGACAAATGACAAAAGGCTACTGTAAAGGCAATCGAGTGGTGCTGGAAAGAGCGGTTGGACAAAGTGGTTTTGGCCTGCCAGAGCCTCCGGACGCCAGAGACATGACCCCCTTAGGTCCCCCCATGAATTATAGATGGATTCATAAATTAAAGTTAATTTGTGAATGAGTGGAGAGCTCAGCGTCGATGAGTCGCCTGTTCTTTTGTCGGAGAAGAATGCTTATCACTTTTACTTTTTGCTGATTTATCGACTAATGTCTTTTCTTCCCGCAAACTGTGTCACCTAACAGTTCTGGCCAGAAGAATTCTTCGGCCAGCCGACCAGACCTCATTGCATATGCATGAGGTCGTGCCTTGGGAGGCCAATTAAAAGTCATTTCCAAACGGGTCAACACTAATTGTTAGTCGAACTTCTAGTCAAGGCATTACAGTTAGGATAATGGTGTAAGAGCTCCGAGAGATAAGACAAGAGGCCGCCACAGCAGTACTTCCCCGTCTAAACCTCTTCTATCTCATTACCATTGAGGGAGATATTGAAAAACACAAACGTCATTGGAATTTGTAAACAAACCTGGCTGATAAGCCAGAATTGTCAGCTATTTCAACCCTTTTTGGCCCGATCGCCAAATGGGAAGCCCCTAAACCTTTTATCTCCTTATCGCCATCGAGTGGTCTCCTTTGGCTTTTCCAGATAGGAGCGGGTATAAAAGCTCCCCTGGCGAGGACCTAACCATCAGTTTACTTCAGTATCCGAATCAACATGAAGGCTTTCATCGTTTTGGTTGCCCTGGCCCTGGCCGCCCCCGCCCTCGGTCGCACCATGGACCGTTGCTCCCTGGCCCGTGAGATGTCCAACCTGGGCGTCCCCCGTGACCAGCTGGCCCGCTGGGCTTGCATTGCCGAGCACGAGAGCTCCTACCGCACCGGAGTGGTCGGACCCGAGAACTACAACGGCTCCAACGACTACGGCATCTTCCAGATCAACAACTACTACTGGTGCGCTCCCCCCAGCGGTCGCTTCTCCTACAACGAGTGCGGCCTGAGCTGCAACGCCCTCCTCACCGACGACATCACCCACTCCGTCCGTTGTGCCCAGAAGGTCCTTAGCCAGCAGGGCTGGTCCGCCTGGTCCACCTGGCACTACTGCAGCGGCTGGTTGCCATCCATCGATGACTGCTTCTAAGCCTGATCCTGACCAAAAATAAAATGATTGCACTAAAAATTAAAGCCTTTTCAATGAACTAGTTTCAACTTTAAGCTGCGTTTCACTTTTAATATTTTTTGGATTTATAGCTACTCCTATTTATGAGTATTGCTTTCTTTAAGAGAGATAAGAAACTTTCCCATCTACTGGATAGAATATCCATATTAATCTCCATCCCACTTATCTCTCTGATAAAGTCATAAATAGTTGTGCGAAATTAGAAACTTTTCTTTTATAATAAAAATAAAATATATTCGGCTAGTTTTTGTTGCTTTTTGCCAATAGAAAGTAAACTTAATGCCTTGTCTGAATGACAGCTAAAAAATTGACAACGGGTCAAAGCCAAAAATAAGCAAAATTCAAACAAATTCATTATAATTTCATTCAGCTTCGACTGGGGGTCCGAACCAGTCCAACTGGTAGCTCTTGTGCGCAAGACCCCTGAGTGACTCCAAATTTAAATATTTAAATATGTGCACAATAAAGAAAAAAAGACTCAAACAGCAAAATAATTTAAACTTCCGTCTTCGTGTGTAGAGAACTTTGAAACGGCTCGAATAATGTCATATCGATTATACCCAATTTTGTCCATCGAGCTCTAATTGATTCGAGCCTAAGGGTCGCATCGGTATTGGAATCGAGCTCACGTTAGGCGATTATTAGTAGGAATCGGAATTGCTTCGCCTTGGGGTTTCTTTGGATCAAAATTGGGAGAAAGCCGGTCAATATATTTTAGGCAGTTAGGCGTTTCAATACGGTTTGTTTCATTTGAAACACAGTAACTGGCTTTATTCTATGGTTAATTAAAGTTCATTTTGTTCATCTGAGATGAAAGTTTGTTGAAGATGTGCTTCTAGTAGATTTGAGACCAAATATAGTATTTAAAATAATATGTTAGATTACTGGAATTGCTTACAAAGGGTTTGTGCAAAAATTTCATAAATAAAGAGTAATGATATAATTATATGATCTTAGGCAGTAATTAGTGGGAGATCTTCAGACCTAGTTTTGTTTTCACTTTTAAGAGAATTTTTCGTCAAAAGGCTAATAGGTTAGGGTACTATTTCTTGTACTATAATTAAGCGTAAGTTTCCCCGATATCCCTAACCAATCCTTCTCTATAAAGACTGTAATTACTCATTTCATAAAGACTATTTTATTCAAAATCCATTTAGAAGCAGCTGTCGATGGAGGGCAGGGAGCCGCTGCAGAAGTGCCAGGTGGACCAGGCGGACCAGCCCTGCTGGCTGAGGACCTTCTGGGCGCAACGGACGGAGTGGGTGATGTCGTCGGTGAGGAGGGCGTTGCAGCTGAGGCCGCACTCGTTGTAGGAGAAGCGACCGCTGGGAGGAGCGCACCAGTAGTAGTTGTTGATCTGGAAGATGCCGTAGTCGTTGGAGCCGTTGGAGTTGGTGGCGCCCACCACGTGGGTGCGGTAGCCGCTCTCGTGCTCGGCAATGCAGGTCCAGCGGGCCAGCTGGTCGCGGGGGACGCCCAGGGCGGACATCTCCTTGGCGAGGGAGCAGCGGTCGAAGGTGCGACCGAAAGCGGGAGCGGCCAGAGCCAGGGCAACCAGAACGATGAAGGCCTTCATGATTTCTTTGATTCACAAAAACTGATGGGGATGGCTCCCCGGGAGGGAGCTTTTATAGCCGGAAAATTATCTGGCCCTGCGTTATCTTTGAGTAGGCCATTATTGATGGCCAAATTGGGAGTTAATCTGGACGTCCCGAATATTCGCGTGGCAGTCAGACCATATCGATAGTACCATTGATAATTCGACTGGAGTATATGTTGTGATAATATGAATGAAGAGTTACGGAAACTCGGAGGTGGTTCCCCTGGCAGCTGGTCCGCTGGTCTGCTGGCCTCGTCCCAAGTCCACCTGCTCCAAATAGGAAGGGATGGATGCAAATTGGCGGCAGCCATTGTTTATTTGGCCAATTGGCCTCTGATCTCAATTATGGCCTTTGTGCTTCTCGCTTTGTGTCGGCCCATTGGCTTCAATTAGTGAGTCGTGGACCCCGACAAAGCCCAAGATAGCTGTTGGCCCACTTCACTCCACTTCCAAGCCCTAAACCCATACTATTCCAATTCCCGAGGCTTATTGCCCAAGTGCGGTTACTCAATACACCAATTGCTTCATTTGTCAGGGCCCGTCAAGGTGTCCAACATCTGTTGATGGCCTCAAAAGAGCTAATGTGGCTTTGATGCACTTTTCAATAGGAAGTCTAAGCCTGGCCAGTAGGAGAATGTCTGGCTGGCTAGTTTCGACCGCAAAATCGCGTGAAGAGAGAAATTTCTTTTTGGCCAATACCGAAAGTAAGTTCGTTGCTTTGCGTGTAACACCCACTCTTCCAAGTGCCCGCGCCCCTAGACCATGGAAAATGCCTAAGCTCTCCTAACAATTGTTAAATCAGACCGGAACAGATTTTTTTTCTTTAGTTCGCCTCATGTGCTTACTTCTTACATGTATCTCCACCTTTTATTTATTTATTTATTTACAATCCAATCTTTTCCCCGCCGTTGGTTTCTTTTGTTGTTACCACTCTTTGTCTTTGTGGCTGGACAAAGTGGCTTTTGTTGGCCAGATTGGGGCTTCGTCGAAGATTTGGAGTCTCGTGCCTCGGCCGATTCAATTTTCACTTCAATTTTCCATGAATTACAGTTAAATATAATTTGTTTTCATACTTTTATAACGCACACGCAGTCTTAACGAATTTTTTTGTGGCCCGTTTTCAGAGTTCTTTTCTTTGGAATTTCTTGGCATGAGTGTTACTATCTGGTACACACGGAAAAAGACAATCATAGTTTTGGATTTGAAAAATTAGGTGTTTTATTTTTAGATAGTTTATTTGTGGACATTTAAAAAAGGGGTTTCAAGAGAGAATAAGTTTAACAATTTAACCATTTTTTTAAGCAACGATTAGGCTTTATAAATGTCCATATAATACAGATATATTTCCATCAGAGTGCTACTTTATAAACCATTTTCTCTCAGTGTCTAAGCCAGTAGTTGTAGGCGTCACAGTTCAATGTCAGAGACCGAGCTGCCCACTCACATAAGAAGTAAGGGATTTACATTCGTATCTAGATTTTGGGCTAGCCGTTAAGATAGAAAGTCTTAGCCCATTAGCATATGCCCGAGCATCAGGTTGAATCTAAAAACTTGGATGCTATATTGACCAAGTGGGTCTTCCGTTCGAGTGCCTACGATCGCACTAATGAGTGCCTTGGATTCCATTTGACCCTCTGACTTAGTTTCGGGTCCCCCCATTCGGATACGAACTAGTTCTCCCAGCCCATCCAGTCCAGTCTAGATAACTTACCCACCTATTTTGCCTATGGCTGTTTGCTTTTTGCTCTCCTGGTTTCGGGATTCGGGTTTGGGGCTTCCAAAGTATTCCAGAGTATTGACACGATTCCGAATTGGGGCACTCCAGAATCCAGAATCCAGAATAACGTTAGCGAGCGAATTCTTTTGGCTAACACACACACACCGCACTTATTTTCATATTTCTCGAAGAGATCGGACCAATCGTGGAGGTTGGGGGTGTCTGGGGAGCCGCTGGTGGTGCACTTTGCGTCGTCATAAATTGAGAAGATTAGCACGGAGCACTAAGAGAACCACTACTCGGCTTGTTATTATGTTGTGGACCGTGGATGCTGCAATAGGCCAGTTGGGGCCAGTTCTAGCCGGGCCAGTACTCGTTTTACCGTTAGAATGCAATCACTCCACTCGCGATGCTGTTACCCAAAGTGGCAACCAGAGACACAACCGTCGGGGGCAACCGTTGGAGGGGATAATATGGGGAATGTGAAGTGCCAATACCGCACTTTTCTATCCAATCAAACGAGTTTATTTCTCCCGAGAATACACAATAAGAAAATTCACATCACGTAACTCTGGCAGCTGGAGTGTCATCAGAGCTGGAGAGGATTCCCAATTCTGGCTACAAAGGATCCACTATTTACGGTTTTGGTTTCTTGACGATTGAACTTGGCTAGACCTCGAGAATATCTAGCAAAGCCATCGTTCGACTTAATTGGCATCCAAACTCGAATCGAAACTTCGACAGCAACACGTCCGTTTTCAGCAAAAGTCACGCACCGACTGATCCGAAGCCGCTAACTTGGCCTGAACCCAGGTCTAAGCCAAGTCGAAAACCGGCTCTCTCGCTACAGTATACTCTTCGAATGTTAGACCCGCTCTCTCTCTGGTTATAAGACCCTCTTTATGAGTGGCACAGTGGCAATTGCATGGCTATGATTAGATGAAGACTGCCAAACGCCGGAGGGCATTTCTAAGCCATGGCTTGTGATTAGTTAGAAGAATGTGGAAACATACCTCGGGCCTAAACAGAGGTGATCCAATTTTATGTTTCTATTATGAATGACTTGGAGAGTTTACACAAAAAGTTGGAGGCTATGAAAAGACTAAATTGGCTTTGTAGTTTAACCATCGGAATATTAAAATGCAATAAAAGGTGTTAGATGTTTGGTTGGCCTATATGGTTTTCTGGAGATTCTTTTTCTATATTTCCCATTAAGTACTCTATCGTAAAAATAGAAACGTAGATCATAATAAACTTTATGATGTACATCTATTATTTTGATGGAAAAGTATCTCCAACAGCTAAACTTTAAAAAGATAAGTTTATGACGTTGCATTCTGCATTCTTTATCGCTTTTTAGAAACCATTGAAAAGTTTCCGCACATTATTTTTATTATACCTATACCTGTTATAATACTGATAATACCTGATGGATCTGTGACAGGTTTTGATTGCCAGAACCTTATCAGCTCCATAGGGGCTTCCATTAATGTGTTCGCCAATTACTCTGGTAGCCTTTTCGTCTGCCAAACTGATATGGCTTTGTTTACGTTAAGGTGCAGATAAGCCCTTTGGTTAATTTTTGGCCAGGTTCAGCTGAAGTTTTTTTTATCAGGCCTAATTAAAAAATGGCGATTTTTTGGCAACTGGTGCGCAGCAATGGAGTTCTTATCTCAACGCGTGCCATGTCAAATCCATTATCTGATCATGATTTTGGGTATATAACCCAGGGGTGCTACTCAATTGGGTTATTAGTTTCAATCACTTGGAATCATGAAGGCCTTCATCGTTTTGGTTGCTCTGGCTCTGGCCGCCCCCGCTTTCGGTCGCACCATGGACCGTTGCTCCCTCGCCAAGGAGATGTCCGCCCTGGGTGTCCCCCGCGACCAGCTGGCCCGATGGACCTGCATCGCCGAGCACGAGAGCTCCTACCGCACCGGAGTGGTGGGACCCGAGAACTCCAACGGCTCCAACGACTACGGTATCTTCCAGATCAACAACTACTACTGGTGCGCTCCTCCCAGCGGTCGCTTCTCCTACAACGAGTGCGGCCTGAGCTGCAACGCCCTCCTCACCGACGACATCACCCACTCCGTCCGTTGCGCCCAGAAGATCCTCAGCCAGCAGGGCTGGACCGCCTGGTCCACCTGGCACTACTGCAGCGGTTCTCTGCCCTCCATCGACAGCTGCTTCTAAGCAGTCACCCATCTGACCAATTTTTGACAAATAAATCACGAACATAAAACTATACTTTGATATTTTTCTGGTCTTCCTATGATTGGCTACCAAAGCCTAAAAGCATGCTATACTTTTTGTAGCTGACCAAAGCTGACAGCTATAATAGCCCTGCTAGCAGTATATATTTTTCGACTTACCTTTCGATTACTGACTTTGCTGCATCGAACATGGAGTCCAGGGAGTACTCATCTTCAATGGAGCTGTAGACATTTGTGGCTGTGCCTGCTGTTCCCTCATCGCAGTAGCTACAACTGCAGCAGGAGTACTGGGAACAGAAGGAGGAGGCGTCCATGTCAGTGATGCCAATGGAGCACTCCTCGTCAAGATTACGTTCTTGGAGTTCCATTTCCACGGGCGTTTCTTTTTGGGGGGTAGAGCCACGCGGTGACCGACTAAAGGGGGAAAATTATTTTATTATTATTAATTCTAGTCTAAATTAATTATGGTCTGGGTTTGAAGTCTTACCTCTTGGTGCGTGAGTCCATAGTGTCCATGACCACGTTCCAGGTGCGGTGGATCAAGTAGAGCAGAAAGAGCACCCTCGACGTCTCTCCATTGTGCGGTGGTGTGGAGCTGTTGTTGTTGCTTGAGGTATTCTGGCCACCACCCAGGCAACTGCTGGATCCCAACCTGGTCTGTGGGTGTGACTGCTTCTGTGGCTGGAGAGGTGTGGGGCGGGCGGGCAGGGTCTTTGAGCGGTACTCGTTCTGGAGGCAGTACTCCCGCTTGTGCTGCTGATAGCGTCGTCGGGTATTGAAGCCAAAGTTGCCCCCCTCGCCGGCAGCCCCTTCCTCGGCGCCCGTTGATCCTATCCGGTTGCCCATTACAACGTCGAGGATCGTCGCCTGACGGGCATAGCCTAATGTGACAGGAACAAGCACAACACATGTTAGTTCGGTTAGGTCTCTAAATGCATCGTTCGATCCACTGGATTAGCACTGACACCATTCTAGCAACCAGTTCTGAGCAGCGAAAAAAGTGAAGTCGCCGAAGTGGCCAAAAGAATTGGGTCAGCAGCCAGTTCTTGCTGGTCGTAACGAGGTCGGCCAGAACCGAGATGCCCGTAGATGGAGTGAGTGCTCCTTCTTGGCTCGTCTTGTAATTATGATAAACTATCCGGCCATTGGCGAAATGATGGATTGCACGGACCAGTTTGGACATGATACCAGGTTCTAGATGGATGGATGTATGGACATGAGGCGTTCGGCATGTCATTCAAATGGCACATACATCTGCCGATAGACATCCATTAAATGGATCCAGTTCATGATCCTCATTCAGGTTAGAATTTCTACACATAATTAGGAGGCAATCCATCAAATTAGCGCCCTTGGACGATTTGTAAGCCCGGCACTTGTGGCTTGACCCACCGATTGAACTAAATATATATATTCTAGTGGTGGGATTTCGTATATTCTTATCGGCTCCCGACCACTGACGTAGGAAACGTGACCGCTAAATGACAAAACACGATCGCCGCCCAAACCCACGGGCACTATCAGTGGACACAGCCCCAAAGTTCTCTAGAGGAGGGCTGGACTTATCAGTTGAAAAGGAAAAATACTACAGTGAAAGGTGCTCTACAGCGATGCTTACTACCTGAGTTTACGGTATAGAATCTTTATCGGACACCAATTAGTTTAAGGTCCAGATTTTCGATTAGGAATAAATTACGGAGCAAGTTTTTTTGGGGGAACAACTTTCATGCCATTGTCACCAAAATAAAGAATATGGAAATGTAACCCATTAAAATCGAGTTTTTAGGGTCTGGGCTGTGGGCCCTAAAGAACCTCTTCTCGAAGTGAAAGTGACGGAAAAGAAGTGGAAAGTTTTAAGGAAAACAAAAAGGTTTTGTAAGGTAGGTTGGGCTGGGTAATAAAACGAAGGTGCCACCGTAAAGCCCTTCATTCATAAGGTTTCTGGTGGTTTAATGAGTGATTTTTATTAGAGGTAGTGGAAAATATGATTATACCTTTTAAAAATTTTAATGTTTATAATTTACTTATTGTTTATTTACTGTACTACGTTGACATGCGCACTGAGCGTGAGACCTGGTGATGGCTTGTCCCCTTTGAAGAAGACCAGAAACCAGAATCTCGACACTAAATACTAATTAAACTAAATACGGCGCAAGAGTTTATCTTATCATGCGATGCACGCACCAAACCTCGACACCCTGTACCCGCAGCAATGTTAACTCTAGGGCAAACCGGGAGCCGAGCACTCAACTTTAAAATGCCAGACCCCAGCTGGTTTCGGTTGACAGTCGCTTTTGCAACGATCGAGCGAGCGGTAGATCGTTAGAGCTTCCTCCAGTACTATTTGTATTTTCTGGGCCACAATCTACAGAGCCTACGTAGAGAAAGGAACCTGAATCGGGACAGCCAACGCAGCCATCAGGAGTAAACTAGGACACACTCATAACTCAAGACCATGAGCCAGCAGAGTCAACTGAAAACAGAGCAATTGCTCTTCGAGGAAAAGCCCCTGTATGTGCCCCCATTGTCGGAGCTGCAGAATGGTGAGTGTGAATTTTCCACATTTCCCAGAGAGAGAGATACTTGGCGAGATAACATATAGCCACAGAAAACGTGCCAGCTTCGGTGCTTCATGAGCAAATGACCTTCAGAACTGTGCCGAACTTTCCATAGCCGGTTTTGGTCCGAGGTTCTTACGATTCTGTTTGCAGTGTTTTTGGTCGTTTCTGTTTTCATTGAGCAGCCCAAACACAAACATATGATTTCACTGGGAGCTTTTGATTAGTTAGCTTTGGCTACACAGAGAAATATATAGAAAACTTAATGATTTTAATGGGGGCACTTGACCCAAAAAATATTAAATTACGAAGCGAGTTGGAGAGGTCTTCAGTTATTTTTGGAGAATGTTTGCAGAACTTTTGATTTTATTTTGAAAGAAGATCAGAGTAATTTTATTTCCAGTGTCTAGACCCCTTGTCTAGATGGGGTACTTGATAAAGCTTTCAGTGTAAACAGCTTCTATTCTCTCTCCCAGTCATACAGGGTGCTCTGAACACCAACTTCGCCAATGTGTCCGTCAGTGTAGGTCCTTGCCCCGACCTCAAGGCCAAGCAGTTCGGCCTGGTTGAGAGCGGACTGGGCGGCAAGCCCACCCTGCTGGAGGCCGGCGGCCCACCCTTTTTGCTGCCCCTCGTCCAGCGCGACAAGCTGTACAACATCACCGAGATCACCCGCCAGATCCAGGGTCCCGGCAAGATCTTTGCCGTGGGTGCCGGAGCTGGTCCTTGGCCCATTCGCGGCTCCAACTGCGAGGGCATCTTCAACCTGTCCGTGAGCGAGAAGAACGAGCTGACGAACGGCAGCTACACCGCCACTGTCCGGGGAGAGAAGGAGGAGTGCGTGCTGGAGAAGATCCCTCACTCAGAGCCCCGATGCGCCCTGCTGCTGAACCTCTTCCTCAGCCAGGGACAGCCCGGTGAGGTTATCAAGATCACTGCCAAGCAGCGTACCGGAGAGCAGAACTTCATCGAGTGCATTCGCAAGGGGCTGGAGGAGTACTACGGCGACAAGGTGGTGGGTCTGGGCGGCATCTTCCTGATCAAGAAGGGAGCTGCCCACCAGCACGTGATGCGCGACTTCAGCAAGACGCCCATCAACTCCGACGAGGAGGTGAACGAGTGGCTCAAGTTCTACGAGATGCCCGCCCAGCTGAACGCCGTCGGCACTCTGGTGACTAAGGAGCACGACCTTGACCTTCGCCTGCAGCACTTCCACTCCTTCTCCTTCACCAACTGGGGAGGTCACTACCACTACGACACCACCCCGGACATCGTGGAGTACGAGGCGTATCTGAATGTGGCCGAGCGGGTGGTGCGCGTAGATAAGCCCGTTTCCACTCACAAGGTGGGACGGGACTGAGATCTTATCTCACCCATCTAGTTGTAGCCGACATTTCCATTGCCTCAGCCCTATTATAAATAATAGTACATAAACTTAAAAATAAACTACTAAAAACTAAAACAATATCTTTTTTGGTTGGGGGATTATGAAATTTTATAATGTCAGGGGTTTGTTTAACTTTCAGTAGACTCTTCTGCTTTAGTCAGTTGGCTTTACGCCTTAATACAATCGGATCGATTAGGAAAACCTGCCAGAGTCACCTTCAAACGGATCAGCTTCTAATCGAGGAGAAGCCCCTTCATGTTCCGCCCCTCGAGGAAATTCAAAAAGGTGAGCGAGCCCCCTTGAAGTGCTGATAATACTGGTGGGTTTGTTTCTCAAACAATGACTTCTCTGATCTTCAGTGATACAGGGTGCCTTGTGTGCTAATTTCAAGACTGTGGAAGTGGAGGTTTGTCCTTGTCCTGATTTAAAGGCCAAGCCACTCTGTTTGGTGGAGAGTGGATTGTGTGGATGCCCCACCCTCCTAGAAGTGGGTAGTCCCAAATACTTAATACCCATGGTCCAAAGAGATAAGCTCTACAACATTCCTGAGATTATTCGGAAAGTTCAAGGACCCGGAAGGATATTTGCAGTGGGAGCAGGAGCCGGTCCCTGGCCCTTTTTCAACTCCAACTGTGAAGGAATCTTCAATATGTTAGTGGACAAGGACGACAAGCTGACCAATGGGAGTTATACAGCAACAGTTAGAGGCGAAAACGAGGAATGTGTTCTGGAAAAGCTACCAGATACCGAGCCACGTTGTGCCCTGCTCCTGAATCTGTTCCTCAGTCAAGGACTACCAGGCAAAGTTATAGGAATCCATGCCAAGCGGCGGATCTGCAAGAAGAACTTTGTGGAATGCATTCGTACTGGTCTGGAGGAGCATTATGGCGATAAAGTAGTGGGCCTGGGCGGGATCTTCGTTATCAAAAGGGGCTGTGCCAACCAGCATGTGATGCGGGACTTCAGCAAGTCACCGCTTAACTCCGAGGAGGATGTCAACAAGTGGCTCAAGTTCTACGAGATGCCGGCTCAGTTGAATTGCCTGGGAACTATGGTGACCAAGGATCTTGACCTAGACCTGCGTCTGGAGCACTTCCATTCCTTCTCCTTCAGCAACTGGGGTGGTCACTACCATTACGATACTACCCCAGATAGTGTGGAATACGAGGCATATCTGAATGTGGCGGAGAGAGTGCTAAGAGTCGATAGGCCCGTGAAAGTGTGACACATATACTTGGCAACTTACCAGAACCAGAGACTACATTTTCATATCAGTGGAGACCCTGTATCACCGCAAACTTATCACCAGAATGACAGGCCGTCCGCATAGTTGAAATATTTGGCACACGATGGCCTCCCAGCTAGTCGCATTAGTGCCTCCAGCCAGGCAAGACCCTGGAAGCCATATCGTAAAAGTGCCGGAGATAACATGAGCCAGAGTCACCTTCAAACGGATCAGCTGCTGTTCGAGGAGAAGCCTCTTCATGTTCCGCCCCTTCAGGAGCTTCAAAGTGGTGAGCCAAACGAGGGCTGTTTTTAAGTTTTTGGTAGCAGGGGTAAGTGATAACGCTCTTTTTTGTTTTCATCAGTTATACAGGGTGCTCTGGTCAGCAATTTTGGTCATGTGGATGTCAGTGTAGTGGCCTGTCCGGACCTGAAAGGATCGCAGTTCGGTCTTGTGGAAAGAGGCTTGGGCGGCAAGCCCACACTCTTGGAAGCAGGAGGTCCTCCCTATTTGCGGCCTCTAGTGCAACGCGACAAGCTCTACAACCTCAAGGAGATCACCCGGAAGATTCAGGGGCCGGGAAAGATCTTTGCTGTGGGTGCCGGGGCAGGTCCTTGGCCCATTCGAGGCTCCAACTGCGAGGGCATCTTCAACCTGTCCGTGAGCGAAGAGGACAAGCTGACGAATGGCAGCTACACAGCCACCGTCAGAGGAGAAAAGGAGGAATGTGTTCTGGAGAAGATCTCTGACTCCGAGCCACGCTGTGCCCTTATCCTAAACCTCTTCCTGAGCCAGGGACAGCCTGGTGAGGTGCTCAAAATCACAGCCAAGCAACGTACCGGAGAGCAGAACTTCATCGAGTGCATTCGCAAGGGCCTGGAGCAGCACTACCAGGACAAGCCCGTTGGCTTGGGTGGTATCTTCCTCATAAAGAAAGGCAAGGTCCACCAGCACGTGATGCGGGACTTTAGCAAGACCCCCATCTACACCACCGAGCAGATCCAGCAGTGGCTCAAGTTCTACGAAATGCCGTCCCAACTAAATGCCCTGGGCACCTTGGTGACGAAGGATCTGGGACTGGACTTGCGGCTGCAGCACTTCCACTCCTTCTCCTTCACCAACTGGGGCGGGCACTATCACTACGACACCACTCCGGACATAGTGGAGTACGAGGCGTACCTGAACGTGGCGGAGCGGGTGGTGCGAGTGGACAGACCCCGGCTAACGGATCAGTTGGGACGGGACTAAGTGGTCAGGTGATGTCTTCGCACCTGCCGAATCCATCAAGACCTGTTAATAAGCGAGCCTAAAATAAATGCCTTCTCAGAAAATGTTTTCGGTTTCTGCCGGACTCGCCACGATGATTAGCTCTTGTCGTCACATCATTTACGGTTGAGGTTTACGTTTCATAGCCTCGGGCTATAGACTTTATGTAATTGCCAAAAATTGGAGCCGCAGCTTTCTTCGCCATGCAAATCGATGGCTAAATGATCTGGATTCTTTTGCTGGCGAAGTGGCCATGCGGAGTTCTGGTGCTGGAATCCCGATCTTCGGTTTCATGGTTTCTTAATGAGAGACACGGCACGGCAGAAAAGCTAAGCAGGCCGTAAATAATGCCCCGAACATGCAGCAATCTGTGTTTTTCTTTTTGCACCGCTGGCCATTAATTATTTAATAACTTTGATTCATGCAGAGCCCCACCACTGCGAGTGCAATCTCAACGAAGTCAGCCATTAAAACGTTTCGTATAGCACTCCATGGAAAATAAAATCAAGAAATACTCAAATCCCGCTCTATGAATATTGTGACAGTTACAAATCGCAGATGATAGGCGCATCGATCATGATGGATCAAAAGACTTACCCACTCCAATGAAGACTATCCCAAATCGCGGCTAGGGCTATTGTCTTTTAACGGGTCTCCAATATTTGCATTTGGATGTTTATTATTCGAAATTCTGGCTATAACCTTCTCTAGTGGAGCTCAGAAAGGTGGCACTGGAAATAGAACTGAACAACACAAAGCACCCATCGATTGATCCAATTTAATCTTCCAGTCAGGCAGGCAGGCAGGCAGGCAGGCAGCGGAGGTGAAATGCAAATGCGATTTCTTCGTCCCACGAAAAAGAAAATCTCTTTTTGTTATTGTTACCGTTGTGGTTGTGGCCGTTTTTGTGGCTCTGCCAGACTCGGTTTATTCATATTTTAAACACACCATTAGCACTTTTTATTAGCTGTCTCGCTTTGATTGACTTCACTTCCATCCGACGTTACACCACTCCTCCCACTTCACTCCACTTCCACCGATCTCACTCGGAATCCATACATACAGATATATACGAACGAATACGAATACTTGGCTTAGTCCAATATAGACTCTGTTTATTTTTTTCGGGCCCAAGATTCAAGCGCGTCTGGTTGGCTTAAACGCGAGTTGCAGACTGAATGAAGTTGGCCATCCGATGGCTCGACTAGCTGGTTGGAGTGGCTTTTCACATGGTCTTCCAGCGAACTTGTTTGGGGAACTCTCTATCGCCGTATTTTGATAAATATTAATTCTAGCCATTAATGGGGAGCTTCTGCCAATGGCTCAAGACTCTTGTCGAATACAAGATTGTGTTTGACAAGTCTATTTCCTAAGTGGAGCTCAGTGAGAATTTTTACAAAATAGTGATACTACTTTAAGAGTTTTCTGAAGAAAAGCTAATAGGGTTTTTAGTAAATAGATTTTTTAGGAAATAATATCCTTAGTAAAGAATATTTAAATGGAGCATCTTAATAACTATTTGAAAGTATAATAGCTATATTATCTCCAATCTAGGTCACATATTTTTTTTGTAGTGCATTACAAAGCAAGTTTGCAACTTTTTATTTGGTCGCTCTGCTTTACAAGCGTTTTTAAATTGAAAATGTCGCTTAATCTCTAATTGGCCACATTTGTTGATAGCGTAAAAGAGGCCGTGCCGGCCGTCAAGTGCATAAAGCAAGCGCCGCAGCGATTTTCCCAAACCAGCAAACCAGTTCCGCCAAACAACATGTCCACAATAGCCGGCAAAGGCAAAGTCGCTGCCAAGGCTACCACCACACATCTGGTCTCCATTTCCATTAGGAGCAACACGAATTTAGTTAGTGCTCCTGTTTACCGCCCAAAGGCAATTTTCGGACCTGGCCCACAACAACCCGTTCGTTGAACCACCTCCGAAGAAAGTAAGTGCGGCTGGGTTGCGGCTGTTGATGCGGCTGCGGCTATGGCTGGGGTGGGGTTTTTGGAAAAATTGCATAATGATTGATACCCCGAGGCAGGTTGATGTATCGCCATTATAATAGCGTTCCAATTTAGAGCTTCAGGTAATGGGCGTTTCCATAAATGTGAGATCGTTTTTTTTCGTTGATATCTAGAACGGAAGATAGTCGGCTTACTGTTTAAAGAAATATTAGGAAATTAGAGAAATATGTTAGGAAATGGATTTGGGTAATCGAAAAATTGGTTAAATTTTAAACTAAATTTAAATTAAATAATGTTTAAATGAAGTTAATAATACAAATAGGGCTCAGGTATTATAAGAAGTATAGGCTGGAGAACTCAAAACATAAACATAAGGCCTAAAAAATATTAAATACTAAAGATTTTTTATTTTTAAAGCTTCAAACAAATATTTCTTTAAAAATATTCAAATCTTTTACATATTTTTAAGAGTTCTTTAAAAAATGTGTTCTTTTAAAAATTACAAATTATTTGTTGCATAATTTTAGGGTTGTACTTACAGTTTGAGAGCCATGTGAGGTGAGATATTAGATGTCAGCTTTATAAGGTAATGATTTATCAATTAAAATTTTAAACTATATTATATTAATAAAATAAAAACTCAACAAGTCTATATTGTTTTGCATTATATATATATTTCTTTTGTATACATATACAGTATATATATTCGTCTGCTTGTATACAACTTTAAGGGGTTTACATCTTAGAACTGGGCTTTTAAGGGGTATACTTGAAAATGTAGCTGCTGGTGTGCTTTATTATTCAATTGCTGACTCTGGAAACTAAAAAAAAATTGAGATAACTAAAGTTAAGATACACGAAGGTGTCTAAAGTACTTTGGCCTCACTCTATTTGTGCTTTGCCATGGTTTTGGAATTTAAAAAATAAAATATATTTAAATTATTGGTTGAAAGGTTTTACAAAAAGAGCCAACCAATCTATGGTTACAAATTTGAGGCTTATCCGTGTGGTTTATTGGTTGTGCATTTGTTTAAGCTATCTTTGTTTTAAAGTGTAAAGAATGTGTGTGTTCCTATCTGGAAAAAAGATTGCTGATTGCTTGAAGCGTGTGTCTAGGGGAGAGTTCTGAACCAAAATTAACTATTTACATGTCTAAGATCTTGCACATTTCGTAGGAACGGAGAAATTATAATAATCTAAGAGTAATGTGGTTTTTATAGCTAGGGTTTCTATTGCGAGCTTATTGAATTTGTTTTTAAGATTCTCTTTGAAGAAGAGCAAATTTTTACTTGAGATTTGTTTTGTTTTTATTTTGAATAACCGCACAAAAAATATATATTATATTGTTTAATGAATTCATCATTTAGAAGCACAAAACCGCCTAGCAACCTTACTCGATGTAGATGTCCTCGATGGGATAAGCGGTTTCAATGAATTTCTGATAGAAACGTTGGAAAGCACGACTGCAATAATGATTAATAAATAATAATTACATTCTTTATTCAATTTAAGGCTAAGATCCTTGAAGACTTACCCAACTGCCTCGGCCACAGGTCTAGTCGACTCTGAGCCCTTGAATACATGACAGGCGAACCTCTGCACTGTCGGGTGTTTGGTTATGAAGCCAATGAAGCGATGATCTCGAGGGTGGAATGCACAGAAGGATACGTTCTTCAGAGAGTAGAAGTAATCGATACAAGGTTTCTTTTCCTTTTTGTTTTGCTGAAAAGAAAAAGGATATATAAGCTTGGGGCTTGTAAAGATCCTGCTTAGAAATTACATTCGGTCCTGATCGATCCACCATGCGGAGTCCCTGGTCGGATACCTCCAGGATGCAGGTCTGTCCCGATGGAGAATTTCCGTACTCTCCCACGATCTTGCGCACCGCCTGGCACACCACGCCAGTCCCCTTGTGCGCCAAGGTCTCCACGGAACCGAGGTAGCCCAGTAGGTAGCGCTCCTTCTTCACCAGCTGCACCGTCGGATCGAACTCGTTGTAGTCCAGATCAACGGCGTAGGCCGAGGGGAAGATGCCCTGCCGCCCGGTGCGTAGGTTCACCCCCTCGCACCACAGGTCCTCGGCCTCCTTCTGCACGTAGATGGCGTCACCGATCTCAAGCTCGATCTCGTCATGGTGCCGGGGCACGAACTTGTGCAGGCCGCGGTGTGTAGCCTCCAGCATCTCCAGCTGTCCAAAGGGCACGCCCCCGAACGGAGGCGGAAAGGGGGACTGGGAGACGGGCGATGTGATCTGGGGCGACATGCTCTTGAAATCGTTCGGCGAATGGGCCGTGCTGTGTCCGCTGTCCACATCCCCGAGACTCTGCAGTCGCTCCGAATCCGGACTGGAGTCCTCGTCCATCAAGTAGCCACATTTGAGGGACAAGAACGAGCGCTGCTGACTGTTTCGTCCAGTTCCCGGAACAATACCTCCACCGTTACGGAACTCATCTGCCAGAGAGCCAAAGGTGGGGCCACCTAGAAGATGCAAAATGGAAGCTGCAAAGAGTCATGAGTGGGTTAGACCGAAACTACAAAGGATAAAAAAAGTATAAAACATTTTCTTCAAAAATTTCATGCAGGATAATCTAATTAGGATTCTAACAAAGCTTTCTATTTCTACATCCACTTACATTTTTTGTTTTTTGGTATTTCTGGTAACTTGCGACGCCGCCGTGTGGCAGCTGCATTTGGAGTCAACAAATCCGTGCTGGCCCCAATCGTCACTGGAGCCGAATTACAACCACCACCGCCCAAGCCACTAGTGTCCATGCTGTTGAGACCCATGAAGCCACCAATTGCATCCTGGTGGTTTAGTGGATGGTGTCGGTGTGAGTTGAAGGAGTCATTGGTATCCAGGGAGCCGTCAGACGACAGAGTGACCTTCAGACCATCGCCCAGCTCGTCATCCTCTACTTGATGCATCTTGGCATCCCTGCCGGCCAGGCCGATGCCGTCCTCCTGATCGGAGCCATCGCCGTCGCTCTTCGAGGAGTGTGAGTCCTCCAGGTCATCGTTGGGAATCAGACTGGAAAAGGATATATTTTTTGAGTCAAATTCGAGTTGAGTTCGACTCGTATGATTTCTTTGCAAGGCTGTGCGTAAATGTCAACGGGGTGCTCTCGGGGACACGTGCAGCTTTTCAACTTCGTCACACTTCAATGCACTTCACTTTCAATAGCACATCCATCCTGCACATCCTTTTTACCTTTCTAATGTATTTAAATGTGTGAACTTTGAACTTACGAGTAAAATGCATGTGGATTGTTTTTCTTATTGGCCACTCCAGCTCCAAATGTGGCAATCGTATGGGGCTCAAAAATGGGTCTACGAAACTCCTCGAATTCACTGTCAGCCATCCCGGGACCTGACCAGCTGCCACGCCCCCACTTACAGGATAGCTGGTTGTCCTTTTTCGGAGTTTTTATTCCTTTCATTTATTAAATTATTGAACTTTTGCCAGCACACATAGAATCGAGTCAGTTTTTTTCACTTCACATGCGAAAATCAATAATTTCCTTGACGTAGCTGGCGTACTTGAGACCCCGTCTGAATTCCAGATGTAAGTGGTGGCACAAAACTGACATCGAGCCAGGGAAATTTTGAGACTTTCAGCTGTCAGGCTGTAAGCTCTCTCTGCCCCATGTCTCTTGGCTCTCCAACTTGTTTTTGTTTACCGTTAACAGGGTAGAGGGTGTGGGGCCAGCGGCATCACAATTCCAAGCTGCTCTCCTGGGGGTTGACAGGAAAGGCGCCTGCGCAGTGACTCACTTCCGCTCCTGCTGGCCGCAAGGGGTGGATTCCAAATTGCAATGCTGTTGCGCTTTGCTCACAAAAATACAGGGCCGGTTCAGGGGAAAAGAGATTTATTCTTGGATGAACCTTATCTTACTTATTGAACCTCAAACTAACTACTGATGTCATTGACACAATAGATAGATAAATAGATGCTTGCAAATAATCGATAAGAAACCCTTTGTAGGAATTACTCAGTATATTCATAACCCGATTAAGAAATTAAATATGTGCTAAGCTCTTATCAAGTCACAGTTGATTCATTTTCCCGCTATAAAAACCCCGAGAAATCAGTATTCAATAAATTGTTCTAGCAAGACAGTCCACCCGTGTGCATCGCAATGAAGGCAGTCTTACTAGTTTGTGTACTGGCTCTCGTGGCACCTGTTATCCTCGCTCGCACCATGGACCGTTGCTCCTTGGCTCGGGAGATGTCCGCCCGAGGCATCCCGCGCGGTGAACTGGCCAGATGGGCATGCATCGCTGAGCACGAGAGCTCCTACCGCACCGGAGTGGTGGGACCTGCGAACTCGGACGGATCCAATGACTACGGAATCTTCCAAATCAATGATCTCTACTGGTGCCAGCCACCCAGCGGGAAATTCTCCCACAACGGTTGCCACATAAACTGCAACGACTTGCTAACCGATGATATTACCAACTCCGTGCGATGTGCTCAGACGGTCTTGGGCGCCCAGGGATGGTCAGCCTGGTCCACTTGGCATTTCTGCAGTGGTAATCTGCCACCAATCGACGATTGTTTCGGGCCGGTTCAGGGGCTTCTTTTAGGGGATTTATTCTTGGGTGAACCTTATCTTACTTATTGAACCGCAAACTAACTACTGATGTCATTGACACCATAGATAGATAAATAGATGCTTGCAAATAATTGATAAGAAACCCTTTGTAATAATTACTCAGTATATTCATAACCCTATTAAGAAATTAAATATGTGCTAAGCTCTTATCAAGTGGGCAATGCCCCATAAAAATACTCACAGTTGATTCATCTTCCCGCTATAAAAACCCCGAGAAATCAGTCTTCAATAAATTGTTTTACGAAGACAGTCCAGCCGTGTCTATCGCAATGAAGGCAGTCTTACTACTTTGTGTCCTGGCTCTCGTGGCCCCTGTTATCCTGGCTCGCACCATGGACCGTTGTTCCTTGGCTCGGGAGATGTCCGCCCGAGGTATCCCGCGCGGCGAACTGGCCAGATGGGCATGCATCGCCGAGCACGAGAGCTCCTACCGCACAGGAGTGGTGGGACCTGCGAACTCGGACGGATCCAATGACTACGGAATCTTCCAAATCAATGATCTCTACTGGTGCCAGCCACCCAGCGGGAAATTCTCCCACAACGGTTGCCACATAAACTGCAACGACTTGCTAACCGATGATATTACCAACTCCGTGCGATGTGCTCAGACGGTCTTGGGCGCCCAGGGATGGTCAGCCTGGTCCACTTGGCATTTCTGCAGTGGTAATCTGCCACCAATCGACGATTGTTTCGGGCCGGTTCAAGGGCTTCTTTTAGGGGATTTATTCTTGGGTGAACCTTATCTTTCTTATTGAACCGCAAACTAACTACTGATGTCATTGACACAATAGATAGATAAATAGATGCTTGCAAATAATTGATAAGAAACCCTTTGTAATAATTACTCAGTATATTCATAACCCTATTGGCAATGCCCCATAAAAATACTCACAGTTGATTCATCTTCCCGCTATAAAAACCCCGAGAAATCAGTCTTCAATAAATTGTTTTACGAAGACAGTCCAGCCGTGTCTATCGCAATGAAGGCAGTCTTACTACTTTGTTTCCTGGCTCTCTCAAATTTTTCTGATGGACCTTGCGAAAGCGATATCTTGGCCAATATCCATCCGATTCTTGAGCGGAATACCTTTAACGATTTGTGGATAGATTTTCTTTAAATCTGCATCAAAACCCTGAAACAAAATTTGGGATGCAATTTTTCCAAATTTTTCTGATGGACCCCCTTCAAAAATGGGCAAAATCAAGAAATGTCAAAAAGTGGACCTTACGAAAGCTATATCTTGGCCAATATCAATCCGATTCTTGAGCGTAATACCTTTAACGATTTGTGGATAGATTTTCTTTAAATCTGCATTAAAACCCTGAAACAAAATTTGGGATCCCTTTTTTCCAAATTTTTCTGATGGACTCCCTTAAAAAATGGACAAAATCCAGGAATGTGAAAAAGTGGACCTTGCGAAGGTTATATCTTGGCCAATATCCATCCGATTCCTAAACGGAATGCCTTTAACGATTTGTGGATAGATTTTCTTTAAATCTGCATCCAAACCCTAAAACAAAAGTTGGGATCCCATTTTTCCAAATTTTTCTGATGGACCCCCTTCAAAAATGGGAAAAATCAAGAAATGTCAAAAAGTGGACCTTGCGAAGGTTATATCTTGGCCAATATCCATCCGATTCCTAAACGGAATGCCTTTAACGATTTGTGGATAGATTTTCTTTAAATCTGCATCAAAACCCTGAAACAAAATTTGGGATTCCATTTTTCCAAATTTTTCTGATGGACCCCCTTCAAAAATGGGCAAAATCCAGGAATGTGAAAAAGTGGACCTCGCGAAGGTTATATCTTGGCCAATATCCATCCGATCCTTGAGCGTAATACCTTTAAAGATTTGTGGATAGATTTTCTTTAAATCTGCATCAAAACCCTGAAACAAAATTTTGGATCCCATTTTTCCAAATTTTTCTGATGGACCCCCTTTAAAAATGGGCAAAATCCAGGAATGTGAAAAAGTGGACCTTGCGAAGGTTATATCTTGGCCAATATCCATCCGATTCCTAAACGAAATGCCTTTAACGATTTGTGGATAGATTTTCTTTAAATCTGCATCAAAACCCTGAAAAAAAATTTGGGATCCCATTTTTCCAAATTTTTCTGATGGACCCCCTTCAAAAATGGGAAAAATCAAGAAATGTCAAAAAGTGGACCTTGCGAAGGTTATATCTTGGCCAATATCCATCCGATTCCTAAACGGAATGCCTTTAACGATTTGTGGATAGATTTTCTTTAAATCTGCATCAAAACCCTGAAACAAAATTTGGGATTCCATTTTTCCAAATTTTTCTGATGGACCCCCTTTAAAAATGGGCAAAATCCAGGAATGTGAAAAAGTGGACCTTGCGAAGGCTATATCTTGGCCAATATCTATCCGATTCCTAAACGGAATGCCTTTAACGATTTGTGGATAGATTTTCTTTAAATCTGCATCCAAACCCTAAAACAAAAGTTGGGATCCCATTTTTCCAAATTTTTCTGATGGACCCCTTTCAAAAATGGGCAAAATCAAAAAATGTGAAAAAGTGGACCTATGCATCAAAACCCTGAAACCCCGGAATCATCCGATTCTATAGAGATTCTTTATTAATTTGCATTTAGGAACTTAATGATTTTCATATTTTCTAGTAAACTTTCTGGGGGATCCCCTTAAGGCAACAATTTATTTCAATTTTTTTTTTTAATTTTTCATAAGAACTTTTTTGTAAAATCCTGGGTGTATGGCGTGGTATTGGAGTGGGTTGTCATCAATTTAAGAATATGAAGAGTATGTTGTTCCTCATTTGCAAATACAAATGCACATAGTCACCCTATCTGAGGCACCATTGGCAATCTTTTCATTTAAACTGATTCACACTTTCTCCTCCCCCCCGTTGCGAATTTGTTGCCTTAACTTAATTACTCGAAAATCAAGTGAATCAACAACTGCCATTCATCGTGACCTCGGCTCTTTTTCGTTCCGCCTCCGTCTGGAAGCATTCATTTCTTCCTCGGAGCTGGTGGCGAAATCCCAGTATCCTTCGAGGCACTCGCCATAAATCCATCAGGCGGAACTGGGCAGGCTCTTGGCCAAATAGAAAGTATCTCCCTAGGCGGCCTGTCTACCGGCTCGTTTGACGGTCAATCAGTTAGCCAGCACCATTAAGTTTATCGCCACAGCTGATGAGTTGAGTGGCGGAGGGGATTGGATGCGAAAAGGATGTGCCAGGACACCGTGCCCACGCATGTGTTTAGTGAGTCCCCATACCCACTGGATTTTTCGCATATTTTAATAGTCAAGTAGCAGTAGCGACTCTGGTTTCCTACTCACGGGCTTACTTCTTTCTATCTTTGTATCTCCCCCGACGCTATTTGCTTTTCTCGAAGCGCAAACAAAAGCCAAAAGAAATTGCCATTTATCTACTATTGACTCTGTGGCTGCTGGAGCATCAAGTGGTTTTCCTTTAATGGCGGTTCGAGCTTCCCAACTACCTATTCATTTGACCAAGTCAGGCCGAGTCTTTTTCTTATCGATTTTTCTTCTAGTTTCTCTGGAGTTACAAAAGGGGTTCACTAGGTTTCGCTTACGGTACACTAGTTACGGTGATGCCCGCATAAATTAAACGCCAGAATTTGAAAGTCAAGCACAGAAGTCAGTCTGTCTGTCCACCCGAACCCCCATCCTCATATATCCCTTATTTATTTGTGCCCCATTCAAGTTGTTGCTGCTGATTAGAAAGTGAATCAATCCCGGACAACAATGAATATCTATGCTCTACTTGTCTTATCATCGGCAGGATGGGTTATGGAACCAAAGGACCTCTTGGTAAGGGGACAATGACGTCATGCATTAACGTTTTCGCCTGACTCCAGCATGATTTGGCCAATCAGAGTGGAAGGTGGGGCCTGTGAATCGAAAGACTCACTTGTAGCTTTTATATCCTTGAACGAATTTATCTCGCCACGCACACTTAATAAATACAATTGAATATGTATCTCTGTGTGAGTGGTGCGGGCTGGCTATAAAAGGGGCTGTCGCCTCGGCAGGATCTTGCAGTTGGCGCTGAGTTGCGCATACGACGCGTGTGCCCGCGAAGAAAGGACCTCCGAGTGCAGTGACAGTGCAGTGCCGTGATGAGTGCTTCGGGAAAAAGTCTGCTGGGCCTCTGGCTCTATCGCAGTGGCGAGCAGGAGTGGTCCGTCAAGCAGGGCAGTCCCTTGCATCAGCTCAAAAAGGATACAGCTCCGGGATCGTCGGCCCCTGTCCCCCACTCAAATCTATCCAGGCACTCATCCGCTCCACTGGAGCCACCGCGTCTGTCCATCGGACCCAGCGCCGGCCAGGATCCGCCCAGACAGCACTCGCCTGGTGAACGCATCTCCATCATCTTCACCCTGCGCAACCAGGTGGGGAATCTGGCCCGTGCCCTGCAGGTCTTTCAGGAGCTGGGCATCAATGTGCTCCACCTGGAGCTATCGCCGCTGGAGATGGCCACCAATCAGGCGGACGTCCTGGTTGATGTGGAGTGTGATCCTCGACGGCTTGACCAGGTAGTGAAGATGCTCAATCGGGAGGTGGCCTCCGTGAACTATACTTCGGTTAACACGCAAGGATTGGCCAGGGCTCCATCCCTCTCGGCCTGTTCTAGTTTTGGTGAGTTTTGGGCTAAAATAGAAGGATTTAGATCCTAAAGAGGCTTTTCCCCTTAAGATTTTGGCGACATGGTTTGGTTTCCGCGTAAGATTTCCGATTTGGATAAGGCACAGAATGTTTTGATGTACGGCTCCGAGTTGGATGCAGACCATCCGGGATTCAAGGATCCCGTGTATAGAAAACGCCGTGAACAGTTCTCGGCCATAGCCAACAACTTTAAGCAGTGAGTATGACATAAGGATATCCCCAAGGAACCCAATTACATAACCCCTAAACCCCCTTCATAGCGGCAATCCCATACCCAGAGTTCAGTACACACCCGAGGAGGTAAAAACTTGGTAAGTTTACTTATTGAATTATATGCAGATTGTTGGAATATCGATTGACATGTGTGGCTTGAAACTTTGTGTTAAAAATAAAGGGGCACCGTGTTCTTGGAGCTTCATCGGCTTTATGTGATGCATGCTGTGCCGGAGTACATGGAAAACTGGCCAGAGCTGGAGAAGTACTGCGGGTATCGCGAAGATAATGTTCCCCAGTTGCAGGACGTCAGTGTCTATCTGAAGCGGAAGACCGGTTTTCAGCTGCGACCTGTTGCAGGATACCTTTCGCCAAGGGACTTTCTATCAGGACTGGCCTTTAGGGTTTTCCATTGCACTCAGTATATACGACACTCCTCGGATCCTTTCTACACCCCTGAACCGTAAGTACAAATAGGAGTTCAGCTTCGATTTTCAAAAAATCTGTTGCATAATTTTTTTTAGGGACTGCTGTCATGAGCTCTTGGGCCACATGCCCTTGCTGGCCAATTCGAGTTTTGCTCAGTTTTCCCAGGAAATAGGTTTGGCCTCTTTGGGAGCCAGTGATGCGGACATTGAAAAGCTGGCCACGGTAATTAAATACATATTATGGTAGTTTTTTAGGTTATTTAACCTTTAACCTTTCCACTCTTAGCTCTATTTTTTCACTGTGGAGTTTGGGTTGTGCAAACAGGCAGACAGCAGTTTCAAGGTTTACGGAGCAGGACTTTTGAGTTCCGTGGCTGAGTTACAACATGCCATTACGACGAATGAGAAGATTAAGAAATTCGATCCGGAGGTGACTTGCCAGGAGGAGTGCATTATTACATCGTACCAAAACGCCTACTACTACACGGATTCCTTTGAGGAGGCCAAGGAGCAAATGAGGTGGGCTTAGGATTTTAAATAAAAAAAACATATAGAAAAGACTATTTCAGGGCCTTTGCTGAGAGTATCCAGCGTCCGTTTGGAGTACGTTACAATCCCTATACCATGAGTGTGGAAGTCCTGTCGAATGCCCAGAAAATCACCGCCGTAGTTAGCGAACTCAAAGGCGATCTCAGCATTGTGTGCTCGGCTCTTCGGAAAATTTCCGCAACTGATGAAAACTTGGATGTGGACAGTATTGCTAACATGTTGCATAATAGCCTCAATGTCCGGGGAGGAGCTGCCGGAGGCGGAGGCAGTCCCTGCAGTCCGGACAACTCGGATAACTCGACGGCGGATGGAGACTAGAATTGGAAATAAATAAAAATCAAAACTTGGGACCAAAAAGCAGTATAATTCGCCAAGTTTGGCTTGAGAAATGATATTTTTTTAAATTTTGAAATTAAAGTTTAAAGAGTAGTGGCTTGGTTTATAAATTTTAAAAGATTAGTCAGCCTCTTGGTGAATTATACTGACAACACTTTGCAAACCACACACATTCTTGTCTATGTCTAGATGTTTATTCAAATCTTACAACTATGTTACAACTAAACTAACAATAAATTTGCAACCTCTCGGTGTAGCTGCCCTTAAGCTATACTATTCTCTTTGGTATATATGTATGTATATGGTATCTACTTGTAGATCATATCACAGTCGCTGTTGATGAGCAATTTCTTGGTCATGTAGCTGGTGAGGCACTCCACGAAAAAGTTCGGGATGGTCCAGATGGTGAAGCTGAGGGCCAGGGCTCTCCACTGCTGGAGGATGAGCCGCAGATCGGAGAGCCAGCCCAGACGGCGACCCATACGCTTGGTCACCTGACTGGTCACTCCCCGGACTACGCCACCGGCTATGCCCGAAACACTGACCCTCCTGCGCCTGGTGGGCTTTGGGGATCCGTCCTCCTGTCCAGAACCAAAGCCCGAACTGGAGCGGGAGTGGGTGCGTGATCGGGAGCCGGGGCTGTAGCCTCCGGATCCGCCCAGGGATCGCTGGTCGAAGCCCGGCTTGAGGTCGACGCGTGGCGCTATCTGGATGCGATCGACTGTGTCACAAATCTCGGCATTGCTGATGAGAATGCCCGCCACGATATACATCATTTTGAAAACCCTGACGGAAATGTAATTCAATTAATATTTTAATAGTTAATATTTAGAACTAAACACGCACCTCACTGTATGTGATATCATCTTGGCAGTATTGGGTTCTTATATGTATATTTTGAATTGGATTTTTGTAGATTTTGTTTGCATATATATATGTATTTTTTATTGCCTGGAATAGGTTCTGGCTTATCAGTCACGACGAATTTTATTTGATTCCAATTGACGCTGGTGCTGATGCTGGCTGACGCTGGCTGATCTGCTGATGTGTGTATATTTTTGTCCAGCCGGTTTCTATGCTCGGCACGTGGGTATTTTTGTACCCAATAATTCCCGGTACTAGTCACGATCCACGACTGCTCTGTTCCGATGCTTGAAACCAACTGAACTGAACCGGACGATCGTTCCCAGCGAACGCAACTGATAAGTCCTCCTGGATAAGCCTGCATGTCCGATTCTAATGCTCATCGGACATTTTCCATATATAGTATATATTTTTTATGTGTCTGCAGTTGGTTTTGGCTCTCCTATAGGAGAGTGAGTATATTGATAAGACCTGACATTCGGCTTATCGATCAATTTTATGGATCACTTTGCTGCTGGCGGCGTCAAAATAACTCTGAATCGCTTGGAAACTACGTAATGATCGGTGCTCGAGGTGGAACTTCGGACTCTGGTTAGGATGAGTAGGCGGCGGCGGCTTCGGTCTGGGTGATTACCCAGAAAGTAGGGGTCTGGGTTCGGTTCCATGAACAGGGTCCGTGCCCAGCCGATCGTTTAGATAGTCTTATCAGGTCAGGGTAGTATATCAGGTCCACCTTAAAGTTAGTAAGAGACTTTTTATTAAATTTAAATTAGTTGTATGCTAAAAAAAATATATATATTTATATACCATTTTACATTATTTTTGAATTTCAATATTAAAATATCTAAATATCTATCTTATTCTGTTCTTCGCCAGCTTATCTATCTGTTATACTTTAGTCTAAGCTTTTATCATTTTCAGCTACCTGTTATAAAAAGCTTAGCAGGTTTGTAACTTAGCTTTCAAAAGAAAAAAGCTTCTGACTTTCTGTCTCTATTGCTCGAATTGAAAAAAAAAATAAATACTAAATGATTCATTTTTTAATTTAAAAAAAACGTAGAGAAAAGTAAAGTTAAGAAACTAGTTCACTACTAGTAAAAATTAAAAAAAAAAAAATAAAAATTGTTGGGATAATAAATAAAAAAACTGGAAAACCCTAAATATTTAGACAATACTGTTCTATTTTTATACATAAAAAATATGTATGAGTTGAAAAAAAAACATTTTCTAAGAAACAAATTCTAAATTCTATTCTAAAAAAAACTATTAATAATTTTGTCTAATAGTAATAATAATGCAATCTTTGAAGAAACCAAGGGAACTTTATTCTAAGAAAGGGCTCTAAAATATACATATTTAGATACAAAAATATTTAATTAAAGTTAAAAATTATTCATAAGATTTACGGTTTTTTTATCAAATATTCATAGATTTTGTTTTTGAATTATACAATACACAATATTCAAATTTTTCTATGATTTACCATGATTTATAAAGAGTATCTTAAGAAAAACCATTTAAAAAATCAACATAAATATAACTCATAACTATATACTAGTAATATAACAAATAAAAAGAACCTATTTTCTAAGAAAACCCTTCAATAAATCCACTTCTAAGAGGCCAAAGTAGGCAAATCAGAAACCAAAAAACCCACCATTGACTTTTAATGAGAATCTATGAGAATGAGTATCTATGGGATATTGACTTTGGCAAATAATTTGCGTATTAACTTCACCTTGCAGGAGTGTAACAAACACCCGAAAACAAGACGCCCTGACACTTGACCACAAAACCATTTAATTTGTTGCCCGAAAACCTGTAACAATAATTGACTTTGTTTCGCCCGGACTCAGACACACACTAAGTCCGAAGGTGTCCTGGCAAAATTCTTAAGCAGGACTCCGGCCGAGAGACTTTCCCACATAAATTATGCAACAGCCGTTCGCTTTAGTCCTGACCACTGGATCCTGTCGACAGGCGATGCCAAGTGGCTCAGTCGAGGGTGAGTGGATGTTAGGCAGGGGGAGTGTGAAACAAGATTATTTACAAAATGCACAAGCCACAGAATCTTAAACACTGAAAGGTCTTGTGCGGGGGGTCGGAAAGAAAACAATTTTCACACAAATTTCTGAAGCACTCAAATGAGAGCCAAGCCAAGCCAAGCCGACAAACAAATAAACAAACAGCAAGCAGACACACAAAAGTTGGCAGGAGGCAGACAAGTCTGAGCTGCCAAAAGGTATTCCCCAAGAATGCCAACCATAAGGATCCAGGACGTAAGAGAAGGAGCAGCAGCAGCAGGAGCAGGAGCAGAAGCAGTTGAAGCTCTGATTTGTCTCCCCAACAGCACAAAACACTTCCTCTTGTGCACACTTACACACACACAGATACTCACAGGATACAAAGGAGTCTGGCAGGACAACAGAGGCTGGCAAACACATTTGGCTTGGCAGCAAATGGAGACGTTATCGTCCTCATCATTTGGCATCGTCTTGGAGCAGGAAACACCACACAGCAAGGACCACTGGTCGACCTTGACACACAATTATGTGTGAGTGTGTGGTGTGTCTAGAGGGGGAGAAGGATATGGCCAGGACTCTACCACAAATGTTCATTCAAGTGTCCAGTCTGAAAAATGGCCACCATCACCCCAATCACTCCGGCTCCGAACAGCCAGGGGCATTCAAGGAAGCAGCAAAAGTCACACAGAGCTGGTGTGCCGGTTAATTGTGAACCCTCTAACATCCTTTGCTTCGTCCTTCCCTCCACCGTCCTTCATCCTTAACCTCTGGATGGTCCTGCATCCTTGGTCCTGGCACAAGCACTGCAATTGCACTTCTGAGTCCGAGATTTCACAGCCTCTGAGCCACTTGGTGCCACTTGTTGCCCGGCCAGAGAGAAATACGATCCAAAGGATAATTGAAGGATAAGTGTGTGCTTTAAGATGACCGGCAGCTTAAATGCAAATTGGGAAAGGGCAGAGGGGAATACTGGGCACCCAGTATGGAATAACCAAATCGCTTAATAAATTGGTGAGCAGAGCAGAATGGAAATTGAAAATAATGAAAATGCAAAAAGTGGAAAATGGAAAATAGAAAATAGATTCTCGAGGAGCGGCTAGGGTGCAGGCAGGTGCTTTCTCTGGACATGATATATGATGGAACCGCACCAGGAAATAATTCCCAATCCGCGGTGGAAGGGGACATGCAAATATTGAAACGACCAAGCGGGGCGGACAAAGAAATCTAAACAACAACACAGGAGCAGAAGGAGGAGCATCCAGCCACTCCAGCCGCTTCATCTGAGCATTTTTTGGCCAGCCACTAACAATAAACGATGACGGAGCCAGCCAAAGGAGTTGGAGTGCTCGATGGCTCAGAAAGGAGTGCAAGAGTCCTGCTCGAAACATCGCTGATTAAACGCGAGTGCCACGAATGCGTCGCGAGGTGACGACGACTACGACATGGACATGGCCATGGAAATGGGTATGGGAATGGGAGTGTTACTGGTGTTGGGTTATGGTTGGGTGTCCTTGAAATTCGGCGGATGGAGTGCTTGTCTACGTGTCCAGACGGGCAGACAGGCTGCAGTCGGGCAGCTTGCAGGCTGTAGATCCCAGATCCCAGACAGACGACAGGAGCACGGGCTATTGCCAAAGCTGAAGCTCAAGCCTCAAACTCCTTCTCCTCAACACATTTCACCGTTTTTGAGTTCTAGTCGAATACGAGGATTCTGTGGCAACATTTTCGACAAAGGACCAGAAAAGTGCAGATTGCAAAAAATCAACTACGGCCATATTTGTTGGACGTGTATGGTTATGTATAGATTTTTGGGTTTTTGGGGTTTGGTTTTTTCGGGCAAACATTTCCGTATCCGGATTTTCTTCGTTTTTGTTTTATTTCTCTAATTTATTTCTTGATTTTATTTGTTTCAACGCCAGTCCAGCATGCAAATGATGTTGAATGCGATAAGTGTTTTGAAGGGTGGAAAAATATAAAAAAAAACACACTTGAAAACTGCAGACATGGGGGATAGGTTTCAGGTGGGTGGAGTTCACAAAAAAAAAGGATTCAATTGGTTTGAGCATTCGGTTTGAAATATGAACTTAAAGGACGCGTATTGTCTGTCCTGACTGTGGGAGGTGGGTGTTATAACCCACCACCTGATGGCATTCCCTCCCATTCCTCATTAGCTTCAGG